ACCGGGCTTCGGTTTGCCTGGCGGGCCTCAGCGCAACCCAAATCAGATGCCGCAAACTGAAATCGACCGAGAGAAAGTCATGCAGATAGCGCGTCAGATGCAAATGAATACTTCTCAAGAGCAGAAGACGAAGATCCTGGACCAGGTCCTAACCCCCCAGGCGGTCCAGCAGATGCGCAGTCAAAACAAGGATCCACTCCTCCTCTACTTTATGCAAGCTGCCGTCAGGCGACTATATCCTCAAGGGCGACAACAGCAGATGCTGCAGCGACAACAAGGCATGCCTCCGAACTTCCAGGGCATGCCGATGCAGCCAGGCCAGCAGAGACCTATCAACCCGGCCATGATGAACGGTCTTGGACAGGCTGGTGGCCAGATGCCTTTTGGCAGCAATATGGAGAGTATCATCAATGAACAGAAACAGGGCATGATGGCCGAGCGGCAGGGACAACTTGTTGTACCCGCGAGCTCAGGTCCGAGTCACAACGCAAATTCACAATCTCCTTTTGGTGCCGGTCTGCAGCATGGCAACATGTTCCCTCAGGGCCCTAATCAGACACCGAGGCCGCAGATGCCGAACTCGTTGGACATGCAGCAGCAGCAACAACAACAGCAACAACAGCAGCAGCAGCAGCAACAACAGCAGCAGCACCAGCAGCACCAGCAACAACAACAACAACAACAAGCGCTGCTGAAGCAGCAACAGCTACAAGCTCAGGCACGACACGCTGCGGCGAATCTTCAAGGGCAGCCAGGGGGCTTAAGCGGTTCAATGCCTGCGACACAAACGCCCGCGCTAGCGAACCTAAATGCGCCAGTCGGGCAACCACCGGTTGCGATGGGCCAGATGCCCGGCGCTCAAGCTGGGCCTGGCAACCCATCATTCGGAGCTGGCCTGGACGGCCGCTTCAACCACCCAGGACCACAGGGCATGAATGGAGCCCTGGTCCAGGACCCCCAGTTCAGAGCAATGCTCTCTTCCCTCGATCAGGAGCAGCAGCAGAAATTGCGAAGCATGGGCGGCGAGAAACTGCACGAAATGTTTCAGAAGTGGAAGCAGCAGCAGGCACAATCTATGATGGCAGGACGCATTGGTCAGGCTCCGCAGGGCCTGCCCATGAACCCCGCAAACCGAGGTAACCCGACCGGGATGCTTCCGCAGCAGATGAACGGAGGTCCTCTGACACCTCAGATGCAAGCTGTATTGCGACAGAGACAGCTTGCGCAACTGAACTCGCCCCAGGCACAGGCCATCATGGACCAGATGGATGTTCCACAGCAGGTATTCACAGTGATACAAGGCATACCGCCCGAGTTGAAGAAATGGGGACAATTTAAAGCTTGGATGCAGTCCACATCCACTCTCCCGGAGCAGACCAAGACAAAGCTCAAGAATGCTCAGGTGCAGCAGTTCATCCAGCTGCAGCAACGGGGTATCATCGCTGGCCGAAATGGGCCAGCAGCTGGTGCAGGGCAAGCTGGTGTCAGACCGTCTCTGCCGGCCAGCTTCCATCATGTCGATGTATCGCCAGCAGAGATACAGAGCTTCCGTGCGAGCAACGAGAGGGCGCGCGAGGTCCCTGAAGACCATCTTAAGGGGATGCTTCAGAAGATCAAGTTCACCAAGATGATGTCGGCTGCCAACTCGGCAGCTGGGTTCCAACAGCCACAGCCACAACCCCCCGCTCAGCCGATTGCACCACCCATCACGCAGCCCGATGCACCTCAAAACCACACTGCGGGACCCCAGAACTTTCCCCAGGGACAGCCTACTCGCACGCCGGTATCTGCCGCAGAGTCCACTCAAAATTCCGCAGCAGCAGTTGCTGCTCCTGCGCCGGGGAATAAAGCAAATCGACAAAACAAGGCCACACCCACGAATCCGTCACCGGCTAACGCAGCCAAAAACCTCAAGCGCCCAGGGACTGACGATCTGGAAACCTCTGGCCAGTCAAATGGGCCCGCTCAACGGCCTCCTTCTCAGGCTGGTCAGCTACCAATGGATGCCAGTGCTTCTAACTTCCCACCCAACCTCACGGAAGCTCAACTCGCGAACTTAACTCCAGAACAGAAACAGGCCTGGGAACGGAGAAAGCAAATGACAAAGCAAATGCAGGAGGCCTCCATCCGCTACAAGGATATCGTCAATGAAGAGGCGCGTGCCTATGATCATTCCAAAGCTAAGCCGCTGGAAATTCCTCCACAAATGATGGAGAATTACAAAACATTACTGTTGAATGTTGCTGGAGGTTTTGTAAAAACGTCGAATCCTAATATTATCGGGAAGTGGTTCGCAATGAGTGGCGATGAGAACCGATTGAGAATGTTTCTCAAGATGGTAAGCACTGTTTTCTCATAATCAAGCAAGCTTACAACCCTGATGCCACCGTGCTAACTTAATAATACAGCGTGTGCGAGTCATTAGCCAGTTCAAAGACGGCGACAAGTTGCAGGTTATGAACACGAAGTTCACCTTACCGCCCCCGGAACTCGTGCATTACAAGCAGTTTCTTGGTACCATGCTCCAGGAGCTGAAGCAGCCAGGAAAGCTCAACGAACAGCAGCAGACACAGCAGATGCAAGCGGCGGCCGCAGCGGCAGCAGCGGCGAAGGCCGGGCCGGCGGCACAGGCAAACGAGGTGCATGCTGCCAAGCAGGCGCAACAAGCACCCCAGAGATTGCCGCAGAGGCCAAATAGCAGAGGAGTTCAGCCTCCTGCAGCGCCCACCTCGAGCCAGCCACCGTTCCCGTTTGGTGCTACTTCGCCCGATGGAAAGCCAGTATGGGTCGCCCCCCCTCAGGTGACTCAGGACAATCTGCAGATGCCCTCTCGGAAGAGGGTGAAGACCGGCCTTCAGACGTCATCCCCAGCGAGTTCCAGCCAGAATGCGTCTCCACAGGCGAAGGCCATCTCCCCGGACCTGAAGAAACAAGAGCCCAAGGCAGTATCAAAGCCAAGCTTCCCATGCACGGTGGCCGACTGTGAGATGGGAGGGCCAACGTTCGCCTCAGAAGCATTGCGCAAGAAGCACCACGAGGAATTCCATGAGAAACCCTACGAGAATCCCGACAAGTTCCTCATGGACTCTTGCATGGAGTATCTTGGACACAACAAACAGGCCAAGCCAAATCTGGCGTTGCCCATGTCGCGTGAGAGTTCCTTGAAGCGGCAGACTAGTGCATCAGGTGGCCCGGCTGCGCAAGGGTTGAAGGTGGTGGATGATAACAGCAAGGTCGCTGGCACTTCCAAGCCTTCAGACAATAATGCTTCGACCTCGGCTGTGACAGAATCGCAACAACCGCAGGCCAGTGATTTCCTCGGCTCGATCGACCCTCAGAGCTTGTTCACCCCGGCCATGAGCTTTGATCCCCTGAGCGGCGGTGTCATCGCCAACACGATCCTGTACAGGTCTACAACGCCACCTGAGGACACCCCCGAGTCGAGCAAGGACAGCGGCGTGTCTGAGCCCAACAGCGATATCCCCGAAGCCGGGTCCCTCGATATCGAGATGAACTTCATGTTGTATGATGACCTAAACCTGACCTTGGAGCCGAATTACGACTACGGCAGCGGCATGGACCTGTCGATGGAGGCGTTCACGGATGACATGCTTGTCGATCTGAGCGGAAACAACAAGTCCATCGAACCTCTTGATATGTCACTCTTCTCGCTGAATGCCAGCTAAGAAGAGGTGGTGTGAGGGACAACAGGATACCGCAAAGACTGCTTGTGATTTCGATTTACTCGAATGGATTGCCCAGTCGCACCACGTTTCTTGATTCGGACGCATTCGTATTTGATGTTGAGGTCGGCGGCGTTTTCGGGATGACGGCGAACTTGGTGGGAAAGGGGGAAAAAACCCTCCAGGAACGCGCTTAAAAAAAAATGTATGGTTTTATACGACGGCTCCCATGGTTGATACCCGATGCGCAATGCGTTCTGAGGCTTCTACTGTCATTCTCATGTTTTGACTTTATAGCATGTGCAAGTCTGGATTTTTTTTATTTTTTTTTATTTTGGAAGCATTGGGTATATAAAAAGGAACCCCCTCGGAGGAAAGTAGCTACTGCTTTTGCTCTTTGCTCGAATCAATAGATGTATGCATGTTTCACGAATGATGGTATATCCTTTCTTCAAGGGTGTTTTGTAAAGTGCCTCGGGAGAGATTATTTGTCGCTGTAAGTTCTTTGCCACTGTATGTACTCATAATGTACAACACAAACACAGTACCGCAGTGAAATGACAAGAGGATCGCCATTCATTGTGGCACTGCACGTGTGGGATTTGCACGCGATGAGGTCAAAAAATCCCTGTGGACTTGCTGGGCCCCTTTCCTCTTCTTTTCTCCTCTCCTTCTGAAAAAGATGAAGAAGAAAATTCCTCGAACGAAAGAAGAGTCCCGGCCCTGGTTGGCGCGTATGACACGACCCCGTCAGCGTGCTCGGGCAAGAAAAGGGCCCACAGCCGCGCTCTAGGCCTGAAGAGGTAGTCAAGTAAATAGTCCAAAATAATCAGTTGGCAGGTGGCAGGGTTGTTGCGACTTGGAACTGACGCGACGTGCCTTCTTTTTTTCTGGGCCCCCATTTCTTATTGTCGCCTCCCCCCTCCTTTCCCCCAACTGCCCAAGCCCAGTAGTGGAAGTAGTAGCCGCGCAGGACGTTCCTGTACTTTTTACGCCTTGTCCTGTGCCTGCCTTGACTAAGTACTGATCTGGATGTGTTCTTCCCTTGTCGCCTTGCAACAACAAAACGTGAGGCACGCCACTCACCTACTACCTATCACCCTTTCACACTCACTTATATATACAAGAGAATCCGTTGCGTCTCGAAGTCGACTCTCTCTTTTTTCCCCTCTTCATTTCGCGTCCAGACTATTATTGTCAAGACGCGCCTTCATCTAATTCACTCTTGCCTCTCGAACCCACACTAGCTTCAGCTATCCGCACAAGACCTCGTCGCGTCTGGTCTACCTCTCCTCCAAAACGTTCCACGGTTCCAAGATGAGTGCTGCTGCAACCCCCACAAAGAGACGCGCCCTGGGCGCGATTGACGTGAACGTGTCGAGGTCTCCTCGGTCACCGTCATCGCTCAAGCTGTCCATCAAAGGAGGTGTCACGGTCGGCGGCGGCAGCCCGCTGAAGAAGAGCCCAGGCGTAGTGCTGTCCCGTCACGCGACGCCCTCCCCACCACGTGAGAAGAGGACCGGCACGCCCAAGAAGAAGAGGCCGCTTGAGGAGGCCGAGAACGTCCGGCCGATTGTTAAGAAGCTGTGCGCTGGGAGCCCGGTCAAGACGTCGTCGCCGTCCAAGGCGACGAGGATCCCTAAGGTGGACACGCTGCTCAAACCAGCAGATGAGGTATGCTCGTTCCTCTCAGAGCCCTCCTCAGGCTACCACTTGCAAGGGCTAACCAAATTCCACCCCACGCCACAGGACGACGAGACGCCGGCCTCGCAGCCTGCTACGGCACGGAGGTCGATATCGCCCGACGCGAGCTCGGTCTTTGATAACTCGACTATCAACACCTCCCAGTTTACCACCATCACGGAGCCGGATACCGACGCGCCCATCACGACGACTGCACCTGCGGTTCCTGTATCTGGGGCTGCGGCGGCCTCGGCTGTGCCGGATGTGATACCCAACCTGCCGCCACCGCGACCGCGTCGGGTCCCGACGCGTGAGGAGTTCAGACAGGTATGTTGTATATTCATGACATGTTATATGTTTATTTATACGTTATAACAACCCCCCTTCCCCTCACCGTTTCTTCAGCCCCTATATATGATCTTGCACTACCGTGGTGTAACCTCTGTTATATTATGGTGCTGACGCGTCGTTCCTACAATCAACAGAAAGCAGAGATCCTCAAGCTCCGCCTCTCCCTCGCCAGCTACAAGGTCAGGACCAACCAGACCGATGTGCCTCTCGACAAGCTGCAGGTCCGCCCCGTCCCAGGCATGACCCGCCGCCGTACTCCTCTGCCCTCCATGACGGCACACACTGTCGAGAGGTCCACCCCCGTACAGTACTGGTATCGGTCGGTGGAGGCTCGGAGGGCGCCGCTGCCGGAGTCACGAGTTGCAGGCAGAAACACTGCGGAAGTTGATGATGGTAATAACGATGAACAGCAGGAAGAAGAGGAGGGGCGAAAGGTGGTCGGCACGGTTGTCGCCGTGGGCGGACGCTACTGCGGGCCGGAGGGACAGCAGGCACTGCCGGACCTCGCGAGTGTGTCGACACCACGCAAGACGAGAGATGGGTGGGAGGAGGACAGGCTGACTAGCAGCGCACTGAAGGGAGGCGCGGCGAAGGGTCTGTTGAGTCTGTCGCAGGGGTCGCTCTGATGAAGTCAACGCCTCGAAACCAAGAGAAGGTACATCGGCCAGTTGTTGAGTACTATCCACACGTATATATATCGCCTTTCCGTACGAAATTTCTTGTGTAGGTCTTGATGTGCCACGCCGTCTGGAAAAGACTGGCTGGCTGGAGGGATGGTGGTTCGTGTGAAATTTGTATGGTGGGTCAGGTACGAATGATGATGATGATGATGGGTGGCACCTTCAACTCGAGAGGTAGTGAGGACTATCGGAAGGCTAGACGATAGATATCTATGATCTTGCGGGAGAGACTTTGGTCTACGCAATTCGGATCTTGACCCCAGTGATATGAGAGAAGGATGATTGACAAAGGCCCTCCCTCCTTTTTGACGACCTAATATTAGCTCCTGGATGCAGTTGTCTTAGCAACGTTGCCATCACGGCCAAGGTTCATCTTGCTTGACTCGAAGGAGGCATCATCACCGTCTCAACGTCCCCGTCTTCTAAAGACATTTGATTGGTCCCAGATATCTGGATTTGCGTATGGTAACAATGCCTACAGAGAGCTGTATTCAACGAAATATCCTTTTTCGGATGGCTGATTGCCATTTTTTTCTTCCAATTTTTTTCTTCTTACTGATGATAATCAGTGTGTGTTGTTGCCATGGCAAGATGTCAATCAGCACAGGTATAACTCTCGGCCCCCCCCCCCCCAGAGAAAAAACCCCCCTGCCCGCAGCGCAGTGATATCGAGGATCCCTTGGTTGACGAGCGTCACATTTTTTTGCAATCATCTCTTATGTGTGGTGGTATGTTGGAGGGAAGGAGAAGTTATAGGTACTACAATATGTAGTAGGTGTCTCCTTATGTTACTTGATGATTTTCTCGAAATCCTCAGCCCTGTTCCTTTTCCTTTCCCCCTCCTTTCTCTCTTTCCTCGATGATGGTCCATCCCCATCTAAATCACCATGAACATTACCACCAATTCTTTTCCCATAGCCTATCTCAAACACTCGCAGTAAGTAGGGGGGGGGGGGTTGGAGGGAAATTGGGAGGATTGCAAAATTTCATAGAAAAAAGAAGATGAAAACTGGTGGGAAATCTCCAAACGTCCCATCCATTCATCCATCCATCCATCCATCCAACCCTTTGCATGCATGCATGACTGCTGCATGAAAGTATATACCCCATCCCATTTCCCCCCCTGTGCGATCGATCGGGTTCCTGCAGGGGGGGGGAAGGAACAGGGATAGAGGGAAGAAATGCCCCTCCCCTTTTGTTCCCACCTTTTGGTTGGTGATTTTGATGGGGGACCCTTACACGGTGGTTTTTTTTTTTTTTCTCTCTCTCTCTCTGTGTCCCCTCTCTCCCTGGTCTCCCCTCCTTCCCCACTGACTTTCCCATCCCCCCCTTCCCCACACTAGGAACTTTAATTCTATTTTAGGAAAGGTCTTGCGATTGCCGAATAGGAATTTACTTTGGTTTGGTAGGGGAGTGGGGTCGATGCGGGCCAGGGAGTTGGATTTCGGGGCCAATTGGTGGTTTGGGTCGGCGGGTCTACCCCGGATTTGCATGGCCCCCTCCCTAGCCTGTTCCTTTTTTTGGGCGTCTCTTCTTTCGCTGACTATGTGTGATATGGAACGTGGATATGAGATGTTATTATTGTCACGTTGCACTACCTGTTTCAGAGAGTTTTTTCTTTTTCTTTTCGGTTGAGAACATCTTGAATACTTTCCCCAATCACATACATAATAAATATTAAAGCCCAATATGAGGTGGTCTCTGTGTGTGATCCAGGAATGCACATCACTACAGATTTGGATCACATATGGCTCCCAAAACCAGATCACTCTCAAGGACGATCTCGCCGTACTGTAGTTGCATTATACAAAAAGTAAAAATTCAAACCACTCATGGACGTCAGGATTTTCCCCCACCTGCCTCAACTCCGTTGACCATGAAAGACCCATTGGCTTGCGCAATCCCCCAAGGGTATCAATACATTGCCCCCCCCCCCCGGTCCCGGCGTACACATACAAAAACCAGCGATAATATTCCATACAACACAGTCCGTGTTCATCCAAATCTTGAATAGAGAAAGCTGACAAAGGGAAACAGTCACTATGTAGCCTCCTGCTCTCTCTTTTCCTCTCCCTCCTTCTCTGTTTCTTAGTGCGTCCCGCGGGCAATGTCCCGCCTCTTGAGCACATTACTTCTGTACCAGTCCAGCTTCTTCTGGCCTCCACCAAGACGCTTGTTGCTCTCAGCCCTGAACGCCTCGGACACGATCACCGGTTCCTCCATGGGCATGAGCTCAGGATGTGAGTAGTACGGCAGCACGGACTTCTTGGCCTTGCTGATACTCGGCTTGGTGGGAGCGAGCGCGGCCATCTCCTTACGCTTCTCCGTACAGATCTTATTCAGCTCCTGCATCTCGGAGCAGATCTGTGCGCGAATGAAGGCGGGATCCGCTGTCGAGGCGTCCTGCTGGATGAGGTCCTCCATCACAGGCGTCCGGGGCGTATAGGCGATCTGGTCGAGTTTTGGTTCGTGCCGCTCAGGGATGATGGACTCGTCGAGACGAGCCTCGTCACCTTTTTGCAGGAGCTGTTGGATGTCGATCGACTCGCCGGGTGGGATCGGTGTCTTGTGCGATGGAGTAACACAGTCGAGGTCGACCTCTTTACGCAGTACGTGATCAATATCCACCGCGCTGAAGAAGGCACATGCTTGTGGAAGGTCGTTGATGCCAACCTGTTGCGCAAACATGCACCGCGTCCATAGGTTGGCCACTTGTAAGGCCATGGCGGCGCGGTATTTGTCGTGGTCTTTGACGAGGTAACGAATCTCATCGTGCACAGTGATGGCCAGCCGGGCATCGATGTTGAAGCGGCGCGTGAGATAGTCCATGGCAACAATGAGAAGGTGGAGGTAGTCGACACCTGAGCTCTGGATCGCCCAGTTGATGCGGCTCGTGAGGAAACCGCCCTTGCTGACATAGCGGCTCATCAGAGCTTCTGTGATCCCGGCGCCTAGGACAGGCGTGCGCGGTCGTTCTTGCTCGGCAAACTCTTCGAGTTTGTTGAAGACAAAAGACTCTGTGCCGCCTCGCCAGAACTTCCGCTTATAGAGAAGCTTGCGCTCTGACTGCATGCCCTTGGTGGCAGTGTACAGCTTCGTGGCGGTGTTCAACGTCTCGCGGTCGGATAGCGTGGGGTTGAATTGCCGCAGTAGCTGTGCGGCAAATCGCAGTCCAGCACCGTATATCCGGCCGTAGTTGAATACCTTGGCGTCGCCTCTTGTGATGCCCAGAATGGACGCCGTGCGAGAATGAAGGTCAGTACCCGCCGCCTTGGTGCCCTCTAACGTCATGAAGCCTATGGCATTGCCGCCGTGGATCTTAAAGATCGCATCTCCGAGGACACTGGCGATCCAGAGCTCTTCTGAGTCGACGTCGGCGCCGACGAAGCTGTACCCTGGAGGCGCCTTGACCATCGCCTTCAATTCAGAGCCAACGCGTGACTTTTTTGCATTGCTCGCCGTCAACCACGTGTTTTCGACAGCTCTCCTCGTAATGGTGCCCATCGGGATGACCTGAGGCAGGATGAAGCCTTGGTTTGTTGGTTTGCTCTCTGACTTGTTGTTGTTGTTGTTGTTGTTGTTGTGCGGTAGGTCCTTCTCGTACACCACCAGCTGCGACCTGATTCTCTCGCGGGCACTGATCCAATATGAACAAGAAGCGTTCATCTCCAGGGCTTCCTTTGCGTAAGGGTACTCCGACGACAGTATACCCTTCTCAAAGTAGGCCAGATAACTTTTCGCCATGGGATTGGCGCAACGTGCGGTGGGCCCGTCTTTGTGAGGGACCTTGAAGTAGACGCCCTCCGTGTCGTCACGAAGCAAAGTGACCGTCTCCTCCTTCATATCACACGCTTTCATGGCCTTCTCGGTATATTTGGCTTTTTCCGCCAGGGGGACCCGGAATGTCCAACCGTGCTTGTCGGACCAGTACAACGGATAACCCTCCCAAGAGAGCCTCAACATCAGAGGTGCTATCCTCGTCCTGATAGAGATGTTGATGGGAGAGTCCTTTTTTGGGAATAGATCCTTATACCACTTTGGCTTGCCGGGCATTTTCTGGTTCTTCACTTCCCGCGGAGGCTCATTCTTTTTCCCTTTCGTCATCTTCCTCTCTTGTCCGGACCAGTCGAGCTGCTTCAACCACGGGTCATTGCCCCACTTCTCAGGATCATCCTTGATCTCCAGAGCCTTTTCCGTCAACGAGATGAGGCGTTCTTGAACAGCGACGGACAGACTTTGGTATGTCTCTTCAGCGTTGTTGATATAGGCGTCCCAGGACTCGTTCACTGGCAAGATGACTGAGGACATGTGCCGCAGAGCCGCAAAGCTGACGGGATGCGGACACGTCTTCAGAAAGTTGGGAAAGACGATTGAATAGACCCGGTGGGTGACCACCACATCGGCGGCACAGTAGTTGAGGAGATCATCAAGCTTGGCCACGATCTCCTCCCGGTTCAGCTCCCCGAAATCATCCCGGACGGCCTTGTCCATCGATAGGTTGAGGTGAAACTTGGCTACATCCCGCAACGAGTTGATAGAACTCTTGCCAACCCATAGCTCCTCTTCATCGTTTGATAGCGATTTGTTGCTCAACAAAGTGGCCAGCTCAAGATTGTCCGTCTCTCGCTGAATCTTCTCGCGCAACTCCCGGCTCTTCTTGTGTTTTAGCCAGGTCGGCCGTTGTTGGGAGCACATGCCATTGACCGCTACATGCAGCGACATGGTATCCAGGAAGCAGTTCCTCGTCTGCTTGAGGTCATACTCCTCCAATATTCTGGCCCTATCGTATCCGATATTGTGTCCTACGACGATGCGCTCCTTGGAAGGGTCGCCGAGAGGGACCAATTGTTTTTGATTCGTCGTCTCGCCCAGGAGCCAAGGAGATAGCCAGACGTACCATGCTGTCGGGCTCGCGGCGCAGGCCATGACGGCAAAGGGGCTTTCCTTCCACATGACTTCGACGTCAAATGAGAGCATCTTTTCGTCTGGCATGTCCACCTTCTCTGGCTCAGCAGGCCCATTGCCACCCTCGGGATAGCGGTATTTGGTCCAGCCGCTCTGATGTACCCATTTGTTTGGCGTCCGCGGCAGGACTGCTCTTGCGAACTGTTTCGCATGCTCCAGAAAAGGCTCAGCAGCATCCACGCCAAGTCTGTAGAAGTGCTCGTCCAAAGTCTGTGTGTCGGGAGCCTGCAGGCCGGGGACCTTGAAGCCGATGGGTTCTGTCTGGTCGGTGTTCTTGTCTAGGAGGTCGTGGCGTCGCAGATGTTCCCTCGCAAGCTCGACGAGCTCTCGAGGTGGCGGCTTGCTTCCGTTGGGGAAAATCTGGCTGTATATGTTTTCGCTGAGCTGCTGTACGCCCACCCGGTTGACTCGTGCTGCCGATGGTACTGCTCGCATCTTGTTGTAAGTATTCTGCGTGGGACTGGCGCATGCATCCATGATGCGATCGGGGAGCCTTACCAGAAAGACCTCTAGAAGCTATCTGTTCCTCTCGACTCTCCTTCGCGGCCGCGACGGCAGCAGCGGACTGCCAGCGGCGCTGAGCAGCCCATCTTGCGTGGGCCCGATGCTTGGCGAGTTGAACAAAGCTCGCGGCGGTGCAACCACTTCGCATACGGCCCCTGACCGGACTGAGCATTCTATCTCATCCGGCAGGGCTTGCGGTCTAAGAATCTCCAACTACGCCGTACAAGGACAGTCCGGGAGGATGACTTGGATCAGTCTCCGACAAGTCGCACCCGATTCGGACAGTCAGGAGATGAAGGGTCTGCGCGTGAGAAGCCTAATATAGGTTGCTGGACTGTAGATTCGATAATCGCACTAGGAACAAGATCATGGCTGACATGTGCATGCGCGGATGAGCTGTTCTGGGCAAAAGTCTCGATCGAGGTTCAGCGCATCACATTGACGCGAAGGACTTGGGCCGAGGATTCGATACCAGACAAGACTCGAGCGCAGTCGACTGGGGGTTCGGACTTCGGGACGCGTAGACTTGAAGTTTCGTGTGAAAAATGGTCGTGTTGGTTCGCGCGGGAGGATTTGCGAAGGCGTAGATGGGGGGGGGGGGGGGAGAAAAAAGTTGCGAGGGTGCCCGCCCGCGGTGGACTCTTCAGGTCCCTACTAGGAGGTCCCTACATGCTAGGGAGTAACGCTAAATTTTGAAGATGATGTCGCGTCCTAATGGCCTACGGGCCAAACCCCACCCTTCTCTTCGACTGTAGTTCTTTTATGAGGCCTCTCGATAACGAGTCGAGCCTACGGTTTTCAAAAGTGACAAGGCCTGAGGATAAAACAAAGTTTGTCTTCTTTTCTTAATAAAAAGAAAATCAATATATATAGCACACACACTGACCAGGCAGGTTTTCTACCATGCAGTAGTACCTCGCAGTAGTGAGCAGCAGCATTGATTCCGAATTCAGCTTTTGTGCTTCGCATAGCAGTTACCGAAGGTAGGGACGTTTGGGTGGGGAGTGGATGCAGTCAATCGACTCCACAAGTTGCACTTACTACTCTGAGCCGTTCACACTACAAAAGAGCTTTTAAATAAGGGGGTCGTGACATCTCTCAGTCAGACGTCATCACATTTCAATCTATTAGGGACGGGGCAGAGGTGATGCTCTTTAATTTTCTCTATTCCTTTTTTCTTTTTTTGTTCATTCTCCCTTCTTTTCTTTTTCGGGTCAAGCCTGGTCTGTTTGCTGGCTCATGGCCCTCACGGATGTTATTCCGATTCGAGGATATGCACGTACTATAGCAGTCCCCCATGAGCTTTGGTCTGCGTGGCAAAACATGGGCTAGCTCTGAATGCATGCTCACGACATGATAGGGATGCGTTGATTGGCGGTGCGAGCTACTGAAATATGATTCTGGTCGGTCTTTGTGTGTCTTCTTGCTTGTACGACCTGACAAGTCGCCTTGGTTCCCAAAGGTATGTGGCGTACCGGGTTAGAATTTGGCCTGGAAGGGGGGGGGGGGGTTTGGCTGCTGCACAGCAAGCACCCATGGCAAATTTATGACTTGCTTGTGCCGCTTGGACATCAGCTTCTCCTGGAGGTTGTTTTCTTCCTCCCCCGGGGCGTGGAATTTTCAAAGCCATATTAGTTTTGCCCCTGTTTCGTGTAACCCACGGATGGATCCAGTGGTGGTCTGGCCTGGTCCGCGGATGCAAGTCGGCTCACGATGACCGATCATGGAAGAGGCGACAGTATTGCTTTTGTAAGTGTGATTGAAAATAAGATGGGTATGCAAGATGATTCCAGGACTATACCCATGTGTGCGTCCATGGGTGTTAGTGCTTGTCAGCAGCGCCACGGCACATCTCTGGCAGCTAGCTACGCCCCTCCTTTCTCTTCTTCTCTTGTTCCTCCTCCCCCGGCCCACTTTCATAAAGCCCACTTTGGGTTGGAAAGAGTCAGCGGAATATTTACCACAGGCGGTGGTCCTCGTGAGACCGCATTATGATGAGGCTCCGGCACGACGGGAAGCCATTCATTCACCACCCACTTTGGCTGACTGGGTTCCATAGTATCCATGCATGTTTTCCCTGTCATATTTTGTCGTGTCCTGCAGGTTGACAAAAGTTGAAGTGAGCTGTCGTCCCCATCCCCATCCTGTCTCGTCCTTCACTCAACACATTCCCGCCCCCCCCCTCTTTCACTGCAGGCCGTCCAACCCATTCATATATTTAAACTCCTGTCCCACTCCCGTTGCCTTCCTTCACACCTACCCGCACTTGTTCATCAGATGAGTCGAGTTCACAGCGTCTACCTCCTGCCTCGCCTGCTCGCGCTGGTCAAACCGTCTGCGCAGTACTTAATAACATACGTCCTCCCTCACCCTCTGGATCGTGACTGAAGTTCTTCTTCCTCTTCTTCTCGCTCTGGTTTCCCTCAAGACGTGACAGTTCTCGGACTCTTCAGCCCAACGCCCAGCCCTGAAACGGATTCTTCCCCTCTACTTATTGTGACTTTATTGATCCCAGCTCTAAGCTCCCCAACCTACAGATTATTCAATCTGAAGGACAAGCAGGCAACCTTGCTCGCTCCCACCACACCTCTTTTTTTCTTAAAAAAAAATTCCTTTCACCCACAACAAATTCTATCTCTCACTCTTCTATGGCGAGAACCTGGTTATGCACCAATCAGTCTACACCTTTCAGGTAAAATTCACTTGATGAGGATCAGCTGGGACACATTCATCCGCCACTTAACCTCACACACATCACATTGTCGTCAGCACATCATCATCTTTGTCGACAAAGCAGCAGGAAACCATGAGTGCCTGGTCTGCAGACTACTATCCTGGGCAGGATCTGCCATTCCTGATTCGTAAGATCACTCTCCCTCTGTTTTCATCCATTCCAGCCTGTATCTCTCTTCATTCTGGATTCCCGTAAATATAAGAAAAATCATGACGAGACATTTCTGACCATGTATTCATGAGCTTAGATCTGCAGTCACTGGCACAAGACTCCTCTACCTTCTCACCCTCTTTCGCGGGGATCTCCCAGAATTTAAACCAATCTGGACAACCATCCCCTCAGACGCCTTCCTTCGACTATCTATCTCCAGGACAGCCTGTGGGCCTCCCCCCACCCCTGCCCAGTCCCTGTACATACAACAACAGCCTGCGCGGGTCTCAGACTGGCCCCGCCTCTCTTCCAGTACCACCAGTGCAAGGGTTCAGGTTCTCCACAAATGACCCCAGTCTTGCCGGCCCCAATGGGCTTAATCAATTACAACTCGACCAAGACTTGGCCGCCACTGGCCCAGGCCTAGCAATGCCTAACTCTGCAGCCACTAACCTGTCTGTCAGAGGCGACTTCTTCAACCTCGGCGTCCCGACACACACTCAATTCACAATAGGGCAACAACACAACCACGACGCAAGTCTCCTCAACCCTTTGAATCCCAACCCGCCCTCCTCCAGCGCCAGTCTCCCAGCCCTGTATCAAACATTACAAGACAATATCCCACCCAACGAGGCCCTGTACCAGGTTCTTGCCACCCCCCAATTCTCTTCATCTTCCTACAACAACAACAACAACAACAACAACAACAACAACAACGCCGCCTTGCCGCCCCCTGGCGAGGCCCAACGCCAGCTGCATCCATTCCCTGCTGGCAGCTTCCTCCCTCCCCGATCACGACCCGCCCCACAAGACTGCGTGTCTGCATCCCAGGCTGCCGACGTCGAACGAGATCTCGAGACTCAGTCTTCCCAACCGTCATTCAACTACGTCAGTCACCCGCACGGCCACCTCCCGCAAGAGAACGACGGCCGCCGCTTGAAGCACGAGGACGAGGAGGACGGGGATCGCAACGCCATCATTGGCCTTCTGGTCGACGACAACATGCCTGCCCCCTCCTCCAGGAAGCGCACCCGCGCTTCAGCCTCTATCGATGAGCAGGCAGGCCCCTCCATTGTCAAACGACGTCGATCACGAAGCAGCACTGCCGCCTCGGCGCGGAGCACCAAGGCCGCGGTCCGCAAGGCCGTGCACGATGCAAGAGCCGTGGTCATACCGGATTCAGACGACATCTTTGGAGTGGAAGACGATGAGGAGCCAGCCAAGCTCTTCGACCTGACCAGAGATGACAAGATACCCGAGGAGCTGATGGGCCCTCCCAAGGAGGACAACAGCACCAAGTTGGTTGACTTTGAATGTATCATCTGCATGGACACTGCGATGAACCTGACGGTCACACATTGTGGTAAGTCGCACTCTGTTGAAGGCTCTCCCTCTCGCTCGAATCTTGCCGTCATCTCCTTTTCCTTCACTGACATTTTCTGCAGGCCACATGTTTTGCGGCAACTGCCTGCACCAGGCTATGCATGCGGAGGGCACCAAGAAGATCTGCCCAATGTGCCGACAGAAGCTCGAGGCGCGACCCAAGAATGGCCAGTCATCAAAAACCGCGAAAACCTTTTTCCATCTCGAACTGAAACTCCGCCCTTCAAAAAAGCAGGGCAAGCAGCCCGCACGGATGCCGAACTCATAGTTGGCTGGGGGAACGAGGTGCCTTGCGTAGAACCCCATCGCGGCGAGTGTGGGATTTCAGCCCCTTTGATAAGAGGTCGGCAGTCTGGACGACATAATGGATCCCCCGGTGGCCATGCCTGCACGAATCACAACTTTCATGCACCAGGGTCTAGAAAAAGGTGGCACGGTTGCATCACAGGCACTTGTTTTTCACTCCCTCCCCTATTCATGAGCTTTTAAGTATTCAATTTCACGTCTACTTCCTCGTTAACACGATACCCTCACACCCCCCCCCCCCCAAACACAATTGCATTTGCGAGGCGTCTTACAAAAGATTCGGAAACACGGGTGTGTTTAGTGGACATAAGGAAAAGGTCAAATCAAAGTGTGCATGTCCTGACAAATTTCCCTTGAGGTACATAGATGGACAGACAGACGCCCGGGGCATTGGGCCTAGTCCAGGTAGGAAGGGTCATGGTGCCGCCCGCCTGGGTATCGTAATTCCAAACGCGGATAATCAACCGACATACCGCTCCTGCATTGTCTCAAGTGAAATTCGTCCCAAGTGAATAATGAAAAAGGAAAATGCGTAGATGCTGGCTGGTGCTGCTGCTGCTACCGGCCTGTCTGTTGGTGTAGCACGGCTGCTGTTGTGTCCCTCGTACCGTCATGCGGATTCTTCGCATCTTCTCATTAACCACAGTCACAGCTCCCTCTTGAACAGGTATGCGTGGTGCATATGACGGGAGGCAGTACACACAGCCTTCTTCTCAAGAGACAGTTTTCTCAAGGTAGAGAGACCAGAGACAATTGTCCGTGGTCTCGAAAGTGTATCACTTGCCGTTGACCGACCTGGACATATATCAACGCACTCAAATGCTCCTTTTCTTCCCTTATGGCCAGCTAGCACCTTATTTTGCTTTACATCCTGCCTGCAATGCTTTTGTGACTCTAATTCTGTTTCGTACATCAATCATGTTTTGCAATTGCCCATCAATTAATCTTAGAGAGGCTTCTTCCCATCTCCATGGTCCTCTATCTTCTTTCTAATGGAACAACCCCTGAGCAGTCAGAGGTTGCGCAGCCCCGGGGCCTGTCAGTATCTCCTCCTCAAACTAAATAGACGAAGAAAAGTTAGACAAAGTCAGTGAAGAGTCCATTACAATCAAAGCTAGGCGGTGGTGGCTCAGAGTTAGGAGAAGGCTCACCTGTAAAAACCCCGTTGCAGTGATCAACACCATAAATGCCTCAGCCAGATCCTCTACGTTCTCCTCAAGCTGCTGGCTAGGCGCCGCAGCGCCGAGACCCATTCCGATACCCGCACTCTTTTTCAGCACCTGTACGATGAGCATTCTACACTCGGTTAGGAACCGACGCGCTGGACCCTGGGTGACGCTGCTCTGGGGTCCGCGGGCAAGCACCGCGGCGCCGATGATGCGCGTCATGCGGAGCAGGAGCGAGTAGAGTTTCTCGAGAGCAAGTGGGTCGGAGCCCACATCTGTGTCGAGGTCAACTGCGAACAGACCTGAGACCTCGACGGCGCGAAAGAGGTTGTTCTGTAGGACGTATTTGGCGCCCTCCCGGGTCTGGCAGAGAGACTGCAGTAGGGCGAGCTTGGCGCCCCAAAGAAGTTCCACATCGGAGTTGTCTGCCATCCTGATCAGCCGTCTTCAGCTCTTTCAACACTTTCTGGGGGTCAGATTTGACTTACCTGCTTGTATGGACCCAAAGCACTCGCGCCAGACCGACTTGAGGGAATCGACCACGACGCCGATGAAGTTGAGCCTATTCAGAGTCTCCACCACGTATGAATCGTTCTCCACAATACCGATCTTGACGAAGGCTCCCAACAAGATGAGAGCTGCCGTCTGACCTTTCGCGTCGCTGCGCTCGGCGTCATCACATATCACATTCAGAAGTCGCTCGCCATGGACGTGAATGGACTTGATGGTATGTTGCCGACTGGCCAGAAATACCTGGCTGTGTCCAGCGATGCCGGCCAGGTAGCGGTAGCAGATATTGTAGTAGAGAGCACGAAGTTCCGAGTTTCCAGCCCACCTGCTGATGGCTGACAGACAGATCTGGAAGAGCTGAAACAGCTTATCGCTGATTAGGTCTCCGGCGACCTTGCTATTGTCTTCCGCGGTTGAGAAATCAACCTTGAAAAGCAGCACCTTGCCTAGCTTCGCAAGCTCGTGGGCCTCGTCTTTGTGGCCTGACGCATAGACGTCCAGGCTTGGGAGCATCACTTGGAGTGCTTGCAGCAGAAATGAGGTTTGATCGCTTCCCTTGAAATCGTTCGACTCGAGCATGACTAGGAGAACTTTTGTCCACGATTTGAGGACTCTCAACCGGAACGATGCCACCTGTGTCTGTCGATTGGAAAACTCCAGGTATTCTAGGAGCATCGCTTCTTCCTTGTCCATAGCGTTGATTTCCTGCTCAGAGGCCAATTGGCCCAGTTTGGCAAACTCCTTTCGTTTCAAAAGGATGACCTCCCTGATCCTGTCGAGGTTGTAGAGTGTGTTGCCGCTTGCGTCGTCTTCCAAATATGGTGTCAAGTCCAAGTCTCGATACAAATCGAAAGATGGAGGTGGTACGTTCCAGAATTGATCATCTGCCGGAAGGAAGTCAAAGAGGTCAAACACGCCAGGTACCGGCCTCATCTCGCCGTCATCCTTCAATTGTCCGTTCAAGGCATCAAGGAGGCGCCGTTTGAGGTGAGGCTGTCTCTGCTGGGAAATGCTGCAAAGCTCAATGCTTGCATATTCCAAAGTGAGAGAGCGTAGAGCCAAAAAAGATATGAAGGCCATGGAGGCATCGGACAATAGGAATTCCGGACCCGTCATGACTTGGCCATCCCATGGCAGAAGGGGTTGAATAGTGATCTCCCTAAGCAGCAGGTGGAAGATGAAGTCATTCTCCCTCAGCTCTGTCAAGACAATTGACGAAGACAGAGGCGATGTCCACAGGACTTGAAAGATTCGCATGATCTTGAACTTGAGATCGATCGTCCACCTCCATATGCCCGTTTCCTCGTCACCAAAGGGTACCTCTACAAGGACTCGCAGCATCTGGTGGAACAGAGACGTTCCAGAGTCAAAAGACCCATCCTTCTTCGCTGAGATGAAGTCAATGCCGCACTCAAACCCGAGAAGCTGATGGGCTATGGTGGGTTGATCGGGAGTGGCCTGAAGACAAGCAAACAAAAAGTCCAGAATGTACACTTTGATCATGTAATTCGGCGACTCGGCTTTTCTTGAAATGTCGAGAGGCTCCGTCAGGTCTGCGATGAATGATGCCGAGATTGCCTCGCCATCACCCATCTGCTCCAGTGCAACTATGGCCTTGTTGCGATGCGTCTGGCCATAGTGGCCGGGACTCCATGCTGAAGCGATCCTTAAAGAAGATGAAATCTTCTCCAACAATTTCAAGCACGCGAGTGTCAAAGCCGGATGACCCATCCCGCAATATCGGCCCAGGTCTACCACTAGAGTGATGTGGCTCATGATACCATCTTCAAAGGAGAGGTACGCCGGCGCAGACAATGCCCTTTTGTTTGGCTGATCCTTGATCAATGGCCGTATAAGGTCGACGTAGGTGTTTTGCATCTCGAGAACCTTGGTGACCACCTCGACTGCTCGCAGGGTACTCAGTATTATTGGCGACTCTGGTGTTGCACTAGCAATCTGAGTGAGCTCATCGGCATATTTGGGACTAATGGTACTGAACAATGCAGCCATCACTCGGCGGTTGAGCATCCATTCCATCACGCGCGCGAAAGGGTGCAACTTGACATAACTAGCCAGGTCTGTCGTCGAGATGATAGAGTCCACGGCAATGTTCGTCTCATGACTTAGAAAGATGAGGTCCTCGTTGAAGTTGTCCAGACAGAGGAGGATGAATTCGAAACAGCTCAGCCGCAGCATCCGCGTCTGGACCGTGTCGCGCAGCTCCCCAGAATTCTCACCCAAGACGTTGCCAAGGACGTAGTCCACGTAGGGGTCAATTCCCGGCATCCTGGTCTGTGATCCCAGCTCTTCAGGGAAAGGCAAGACATCACTCAAGGGTGACGAGTCCAATACAGGAGACACGAGTGAGTTGAGAAATTGAACCACAGCGTTGGGCTCTTCAAACCCACGGCCCAGCTCTTGTAACTGCTTCTTCATCGTGGTCGCAGGAGTCTGATTGACTTGTGCTGAGGGTTGACGAGTTGCAGCTTGAGGTGGAGGGTTCTGTCCTGTCGCCCATGAATCGAGGAGTGTCCACATGATGTTGCATTCCGATTGAAGTTTGCGGCTCATCAACGCTCGCAGCGCGTAAAAAGCGGAAGCCCTAAGACGCACATGCTGCGGTCCGGGGATGTTGATCAACTGGTACAGGCCGTGAACCAGGTTGTATTCACCTTTGATAAGATAGACCCGGACAGTCTCACTCTGGGACGCTAACCGAATGATGAGTCTGAGATAGCACTCAAGCATCATAGCAGACTCAGGCTCGGCTTCAGCCTGCTCAGCAGTGGGTTTCCCAGATCGGTAGATTTGGGATTGGGATGTGGCCGGTTTTTGAAGCTTATTGGTGAAGTAAGTAAGTTCCTTGAAGATCTGCGTCCAGGTGAGTGAGTGCGATTTTCGCAATTTTCCGGAAGCCGTCTGGCCTTCGTCCAAAAGAAACGCGTGCGCGGATGAAGCACACGTGTCGTCGTGGGATATGGATTGCAGCATCTCGCAGAATGCGCTGACCAATGGTGTAGACGCTCGTCTGGACGCCCACTGCAAGAAGCCAGCTAGGTTGCTGTCAGGATCCGCCCAAAAGGCCTCTGCCGCCTCGGGGCGGCCCTCGTATGCGTACGCGATAATCAACAGGAAACGTTCGAGGTCCAGATCTTGTTCGTGGTTTGCATTGAGCTGACGCTGTTCGTCCTCCTCGGTCCGCATCTTGCGGAGGACATCGGGCATGTTCGATATGAGTCCCTCTACGAGGTTCTCTAGTTGCACCACGAGTGCAACTTGAAAATGCTCCGAAAATTGGGCAGCATCGGCCAGCGAAGGTGACTTCCTCTGAAGCCACTGTCTTATGCCGAGCCGCGTAGGGTCGTGCCACACGGGAGTTTTTACGTCTGCTGCAACGGACAGTATGAAGTCAAAAGCACCGTCCTTCAAAGCTTCGGTGAATTGTTTGAGGCGACCATTTTCGTCTGTGTCTCAGTATTAGCGCTGGCTCTCATGACTGTTCAAGGATGCTTCTCACCAGCTAAAGTGTCAGACTCATCGGCAACATCAACGAATAGGCCTGAGAACTCCACAACCCACCATGCTCGGACAGCGGCATGAAGGTATGGCATGACCCAAGTCTCATCATCTACCTTGGAGAGCAGCTTGTAGAAGTCGCGTGCCTGTTCCAGATCGTTGTTGCCTTCTGTCGATCCAAACACAGTAATGTAGGTTCCAATGATGGGGAATAGGTGAATTAGCAACTGATCGTAACGGTCCAACTTCTGGAGCATCGTCAGAAGATTTCTGAAATCCTCAGCCTTGGCATGCCGTTTATCGATCGCGCTGGCGGTGATCAATGCCAGTATCTCGTGTTGCTGCAGGAGACTGTGGCGGGAGTACTCGAGCACCTCATCGAGAGGAGGTCGATCCACGCCGTGGATGACGCCCGCTGCTGTCACCCTGTCCGCGAGTTTCTGCAGCCAACTCTTAATACCCTGCATGGCCTCCATACACCTCGGAACAATTTTGGGGCCCCCAGGTGCGCTAGCAACGTAAATATTCTCATCAACGTATGCTCTAAACGCAGTCTGCAGATTGTCGTCCAGTTCGTCATCGTCGGCGATCTGTATGCAGAGGCGCATACAATCCAGTAAGTACCTCCGCTGCTGATGGAACCAGACCAGCCCAGACTCAAACAGTGTCCGGCCGAGGGTCCTCGGATCATCGTGGCAGTCCAGAAGTATCTTTGCGGCCTCTATCTCGTCGAGTTCGATTTCGTCAGCAAGCTGCAGGGCGTTGTCCTGGAAGGCAGCATTGAGGGTGTATGTCTCGTCCTCGATTGTGACTTTGCCTGTTTTGCAGATCTGGTCAGCTCATGATCTCGCCCGAGCAGGATCCTGTTGGGGTTCTTTTGCGTCGGCAGGACAAACCTGTTTTAAGTGCACTGCGGCTCTTCTCGGTTTTCGCAGGTTTATCAAGAAGCTTCCTGAATGCTTGTGCATGAGCATCAAGCTGCTGCTCAAGAATGTGAAGGCTCTCAAAACGGTGGTCCAAGACTGCAGTGAGCTCTCTGTGAAGCGCCTCGAGGGCGTCGAGGGGGCTGATTTCGGTCATGGTTAATATCTTGTTGAAGGCAATCGCTGCATCTCTACAGCTTCAAGGCGGCGCTTCTGGATCAGCGACCTGTTCGAAAAGCAATAGATATGGCTGCAGATGGTTCGTGGGGATTGACGTCAGTCAATTCGAGGGGCTGTTGACTGAAGTTCTGCCTTCGCGTAAAGCTTGTTAACTTTTTCATGCCCTGCCAGCTCCGCTGTCACTGGTTAGGCATTTGAGGTATCGCGTAAATTTGGCAGTGAGCTTGGGGACGCGACCAGGACCCAAACTGTGATCCAGGGATCAATGGGCTGCTGTTTGGAGCCGCCTTGGATGCGAGCCAATAGTAGAGGGCTGAAAACTGGGCCAGCAGGGATGAGTTACGGTGTGGTCAGAGCTCCAGTCGATAAAGCATACCAAGCTGCAGGCACGACAGGTTGAGGTTGACGGGCACCGGCCAGGCCAGTGAACGTTACTTTTAGGCAGCGCAGTACACCAAGGAAATCATCTGGGCCTGCACCTTCTGTTCTTTTACCAGGGCAGCAAAAATGCAGTAATTGCTCGTGATCTCTGACGTCTTCAATTGCATTTCCTTCGCGAGAGCCGCCCGTTCTCTTTTGACCTCCTGTCGTTTCTGCCTTAAGTTCTCCATCCTGTCAGCCCCTCAATTCTAGCATCGTCTCATGGCCTTCACTGCCATCGGACAATGTTTTACTGCAGCAGGTCTCTTTCGTCTGCCATAAGGCTCACCATAGCAATCACAGTGCACGATTTTTTCTCGATAATCAGATTGGTCTCATGAGCGTGGTATGCTTTATGAAAGCCGGATTTAGGATTAAGGTTACAGCACATCCTGTTGGCAAGAGCGTTGAGCATCTGGATGGCCAATAACAGGCACTCGAGTCTGGAACCACCACCACCACCACAATGCCCCCGAAGAAAGGGGCCATGAGGCCCCGAATTACGAATGTTGAGCAGTTGAGAGGTTTGGGCCATTACTCAGTGTGAACCCCTCAAGCTTTCGATTTGCTGACTCCCTTACAGTCAATATTTCTGGGTCAGGTGTACAGGCTCGTGGCGAGGCTTTGCAGGGTTCGTTGTCCTGCCAAAAGGCAATTGCTTACCCGTCTTCGCTGACACGTTGTATAGACCTCATCGACTTTTTCAGCCAACCATCTCAAACCCAGTGAGAATATCCTCCATCCCGTTGTAATTGTCATAACAGCCTTACTAATTGACTCGTTCAGTGATTCTCTAAAGAGCAAGGAGTATCATGGCCTGTTCGAGGCCCTCTTCCAAGCAGCGTTGTCTGATAAGCAAAAGTTCTTGGCCGGGAAGAGTGGTGTAAAGCATGCAAATGAGAGGCTTGACGATTGCGGCAAAGCATTACGGGCGACTGTCACACATGGCATCTCGAAACTCAAAGCTAATACCTCGAGGGCCGTGATAGACCACATTACTGACACGCTTCCCGACCGCGACGGGGATTTCTTTCAACCTCTAGCACGAGACTACATGCAGACGCTGGGGCTCCTGCTTGACTGCCCTGCACATGTCGAGAGTCTCGCTCTTTCCAATGGAGCTGGCTGGGAAGCATGTGTCGACTTCCTCCTCTCCAGAATCTCTCACCTATTAGGTGGCACGAGGTCGACAGCTTCCGAGACAGCACTGCTTGATAATGAATCCCCTGCGCCGGGTACTGGACGCCACTCATCACTCGTTAACTTGAGCAGACGCTCTCAGGCTGCGAGTCAGCGCGGCTCAGCTCACCTACAGCCAGGCGACCTTTCCTCGCCAGTGCAGTGTCTGCTGTCGTTGGTATCCGCTTCCAATGCCCCTGGTATGACACGGCGTCGAGAGGTGTCTGATGCCGTGCTTGATGTTTTGCGGCTACGTCTCAACTCCAGCAAACTGCATAGGGTGGCTTTCGCAACTTTGAACTGCATATTACTCCAAACAGCAGGTGATGACCCCGCGCTTGGTCGGGCGATCACCAGGGAAGCGGTGCCTCTACTCAGCTATTGCTGGCAGCCACGGGCCATCGACAATGATGAGTTGTTGTTCTCCGTGAGGGATGAAATGCTAAAGACGATCCACGGTATCCACCTATACCTGGACAGCCTCTTGCAGGAAGCCTCCTCTGCCCGCTTGCTGGGCGACCTGGAAGACCTCTTGGATGTACTCTGGACTGAGTATTCGCAAAGAAGCCAACAGTCGCGCCTCCGCTTGGAAGACCTGACGTTTTCGTCCGCGCCCATCCCTAGTGGTCACTTCAGCACAGGCTTGTTTGCTCTTCGACCATTTACGCAGGATGCCGAGCGCCGTTGGGTCGTCGTTGAGACAATGTCTTGTCTTGAACACATTTTTTTGCGGCATAGCGGAGCCGGCGCACGATGTCCAGATGTTGAGGACGAGCAGCCTAGGAAGAGGCAACGCTTGGCCGGAGGCTCGTATAGGCTGCAGAAAAGATTGCTTTCGTCCGAGGTCGCGGTCAAGTTGACCGCCCTCCAGATCTTTCCCTTCTACTTGCCTAACAGCGAGGTTTCAGGAGAACAAGCAGCCGCAATCATGGATCATTTGACACCGATGATCAGTGACAAGCAAAGCGTCCTCTCATCATGGGCAATGATCGCTTGTGCCAGGTGAATATATGCTGCTCCGTTGACTTCGTCCTTGATTAACGGATCTAACGAAAAGGAACCATAGTTGTGCAATCAAACCGCATGGAAATCAAGGCATAGCTGAAGCCAAGTGGAAACAGCTATGGCAGCTAGCCGTCAGATCTTTGAGCATATCAAGCACATGTCGAGCAGCTTGCGTACTTCTTCATGTAATCTTGGAGTCTCAATTGCTTCCGCACCATGCAATTGCGGATGATGTGAGCAACTTTGTGATAATGGCCGATATTTGCGGACCCGCAGTATTGGTTGATTCGTCCTTGGTGCTCATGCATTGCGTCGCAAATCTGCGCAATGAAATGGCACCTAGTGCTATGCAAAAGACATACAGTCATGTCATCAGATGGGTCTTTTCTACCTGGAAACCTGGTAGGTTTTGCTGCGCTCGTCGCATTTCCCAGGAGGCTACTAGCTGTCTGGAGGATTTCATGCTAACAATTTGAAGCGGATTCAACCTACGCGTCTTCTTACGGCGCCCATATGGTACCGATTGACTTAGTCAATCTTCTTCTTTCATGCTGTGGTCTGTCTCCAATGGAGCTTGTTGGTGAGGCGCAGCTTGTTGGCGGTCATGTTGCGCAGTTCTGGAAAGCGTTCCGTGATTCTGCGCAGATGACGAAATATCTACTGCATCTCGACGGCGAAGATTCATTGGGTCCCATACTTCGCCGAAGCTATTTCCACAACACGAACGGCGAAGAAATCACCGATGAATTCACGAGCTCCAGTTCTCACAACTTCAGAACACTTGCTCTAGAGCTACTTATTCCCAAGTTGGACGACTTTGCCCAATTGTTTCGACCAACATCTCAGTCAAGTGTACGACATGGGTCCGAAATATCTGCGAGATTGTCCATCGAGAGGTTGCGGAGCTTGCTTGCATGTCTGGTTTCGAGCACCATTTTGTTGTCCTGTCTCCAGGATCAAGACTCTCGGATCGTGGCAGACATCAAGACCACGTTGGACGAATTGTGGGACAGATGTATCGAAATGGTCCTCGAGATGCCAGAGAACAAGGAGGCGTTTGAGGTCATTCTGCTGTCGGTGGCCCCATACTTGCCTCGGCTGGATACAGTACAAGTGGAACAATTCTGCAACAGATATCCTCATCTTTTGAGGCTCTGCGAGAGGTTGTGGGATCTCACCCGGGCCCACAATACTCGCCAGACACCAGGCCAGCAGTCGGATATTATGGATGTTGATGAGGAGTTCAAGTCGCAAGTCAACAAGAGCGATCCTTCTTCGGGAGTCGCGACCCTTCCCAGGCAGAAGATTGCATTGCGTATGAGCAAACACGCTTTCTTGGAAGCTACACAGATGAAGCTGCATCTCTTCTCCGAATATTCCAAAGACCACGCGCAAGTCGGACTAATTACGGAGGCTGTTATGGACGCTTTTCTATCCCTGACAGACGAAAAGTTTCTCTTCTGCGGCGGGTTTCTTCACGAACTTCTTGAATTCAATCTTGGCAATACATCAAACTATGCCAGGGATATCATTGAACAAGTCGGAGGGATTTTACGAGAAAACCTGTTTTCAAGCTGCGAGGCCGTCTTGTGCTTGTGCGCAGACATACTCATGTACTTCGCACCCCTCTGGTCAATGGGTGGAAGCGACTCGGATCTTATCAGCCCGTCCGTGGACCTGTACAATTTTCTCGTGAAGACGGCCTGGCCAAATCGCATCTTGTCTATCGAGGCGCAGATGTCGTTGACGGAGCTTCTGTATCGTCTCATGGAGATAAACTCTGAATTCTGGAGAGATAAGAGGGCCAAAGTACATGAACCACGCAAGACCTTGCTTGAGATGCTGTTGGTTGGCCGCATGAGAGTCAAATTCCACATCGGACAGCGTCTGACAGAGTTTTTTGATCTTTATGCAGTCAAACTGCACGAGGCCATCTTCGGAGACGTCTTGAAACAGCTGCCAAACGATGGGGGTTTCTTGGAAGGCATAGCTTTCCGAGTATTCGTCCTGGCTAAACTGGGCTGCGAACTTCCGACACTTCTCCGACGGTGTGTTTATCATATTTTAGAGATTCCCAGGAAGGTTCCGGGTGTCTCGAAATACGCAACTCATGGCATGAAAGCTATTGCTCTTGCAAGGTCACTGAAAACTCCACAGGAGCTGCTATATCTGTTCGCCCCGCAACTTCTCTATACCTTGCTCGAAGAGGGAAGCATAGAGGACATTCCATATGAGATATTCGATTTCGCGACCTTGGATTCTCTCCTCGCACATGTCAGGACCGAGGCTGCTGCAATCATGATCATGCGAGACCAAGACGCAGCTTTGGAAAGACTGGCAGCTCGACTCGGAACGGCACCTGAGACAATCGTACAAGAAGGCTTCTCAAAGATTATGGCGTACTCCACGTGCTTTGATATAGCCAAGAGGGAGTCAGATATCACCGCCGAATCGCGGATTAGAAAGACTCTGGGAAAGGACTCATTCTACAGTTCCCTGAACCAAAACTTCGTCGACATTGTCGGTCACTTCTTCCTCACTACACAGGAAGACCTGATTGAGACGTCATGGGCGAAGGATGAGGCTTTTGTGCATGCTGCAAACACCATGGCAGAGATCAAGAAATTCAGCCACTCGCCAACTCAGCTGCCGCCTGATCAGCAACCGTCATTCAAGGGCAAGCATCTTGTTGTACAACTCGCGCATCTTGCCAGTTATACCCAATTCAATATCCTTTCTCTCTGGACCCCTCCTCTCGTTACTTCGGTAGCACGCAGGCTGCTCAACACCATACACCCAGCCTTGGGACCTCACCACGCCCTGTCAGTGATCCGCAAGATCCGAATTTTAGTCTGTCTGGCTGGGCCTCAGGTCTTGGTTTCATATCCTCTTGAAATGCTTTTGCGCTCCATCAGACCATTTATCTCGGATACAGAATGCGCGGATGATGCTCTCGGTATCAGCCAATGGCTGATTGCCAATGGTTACACCCATATGGTACAGACGCCATCATTTCTCGCAGGATATGCCTTGTCAACATTAGCGAGCCTGCGAATGTTCTTAGAGTCCAGCCAGGCCAGCTCCACTCAAGAGAGCCAGTTCAAAGCGACCATGAGCAAAGCACAGCGGTTTCACACCTGGTTTGTCAAATTACTGAGGGAGTACGAATCTCCTGCCTTCAAATCAGAGACACAAGCGCAAGCCTTCAAAGCCATCACCGTCTCAGCATCCAACATTCGCACTTCGGGCAATTCGCAGAAAGACACGCACGAAAGCAGGCTTCTCCTTGAAATACTGAAAGACGCGGAGCAAGAGGATCAGCTTCTCAATAATTCGGCCCGAGACCTGGCCCTTAAGATGTTGTGCGGCGACTTTACTATCCCCCGGTCCAACCAAAACGATATTCTTGAATCTGATGCAGACGCTCGCATTCATGGACCAATGGTGTGGAAGAGCTGTCGATCTGTGAACTCGAGCAAAGAGTATTTGACCTGGGCGGGACGTGTTGTTGGTAAATCGTTCGCAGCTTCAGGCGACATCCCGCAGGATGTCCTGAAAGAATCGCTCTTGTCGACGTATCAAAGGACTACAACCAAAGGCGGCGATTCCATCCATGGCCTCCTCAGGCTGCTGGCTGATTTGGCGATGAGCGACAACTCTCGCCATGCAGGCCTCGCGGAATCGGCTGTGCGAAGGATTGTTTCATTTGCAGTTGCTACAGATGACCATGATCTCATCGCAGACTGCAGACGTAGCTTGCCTGAGACGCTGTTTAGCTCTTCAGCCTGGTCCTTATACCAGACCCCTCCAACAGACCACGGTGCTACGGGTCATGATCAGCATGATGTCTTTGGTCTGGACAAAATCGAGTCTCCGCTCTGGGCCCGTCATCTGTCTGTCCACTTGGCCGAAGCTTTGCAAGACAATACCGTCTTGGCTAGTCTCTCTTCAGTCCTGCATGAACTTGACGGTTTTGCTGAACAATCACTTCCTTATCTTGTCCACCTTGTTCTGGTTGGCGAATTCGACAGTCAGAAGATGGTCAAACGAAGCCTATCGGCGGCTGCCAAGGAATGGCTCAGATCAGATTCAGCAGATGCCACAGCCAACATCAAGCTCCTGGTCAATGTGGTAATTTATCTGCGAAGCAGAACATTCCCTGGTGAGACGTCTGTTATAGATAGGTCTCGTTGGCTCGATGTTGACTCCACCGTTGCAGCGGAGGCCGCGGTGAGGTGTGGCATGTCTAAGATCGCTTTGATGTTCGCCGAGCTGGCTCTTGCGGACCCTTCACGGATATCACGGCGGTCATCAGCGGCTAGAGAGGGCGAGGATCCATCCGAGTTGTTGCTCAACATCTTTGAGAGTATTGACGACCCTGACGCTTATTATGGACTGGAAAGAACGGCATCCCTCTCCAACGTTCTGGCGCGACTGGAGTATGAAAAGGAAGGCGCCAAAAGCCTTGCATTTCGCGGGGCTCAATATGACAGCCACATCCGAATGAGAGATCCAGACTCAGGGCGTGACGGACAATGCTTAGTACAGACTCTGAGTGGTCTCGGCCTAGCAGGCCTCTCTGAATCATTACTCCAGGCTCATCAAGACCATGACGATTTTACAAGCTCCTTGGATACTACCTTCCACACGGCCAGAAGACTCGAGAAGTGGAATCTGCCCGCTCCAGCAACCCTTGAGAACAATGTCGCCATATCTTACAGGGCCTATCAATCCATCCACAAAGCCGTTGAGCTGGGACCAGCCGTCACCGCGGTCCGAGACGCACTGGCGAGTACCATGAGAAATGTTATCACCAAAGGTCTCAAGCCAAGTGACCTTCGCCAACACCTCAGCACACTTGCCGCATTGACTGAGCTGGACAACGTTCTCGGTGTTGCCGATGCTGGAGACCTCAACAGGATTCTAGATAATTTTGAGACACGATCGACATGGATGCTGAGCGGAAGGTACGTAATTTCCGTGGCTTTGAACATCTGAGTATGCGCTGATAAGTCTCATCATGCAGATACGACGATGTCAGCCAAATATTGTCACATCGTCAGACAACTCTCAGCCTTTTCAGCCAGAAGGACACGCTGAGGACATCAAAAATCACTTCGTTGGAAGCGCGGCTAGTCGAGGTCCGAAGTATGCTGTTGTCCTCCAGCATCTATCGATTTCAACAGGCCAGACAAGAGGCATTGAGTATATCTACAACGCTACGAGACCTGGTGGCCCCGAGCCAAGCCATTGGGCTCTCCATCGATGCCGCTGTTAGGATGGATGAAGCCCACTCCCTTTGGGATTACGGAGAGATGATATCGTCGATCCGACTTCTACAGGGCCTACATGAGAATGCAGCGTCTCTGAGGAAGCAGAACGTCCCTGTTTCTCACGCGGAGGTCCTGTCCAAGGTCGGCCATCAAGTGTCCGTGGCAAAGCTCGAGACAGTTGACAGCATTCAAAAGAAGTATCTGGAGCCTTCACTCAAGGCGTTGAAAGGCGCCAACACGGGCAAGGAGGTTGGGCAGGTCTTTCACCAGTTCGCGACCTTCTGTGATGAGCAGCTTCAGGACCCCGAAATGCGCGAGGATCTGACGAGGCTCCAGAGACTTGTCCAGAACAGGGTCGAAGAGGTCACCCATTACACCAATGAGTGTAGTCGAGCTGGCAACTCACAAGTCAGGGTGAGGTATCAGAAGTACCTCGAAAACACACGGAAATACTTGAAGCTGGATCAGGACGAGCTCGAGCGCGCTCAGAAGACGCGCAACGAATTTGTCAAGCTCAGTCTCGAGAATTTCCTCCAATCTTTGGCCGCCTCAGATGACCACGACGGCAATGCCCTCCGGTTCACAGCGCTATGGCTGGAACGGTCCGAGAATGAGTTTGCCAATCGGGCAGTGAATACGTATCTGAAGAATGTGCCAACTCGAAAGTTTGCCCCTCTGATGAATCAGCTGAGCTCACGGCTTCAGCTCGACAACAGCTCGTTTCAAGCGCTACTCATGTCACTCGTGTATCGCATCTGTTGTGACCATCCTTACCACGGCATGTACCAGATCTGGGTCGGAAGCAACTCAAGGCCGAACAAACAGGACGAGGTTGCCATTCGGCGCAAAGAAGCCGCCAAGAAGATTGCAACCCAGCTCCTGCAGACCAGCAACGGTACCTCTGACATCTGCAGGGCAATTGACAGAGTGAGTGGATGCTATCACTCGCTCGCATCAGACAGAGGCCCGAAGGCGAAGAGTGGTGCTAGGATCAATGTCAAAGACTCCAAAGAAGCGAATCATCTTTCGCTATGCTTTGGGAGGTATAAAGTTCCTCCACCGACAATCGACATAGAGCTATCGCCTACCAAAAACTACGCAAACGTGCCGGTCATGACAAAATTGGACTCGACAATGGTTGTCGCGGGTGGTGTCAGCGCTCCCAAAATTATCACAGTTGTTGCCAGCAATGGTCAGAAGTACAAGCAGCTGGTGAAGGGCAGTAATGATGATCTTCGTCAAGATGCAATCATGGAACAAGTCTTTGCTGCTGTCTCATCCCTCCTTCGGCAACACCGATCAACAAGACAACGGAACCTTGGTATTCGAACCTACAAGGTGCTCCCTCTCACGAGCACAACGGGTATCATTGAGTTCGTTGCGAACACACAACCACTGCATGACTGGCTGATCCCCGCTCATTCCCGATACTACCCCAAGGGGCTTAAGATGTCCCAGTGCAGGAAAGAGATCGATCAGGTTCATGAGCAAACGGCCAGCATCCGGCTCTCAGTATACCGCAAAGTGGCAGAGAAGTTTCCTCCCGTTATGCGCTACTTCTTCCTCGAGTCCTTCCCTGACCCTGACGACTGGTACGCCAAGCGTCTCGCATACACGCGCAGCACAGCAGCCATCTCAATACTAGGACATGTTTTGGGCCTGGGCGACCGACATGGCCATAACATTCTGCTTGACAAGAAGACGGGGGAGGTGGTGCACATCGATCTCGGCGTCGCGTTTGAGGCGGGTCGGATCCTGCCAATCCCCGAGGTTGTTCCCTTCCGTATGACACGCGACATTGTGGACGGCATGGGTGTCACCAAGACGGATGGGGTATTCCGGCGTTGTTGTGAGTTCACATTGGATGCGCTGCGCGAGGAGACATACTCGATCATGACGATCCTCGACGTGCTGCGCTATGACCCGCTGCACTCATGGAGCTCGACGCCCGTAAGGTTGGCGAAGCTGCAGCGCGCCGCAAGACGGGGCGAGGATGACGAAGAAGGGAATGATGGCGGGGCCATTGCCAGCGAGCTCGGAGCAGCCGACAGGAAAAAGGTAGTCAATGAACCATCTGAGGCGGACAGAGCGCTTGCGGTGGTGAGGAAGAAGCTGTCCAAGACGCTGAGTGTCACGGCGACGGTCAACGACTTGATCAACCAGGCAACAGATGAGAAGAACTTGGCCATGCTGTTCTGCGGCTGGGCGGCATATGCTTGATCTGGGGGCAAGAAGCACAAGCCAGCAAAGTGAGCTGAGCTGGCACCGGAGAATGTTTATTTCTTGGTCCTGGCCTGTGTTCCATGTGGATGTGAGGTAGGCAGTGGAAGAGTGTAATCTGATGATGTTTGATCTGTTTGAGCTTTTTCTCTTGAGAGTGACACGTTTCTCGTTCCTCACCGCGTGCGAGAGGTTCATTCGTGCTTCGTCATCATAACACAAGACGCCATTGTGCTGCTACAGTCACTGATGCAGAGAGCAAGACTCTTCTTATCAAATGTTTTCAAGGAAAGCATGAGCCCATAGTACCGTTATTCGCGAGTAGTATAGGGTGGGCTGTACACTTGAGTAGTACAGGTACCCAGGTAGGTGAGGCGGGGTAATGTGGGTACCAAATGCGCTGTGGCAGCGACATAGCATTCACTAACTCCGTTCCCGCAATCGCGCCGTAACCGTGGGCAAATCGCGTGCTGCCGTCATCCATTTATTAGCTGGCAGCATTCACGTCTACGTCTATACAGGCGATAACTTGTCTCGTCTCGTCTTGATCTATTTTCTTTTTTCTTTTTCTCTTTCTGTGCATCGAGGTGTCCGGTCCCTCTCGTCGTACTCTTTGGCTGTTTCATTTCTCCACCCCCCAACTGCGAGTCCTACTCGGGAATACCGCCCAACGACGAGCCAAGTGCTTGCGTCTGGGATCTGACCTCGAACCTACCCACAGTAACAACAGTAAGGCCTCGGCATCTGCTGCTTCAGTCTAGTTGTTGGAGCATCAGCACGACCAACCCTCTATCGTTCTTGCGCGGCTTGAGGGCGTGCCGGGGATGCAGTCCAGCACCCACACCAACAATCCCTCACCCTCATCCGACAATCACGACTCTTCCACTTCTTCCCGACGTCGTCCTCGCGTCGACTCTACCTCTTCTTTGTCCAGAGCGACCCCCGACCCAAAACGTCCCCGAAAAGCAGCGACAGCAGAAGAAGTAGCCGTTGCGGCTTCCCTGCTTCCGTCTTTCCGCACTTCCTTCCAACAAAGCTCAGCCACCACGGCCGAGCACACGGCGCCCACCATGAGTATGAAGGGCTTAGGCAAGAGGCCTGAGGTTGCCTCTGGTTTCAACCCGATGTCAGGCGCCCGCCGGATCGTCATCAAGAATTTCCGCCAGAGCCCTACCAGGGCTGCTGACGTTGAGGACTACTACAAGAGGACATGGGCAGATGTCGAGGATGCGCTCACGTCCATCCTCGCGGGAGATCGGCCGCGGGTGCCCTTGGAGCGTGTGTACCGAGGCGTCGAGGACCTGTGCAGACATAATGAGGGGGAGAAGCTTTATGCCATGCTCAAACTCCGTTGTGAAGAGCACCTGAACTACCAGGTCCTGAGCAAGATAAACGACGGAGCGTATATGTCCGACGTGGGCATCTTGATGCGTGTCTGGACCCAATGGTCCATTTTCAACAAGCCTCTGATCACCGTACGCTCCGCCTTCAGCTTTCTCGACCGGTCCTTTCTGCTGAACAGCAAAAAACACCCCTCGATCAACGACCTCCTCCTTTCCCTCTACCGGAAGATGGTATTTGGGCCGGAGCGTGGTGGTGAGTCCTTTTCTGGACACAAGGTGATATCTGGGCTTTGTCAATTAGTAGATTTCGACCGACGAGGTGATCCTGCCGCAGACCCGACGCTGTTACACAACTCTATCAACATGCTCAAGGTGCTCGGTGTTTACGGATCCAAGTTCGAGCGCACATTCCTTTTGGAATCAGATAAGTATTTCCGCGAGTTTGCCGCAGACCAGTCCGAGCATGGGCTGAAGAACTACATCTCGGTATGCGAGAGGTTGCTGAAGCAGGAGGATGACCGCTGCAACCTCTTCAACTTCGACAGTACCACCAAGATCCTGCTTCTCGAGAATGCGCATAACGTGCTCATTCGGGATTACTCGTCCCTGCTCCTGAACAAGGGCGATGTCGCCAGGCTGCTGGAGCAGAATCAAGTCGAGTCGATGAGAGCGCTCTACATGCTATTGGGGCTATCAAAGCTGCAGAAGAACCTGAAGGGGCCATTTGAGGACTATATCCTACAGGCCGGTGCACTCATCGTGAACGATACCGACAATGGCGATGAGATGGTCATCCGGCTCCTAGAGTTCAGGCGCACCTTGGACACGATGATCCGGGACGCCTTTAGTGGCGACGTCACCTTTACCTATGGGCTCAGAGACGCATTCGTCCAGTTTATCAATGACAGGAAGAACTCCTCGACAGGGGGTACCGGCACGTCCAGGGTCGGAGAAATGATCGCCAAGCATGTCGACCTGCTGCTACGAGGAGGGATCAAGGCCCTGCCAAAATCGCTGCTCTCGGACAGCAGAGATAAGAGCGAGGCCGAGAAGAGCGGACAGGCGAGCACAGGCGATGAGGATGCAGAGCTAGACCGGCAGCTGGACCAGGCACTGGAGCTTTTCCGCTTTATACAAGGAAAGGACGTCTTCGAGGCCTTCTACAAGAAGGACCTGGCTCGCAGGCTACTCATGAACCGCAGTGCTAGCCAGGATGCCGAGCGGAACATGCTCTCAAAGCTCAAGAGCGAGTGCGGCTCGAACTTCACCCACAACCTCGAGCAGATGTTTAAGGACATGGAGCTCGCCAAGGATGAAATGGCAAACTACAAGGCATGGTCCGAAGGGTCTGGCAAGGACAGCGGCGGGCTTGATCTCAGCGTCAGCATCCTGTCGCAGGCTGCATGGCCGTCCTACCCAGATGTGAAGATGCTTGTACCTCGTGACGTTGCCCAGAAGATCGACCGCTTCGACTCGTACTACAAGAACAAACATACGGGTCGCAAGTTGCTCTGGAAACACAACCTGGCGCATTGTGTCGTCAAGGCCTCCTTCGCCAAGGGGACAAAGGAGCTCCTGGTCAGCTCGATGCAGGCGACGGTGCTGGTACTGTTCAACGAGGTATCTGACGGGCCCTTGAGCACCGAGCAGATCTCGACGTCGACTGGCCTTCAAGGCGGTGATCTGGAGCGCACACTCCAGTCGCTGGCCTGCGGCAAGATACGGCCGCTGATCAAATCGCCCAAGGGCAAAGAAATCAAACCGGACGACACTTATGTCGTCAACAAGACTTTTACGGATCCCAAGTACCGGATCAAGATCAACCAGATCCAGCTGAAGGAGACCAAGGCCGAGAACAAGGAGACGCACGAGCGGGTCGCGGCTGATAGGCAGTTCGAGACGCAGGCAGCCATCGTCCGGATCATGAAGAGTCGTAAGACGATGACGCACCCGCAGCTTGTTGCCGAAGTCATCAACCAGACGAGGAGCAGGGGCGCGATGGACCCGGCCGATATCAAGCTGAACATAGAGAAGTGCGTACTACCCTCTCACCACCTCCAATCCCTCACCCTGCTCTGTTTCCTTTATGGAGTTTCTACCTCCCAAAATATATATATACTGACCTGGCTATTTGTCATGACAGGCTCATTGAGAAGGAATATATTGAGCGAGAGGACGGCAAGTATACTTACCTGGCCTAACTCTATGAGTGTTGTGGTGTAGTAGTGGTGGTGGTTTTCAGGAATATGGGCGTTCAGTGGCGTTGGTTGAGACTTGGACCAGACGAAGAGTTCGGATGGACGAGACAAACGATTGCGGCATACAGCACGAAGACCTACTGTAGATGAAAGAAAGCCTTCTAGTTAAGCACGAGCACAAGTGGCTGATGTGCAGTAAGGTTATTATTGTTAGATGATAAGTCTCGATAGACCACCTGCGAGATCAATCCCTCATCATCAGGAGAATTGGAATTTTTTTTTGATAATGGACAACACTGTTGTGCAGTAGATTTGCGAGAGTTGACTTGAAGTAAGTATTTACGGTAATTCTCTAAGTGCCATTGTATGCTGGATGGGAACAACACAACCCCCAAGCTGTGTGGAACACCCCTGTCCCTTCGCTTCGTCGTCTGGACCCCTGCAGGAAGCCCCACCCAAAAAGTTCGAAGCGCATCCGTTATCGATACCAAACTTTCCTGGATGGGAATTTCGAGAGAAACATCCCAACCCAGACTACCAATATCTCTCGACTCTCACTTTTCTAGCAACAAAAAGCACCTGCACCTCTTTTACCCCGTCTCGTTCTCCCCTCCCAACACTCATCTCTTCTCACCAGATCAACCAACACAAAGAAAACACACGCACGCCCACGCACATACATACAATCAAGATGCCAAAGTCAAAGAGAGCCAAGACATACCACCTCACGCAGGTGACCAAGAAGACGCGCGAGCAGAAGGAGCAGCTGTTCCAGAACATCAGGGCGACGGTGCCCGACTACAAGCACTGCTTTGTCCTTGGCTTCGACAACATGCGCAATAACCATCTCAAGGATGTGAGGCGCGAGATGGTAGACTCGAGGTATGTATCTAATCGTGCCCCCTTTCTCGTCCATGATAATTCTTCCTTCCTCTGTAGAATGTCGAGTTGGACCACACCTGCTCACTCACACGCCCCATCGCGACGGAAACTAGAATCTTCTTCGGCAAGACCAAGCTCATGTCCCGCGCCCTCGGCACCGACCCCTCCACCGCCGTCGCCGAAAACATCCACCGCCTCTCCCGGCACATCACCGGCTCCGTGGCCCTCCTGTTCACGAACCGCACCCCCGAAGAGGTGGCGGCCTACTTTGCCTCCTTCGCGCCCGTCGACTTTGCGCGCGCGGGCGCCGTCGCCACGCGGGACTTTGTCATCCCCCCGGGCGTTGTCTACGCCACCGGCGGCGCTGTGCCTGCCGAGCACGACGTCCCGCTGGGCCACACCATCGAGCCTGAGCTGCGCCGGCTGGGCGTGCCGACGAGGATGGTGCGCGGGAAGGTCGTCCTGGGTGAGGAGGATGGGGCCGCCTCGGGGGCGGAGGGGTATACTGTGTGCAAGGAAGGGCAGACCCTCGACTCGAGGCAGACGAGGCTGCTGAAGCTGTTTGACCAGTGCTTGAGCGAGTTCAGAGTGCGGGTATTGGCGTAAGTGTAGTCACAAGATTTCCTTTTTCTTTTCCTTTGTTCAACCTCTCCCAAAACAACAAACGGCCCGGGGGGTAAGAGACTGTGTTCGAGCCGCTAACACTCGTTTCTGCAGATACTGGAGCTCTGATAGTGGGGAGGTGACTGAGGTCGATCCTGTTGACGAGAATGCCATGGAGGGTGTTGAGGAGGAGGAGGACGAGTGAGTGAGCGGGCGATTTGAGGCAAGTGGGAGAGACATTGGTGATGGAAAAGACTCCCAGAAGGTCGAATTGTTTTACTCTCGAGTTTTCATCTGTCTATGGTGATACCATTGAAAATCATGGGTTACGGCGTCACGGACGGGGAAAAACCAAATGAGCATTTCGCGCAACAAATGGGACAACCTAGAGTTGGCTTTGGGACAGCAGTATGCTGTTCGTCTTACTGGGAGCAGCTACTTAAGACGCCAAATGACCACGGGGTGTCCGCTGCCATCTGTTCATCTTTCATCGTAGGGGACTACTCGGCCAATCAAGTATTCCCTGAAAATTACCTGAACAAAATCCCATTTTTTTTTCCTCCACCACGCTTTGCATTGCAACGAACGCCCAGCCGGAAAGTAAACCTCGTGGTCAGTAGGAACCGCAGTCCTTACCTCTGACCTTACCTCGAAGCTATCGCAGATATAAGATACAAAAAAGGGTCTCGTCCCAAGAGATACTACCTGTCTCGTCCTATGCCTGTGGAAGTCTTTTGACATACCGCGACGTCACTAGGCCTGGGCAGCTGGATCATGATCGTACATTTCGCGCCGAGATCCTAACGACTTGGATGTTGAAGGGTCCTTCCTGGACAAGGGATCCTCTGGCAAGTTCTGAAAACGGCAAATACCTTGATGCCTCCTTTTTGGTGGTCCGTGATTGGGGTCGATAAGCGCTGGGCATTACCTTGCGCGGAGAGTAATCTTGTTATGCACTGCTGAGAAGGACCCCCTCTCTGGCTTCCGTGTGCTTACCCTTGTTGTCTTGTCGAAGAGGGAAGAGAGGTGGGTGGAGACGACAAAAGCGAAATCAGTGGACTCAAAAAAGATACCCACCACGAGGTCGAAAGCAATAGTACGCTGGTCTCTCGTCGCCATTAATATCGGCGCAACTTCCGCTCTCCTTCGTAACCCGAGCCGCCCTCGTATGGGCGTTTACGGGAATCATCTCCTCTGCGGTCATCATGACCGCGGTCGCGATAGCCACCGCCACCACCACTGCTGCCGCCGTGTCGAGAACCGATCGGCTCAGCATTGCTGCCAGAGCCGGATCGGTCGTACCCACCGCGATAGCCGCCGCCTGATCTGTCATCATCACGTCGACCGTATCCGCCGCCGCCGCCGCCGCCGCCTCCTCCTCCTCCTCCTCCTCCTCCTCCTCCTCCGTAATCTCTGCGATCGCGGTCCGATCGGCCGCCATACCCGCCTCCGCCGTAGCCAGGTCCGCTTGGCGCATTTGTGGGTGGGCCACCGTATCCGTTAGAGGAATTGCCGAAACCTCGGTCACGGCCACCAAAGCCGCCTCGAGAACCACGGTCAAACCCTCCGCGGAAGCCTCGGTCGCCTCCTCTGAAGCCTCCACGTCCGCCTCTGAACCCACCACGGAAGCCACCGTCGAAGCCGCCAGGGCGCACAGGGGTAGCTTTGGTGTAACCGCGTCCGCCGAGTCCGCCTCCCAGTCGACGGGGCTTCCAGCCAGCAACCGCACGGCCTCGCTCGACGTCTAGCTTGATACGGCGACCGTGGATGCTGATGCCGTCGAGTTGATCTAGAGCAGCTACATGGTGCGCGCGCGACAAGACGCACATGTGTCAGTACAGCCTTACCATAGCTCGCATACCTTTGTTCGTGGTGATTTAGATGAAGGGGAAAGGAGTAAGCGGGGTTTGAGACGGGCAAGCTTGAGGGCCACAATCTCGGGCTGGGGGTTTGTTTTTTTCTTCTTTTTCTCTTTGAGTTCGGCTCGCCGGGGCTAGTTCCAATGTGCTTGGTATAGGGAGATCGATGGTAGTATTACCTCTCATGTCTTTCTCGCGCTCAAAGACTATGAACGCATAGCCTCGATGTGGCTTCTTCTTCTTGTTTGGCTTCTCATCCGCATGGGTGTCCCTGACGATACGAATCTGCAGCAGCGGAGGTTAGCCAAAAGACTAAGAAAGGAGGAGTTCCTGCAGAGCATGATGAAAACTGGAGTACATACGCGTTCTATAGCACCGATGCGACCAAACTCTCGCTCCAGGTCCTCCTCGTTGGCCTGGTATGAGAGCCGACAGACCATCAGGGTCTTGAACGCATCACCGCGGATATTTGGATCTTCATGAGGTTTGTCTGTGGTTCAATTGTCAGCCCGCATGCATCTCTTCCTGGAAAAGTGAAGGGTGGACAGCCGTACATGATTTTGGGCCCTCCTTGACCAGCGCCTCGAGCTCGGCCTTCTTCTCCAGCTTCTTGCGGTCGCGCGCCTCCAGCCAACTCTCGGTGGGGACATAGTCGTCCTTGTCCTTGTACTCCTTGAGCGCATCCAGGTAACCAGCGACACCGCTGATGTTGGCTGTGTGTCGGTCCTCGGCCGCGAAGTCGCAAGGCGGCACCCAGCGCAGGGGAGGGCGCGGCGCGAAGAGCGCGAGGAGGTTGGGAGGGAGCTTGTCGGTCATTTTTCTCCCCGTGTCAGGTGTGGTTCATGTCCGTCGGATTAGAGGGAAAGGGAGGATAGTTTGTCGACCATCAGCTTCAACTCGCCTAGATGAAGCTTCAAGGCTGGAGTAAGGCTGGACAAGGCAGGACGACGTGGTCTGTTCGAGGTTGGTTTGATGATGCCAACGTTGGGGATGGAAAAGGGCAACGGAAACAGCGTGTGTGGCGTCTCGCGACAGATTTCATGGGCAGTAGGCAAGCATGGCATGGAAGCTTCAGAACGCGCTAAAAATGTTAGCTTATGTAAGGCCAGACCAAACTCTGGTTACCCCCCTTGTCGACGCCGTATCGAAACATTTCCAAACCTCAATCGCACGTAAACCACATCACAATGCCGATAAAACCTGTGTTAGAAGCAGTTACGAGGGGCCGAGTAGGTATCTGACCACCTGAGTTCTTACTGTCTCAACTACTGACGTGCAGAACAGAATGGCGTCGGCGCCTTCGTGCTGCAATGCAAGAAGATGGACTTTCACTACTGCGACTGGGCAGGCAGCTCCAGGGGCATGAAGTAAGTCTCGCTCGACTGATACTATCGCTCTCTGAACACTATGGAAATCTGCTGACCGGAGGACTCAAGCAAATTCATCGAGATGCATTTGCCCAAGTTTGCCGCAAGACATCCCGAAATCGAGATCAGCGTGTCTCCTCGCCCGCAGAAACACCCCACCGTCATCGCGCACTACATTAATGGCAACACGAGGCCGGTGTGTCTGAAAAAGATGGACCCGAATCAGATCCTGAGCAAGCTTGAGATGTTGCGGGACTCCACGGGCGAGATAAACAAGAGGGTGAAGAAGCCTGTCAGGAGTACCAACGAGAGTGTCAGAGGCGTATGGTCACCATATCATGGTGATGCGACGACAGTATAAAGTTGAAGAACAATTGAATTTCAGAGTATCTGTGCCGGATTTCAAGGATTTCTCGCTGTGCGACTGCATACATCCAGGAGTTCGGACGCTACCTATCAGATACAACAAGAGGAGATAGTCTCTGGCCGGGCACTATGTACTCAAAATCACATAGCCAGATTACATCTGGACGCATGAAACAAACTCACAAAACAAGAAAAAAATATTTTATAAATCACAAAAGGGGGGTTCGATTCGTCCCTAGAGTTTTGTTGGTATCTCTTTGCTTTTACTACTTATTGAGCGGCTTCATATTCATAGTATCAAGTCCGTCAGCTCTTTGCCTTTGGATTGAATTAGGTCGAGGAGCAGCGGCAACGCCCATGGCGGCCCGTCTGTGGCTCTCCAGCCGGACTCTATCATCTACTGCAGAGAGTTGATGATGTCGACAAAGGCAGGCTTCAAGCTGGCACCACCGACCAGGAAGCCGTCAATGTCAGCCTGCTTGCTCAGGTCCTTGCAGTTCTTCTCACTGACACTGCCACCGTACAGGATGCGCGTCTCCTCAGCAGCCTTGTCGCTGACGCTCTCCTTGAGCCACTTGCGGATGGCAGCGTGCACCTCCTGCGCCTGCTCGGTGGTGGCAACCTTGCCGGTGCCAATAGCCCAGATGGGCTCATACGCAATGACGATCTTGGACCAGTCCTCGGTGCCGATCTTGGCCTTGAGCGCCTCCAGCTGCTTGGTGACCACAGAGACGGTCTGGCCAGCCTCGCGGACCTCAAGGGACTCGCCGCAGCACCAGATGACACTGACACCGTTGTCAACAGCGTACTTAGTCTTGGCAGCTACAACCTCGTCGCTCTCACCCAGGATGGTCCGGCGCTCGCTGTGGCCGAGGATAGTCCAGGTGATGCCGCTGTCCTGGAGCTGGGAGACGGAGATTTCGCCGGTGAAGGCGCCGTTAGGCTTGTCAAACACGTTCTGCGAGGCCACCTCGATTTCCTTGCGCAGTTGCTCGCGGACGAGGAGGAGGTAGAGAGCTGGTGGGGCGACGACGACCTCTAGTGAAGGATGAAGAGAACACTTGGGTCAGCCTGGAGTTTATCACTCCTGTCTTGCCTGCCTCCCTCGAAAGCAGAGGCCCCAATACAGACATTGTTCAGATCACGCCATGCGTGGAAAGAGTTCGAGACATACCAACATTGGGGTCAATCTTGGCTTCGTTCAGGGTCTTGACGAGGTCCTTAACGGACGAGGTCGTCCCGTTCCTATAGTAGACGAAGACATATAGTTAGCTTGGCAGTCCTTCTTCTTCGGAAGTATGCTTCAAGAAGCTCTTGAGGGGTTTTCACGAGCGAGCAGGGCGGGGGCGTACATCTTCCAGTTTCCTCCCACGAAGAATTTGCGAGCCATGTTGGGCAGTCTGTTTATGTAGCTAATGGATAAGGGATCTGAAGCTAGGATATCAAGCTGGGACGGCGGGACACAGGATGATAGAGTATACTGTGGTGGGGAGAGGAGAGAGAGAGAGGTTTTGTAGAAGATCCAGAAGGAGAAGAGGGTATACTAGTATAGCCTAGGCAGTGACGCAGCAGCAGAGCTTCAAGGTTTTGGAGGGGTCTCTCCGGTCTTGGAGGGGCTCAGAGCAACCCTTGCACCCCTGCGCCCCTCGACCCGACCCCTGCACCTGCTTGCGGGTCAAGCTCCACGAGCCCAGAGTCTGGCGCGTCTCGTTCGACAGATTCGGGACTTGTCCACCTTAACCAACCAACAAACACCCAAACGCCCTCGGCTCGCAGGATGACTTCATGCCACAGAGACTCGATGTAGGCATCCCTACAATTCCCGCATGACCTGCAAATATGTGGCCTGACATTGTAGGCCCTCGGATGTCTCTCGCTGAAGCACCACTTCTCGAGTCAGATGTGCGCTCTTATTCTCGGGCAATTCCGGTACCTTCTTCGGCTGTATACTGTGGTCTTCCCGAGCTCGCAACCCCTGAGGAGGTCCCATCAAAACCCTCGAAGGCCCTCGACTATGGCAGCCTCCAGCGATGTTGCTGTCCAGATGGCCGTAGCCCAGGCCAAAGCAGACATCGCACTGGCCCTGACTGAACAGTTTCAGAAGGAGCTCAACAACCTCCGCGATGCCCTCGAGCAGGCCACCAAGGAGAACAAAGCTCTGAGGAGCGAAAATGAGAGCCTTCGGTCGCGCCTGCAGGTCGGAGCAGCAGAAGGGGAAGAAGACGTGCTGCTCAACAACCTCGAGGAGGAAGAAGCCGAGGCTGGTACGGGACGACCGCCACCAGAGGGTCATATATTCAGCAATGGCGGACCCTACAGGCCCTCCAAAAATGAGCGTGCTGATACAACTCGCCTCAAGCAGGAGCTCAACCGGTGGACCCAGGCCCACGGCTACTCGGTGAAGATCATGCGGTCCAAGCTCACTGGGGCGAGGGTGAAGCTCGTCGTCACCTGTGTTCTGGCTGGCAAGCCCAACCTGATGGACGAGCAGCGGAGGCGGGAGAAGGCAAACATGGGCTGTCGCATCAACAAACCGCGTGTTTCCAAGCTGCGCGACTGTCCGCTGCGCTTCCTGCTGCAAGAGATTGTGCAGGGCTCAGGGACGTTCGTCGTCCAGCACAGCGATTTGCCCACGCACCAGCGATGCAATCACGAACCTGATCGGTCCCTGAGGCAATTAGGAGCTGGGCTTTGAACGAGCGTCAATCTGCCGCGAGCAAGCAAGACGCCAGCACTCGACCATCACATGCGAAGCATTAGTAGAGATCCCGACGGCGCTCACCAGAAGAGAGACAATAGTCTGTTTTGGTGTACAGTGTCGACGACGTATGGCACCAGTCGCGGATCACTGGGAACTTGAAGGCATTGCGGAGCGACTGCACACCAATACCGATTCCCCCCGCAGAGGTTTCTTTATTGCCATTCGTCAACGTCATGGGCTTACTCTGCTTTGACTGGTCTCCAGCGAGCTTCTGCTACTCGGCAAAAGGGCCCCAGACTAGCATGACCAGCAGCTGACATTGGACAGACATGCCGCTTGGAAGCAGACCTGCATCATCGCCGCCTGACGGGATACTCGATCGCAGCCGAATTTGCGACTCTGCCTGAAGGCTTTTCCATATACAACAGGGACATAGAGGACAGGTCACACCGAGACAGTGTTTCAGTCGTTTGGAATCCCTTACTACCTGCAGTCTCCAACAGCAGGATGTGTCAATTTTTGCTCAACCAAGTTGGAATGTCAACTCATTTATTCAGAAATAATTATGAGCATATCAAGAACCCAAGGAATCATAAGGCTCTCACTGCCTTTTTTGAAGCCATTATTCCATGCGACCTTTCCCAAAAAAACACACAAAAAAAAAGCATCAGGAAACATGCCCATCGTCGACCCTCAGTGGAGAACAAAGGGGACACAGAGAGAAAGAATCAAACAAGAGGAGAAACAAAGAAAGAAAAAGAGAGGAAAAGGACTGCTAATAATCGAAAGCAGGGTCTCCCCCGAACGTAAATCGCGATCTCAGCGTGTTGCGCATGAAAGGGTTTCTCGGAGAAGTGAGCTCATCGCGCAACCTCATTCTTTCTTGTTGCCGCATAATATCCTCCTGCTCGTCGCGAGCCCGCCGAGCAAGATGATTTTCATGTTGCTGCTTTGCGCGGTAAAAATTCACATCATCACGATCGTCATGTCGTGAAAAGGCCCTTCCACGGCGGCCACCACCATCACCACCAAGATGCATGGTGTCGAAGTCGTCAATCATAGTCTGCTCGCGCGAGCGCTGCCGGTTGATCGCACTCGTTCCGACGTGTCGGAAACCATGGTCGCGTTCATTGTGAACCTCTGTCCGTGGCGTACTGCGCGGCTTAAACCGATGTCTTGAAGGCGACCGGGCGGGCGCGTGTCTCCTGGCTGCATGGTCGTCCTGCTGCCTCTGGAATCGATCTTCCTCCCGCTGGCGGGCGCGACCAGTGCTGACGCCGGCTTGGAACATGACCTCGTCGCGCATGTGCACCACATCCTCCGGCCGGGACGAATGCGCATGGGGAGGCCCCTGCTGGGGCACTCTGACCGGGTTATTGTCACCAGTGATGATGTACGTCTTCGGCTTGCGAATGTTATCCCGGCTGTGCTCCCGTGTAGAGATGCGCGGCGGCTGGAATGATTTAGGGAAAGCAAGGGGCACAGCGGCGGCGGAGTTCGGACCGGGACCCTGCGGCTTCTTGGGATAGACGGGTCCGCTATACGCCATGGGCGGTGAGCCTGTGTCGACTGACGAGGGCACCGTGAAGCTGCTCTCGCTGTCGGAGTAAAAGGTTGAGCGCGCCCTGCTGGAGCCGGAGGACGAGGCCGTGGAGCTGCCGCGCCTACGCCTGCCGCGGTTGTCGTGCTCGATGATAATTTGAGCGTTGGGCCGGCTGGGGCCGTGCGGTGAAGGGCTAGTCCGGTGGCTGTCTGGAACGCGCCCTTGCTGTCCCTGGTTCGGTGGCATCTGCCCCATAGCTCCTGGAGGCGGCATCGGTCGTCCTTGGGTTGGTGGCACCTGTCCAGGAGCTCCTGCTGGAGGCATAGGTGGTCCTTGATTTGGCTGTCTATGTTGGAATGCTCCTTGTTGAACGGGCCGTGCCTGGTTAGGCTGCAATACTACTGGCTGAGACCTTGGCGGTCCTTGATTTGATTGTATGTGTCCGAATGCTCCTGGAGGATGCATCGCCGGTCCTACAGGTGGTCCTCCTTGTGGTTGAGGACGATTGGGAAGGACCCCGGCAGCATTTTGAGGATGATGTTGCTGTTGCTGTGGGTGTGGCACATTCACTTGCGACTTCTGTTGCTGTTGCTGCTGTTGCTGTTGCTGCTGTCGCTGCTGCTGCTGTCGCTGCTGCTGCTGCTGCTGCTGATGCGGCTGCTGCTGCGGAGGTTCTTGTGGCCCTCTGTTTGGCTGGACGCCGTGGAACAAGCCTTGCTGGGCCTGCTGAGGGGGGTAGGCCTGTTGTCCCGGAGCACGTTGCGCATAGGGGTGCTGTTGTACTCTGCGAGCCTGCCTCTCGACTTCTTCCCGCTGTAACTGAAGATACAGCTCGCTGGGAACATGTTCCGGACGTGGGCATGACTTGAAGTACGCAAGGATGGAAGTACGTTCCTTTGTCCTCGCCTTACCATGCGAGCCATGCCTCGTATTCGAGCTCCGCCGCTTAGCTTTGCCGTCTTTAGATTCGAAGGACTTCTCTGTCCAGTCGATCTGATCGAGCACGATGTGGAAACGATTATCGCGAATCTCTGACGAAAGGTCTTGGTGTGCTTTTGCAATCTGTCTCTGGGCGTTGGGACCGAGCGACGATTGCTTCTTCAGGATAGTTGGCCACCTCCCCTTCTTGGGATCCCTATCCTGGAGATTCAGAAGCCGAACCTGGTTGAGGACTGTGGCGAAATCATGTTTAGGCAGGGGGTAGCGTGTGCAGTTAGCCCAGGTCGGCTTGATCTTGTTGCCATTGACATCGAGCTTCTCTCTCGGCTCGACCTTCTCAATGCGGACGGGGTAATACTGTGAGAGAAGGTTGAAGTAGTCGTCCTCTGTGAGAGTCTCGTTTCTGAGGTCGACTCGCTCTGTTCGGAGGAGTTCGTCAGGGATGATGTCTGGCCGCGGGTGTGGAGGGTTGGGTGGCTGTCGCGAGTCGCCTCGCTGCTGCTGATCTCGACCCGAGTATGGGAAGGACTGCTGAGGCATCACCTGCGGAGGATGACCACCTCCTGGGAATGTGGTAGCGAACCGGGGATTCATGGCCATGGGAACAATATGATGCCGTGGAGGGGTAAGAAGTGTCAATGCTTATGACAGAGAAGGCAACAGATGATGAGGTGGAAGGCAGAGGGGATAACTATAATCGGGCACAAGGCGATGGAGGGAGCCTATATATTATCCACCTGACCTGCCCAGGATCGCAGGGCAAAGTGTACGAAACACAAACAAGGTTTTACACTTTGCGAGCCTCAAAAGTGAGGCGAGTGGAGAGGCATGAGACCTGGCCAAGGTACGGCACATTGGAGGTGCCAGTACATGGATGGGGGTGAATATCAAGTGTGGGACGTACCCCAGAATCTATCAGCTACGCGTCATGCGCTACCCGAGGGGTCAAAGTACATGCGACGCATGTCACTTTTTCTTTTCTTTCTCTTCTCCTCTTTCCCCCCTCTCAATCTGGACCTGGCCACAGGCCAGCGCTGACCATAGAGACGTGGCTTGTTTGGGCCTAAACAACGCGGCCACTCGCTTACTGTTAGGCTCCTCGGACCAAAGAGCGGGTGGTGTGAACCAACTGCCAGCACCGTTGCCCGGGCGTGGTCAGGCCAACTCTCCTTGCCTGGTTCGTCCGGTATCTTGCAAAGCAGACAACAACTCATTGTCCTCCTGCTTTCTGAGAACGAGGCCACCAAAGACCTCTCTGGAGAAAGAAGGGGCCAAGCAGGGAATGGGGGAAGACTTGAACGCCAGAACTCGTACCTCTACATTGGGAAGTGTTTTCCGAAAAGATCATGCCTCGACTCGGGCGGTCACACAGCTGCTCACCTCGAGTCCAAGACCAACAGTGGTGGGAAAAGCGTTTGACTTTCTGGTGTGCGGGCTGGCTGATCGCGTCACCGGGTTTCTCGTTTCTCAGAGATCTGGTGCGTGGTGTTTTGCTTGGGCAACGTCACAGGGAACGCGAGATGATCGTTTCGTATTCTACGTGCATCCATCGCCTTCTCCGAGCGTGTACCTCGTTACAGCAGAGAAATAGCTGGTACTCGGGACACGTAGCAGGGCTGAGCCGGGAAAAGTTGCTCTGTTCAGCAGAGTATTTTGTCACTGTAAGTTGCTCGTGGTTCGCAAATGGTTCGCCCAAAGTGCAAAAGCCAAAAAAGAAGGCAACCACGAGGCAATTGATCAGCATTTATCCATTTGTCTCTTGAGCGCACCAGATGAGATACACGCTAAAAGCATGGGAGGTGCGATGGCCCCCGTTGCGGAATGGTGTGGTTCAAAGTGCAAGTGCTGTGCTGATAACCCTCAGCCTTGCGCGTGTGTGCTGATTCCGTTGGCTCTCAATGTGTCTGGCAGGAGGCCACCCACCAACCCCAAATGAACAATTCACCTGATTTCCCCCCCCCCCCCCCCCTCATGCATATCTTGTCGGGGTCCATTGAAGTACAGATACAGAAGCGACCTGCTAGACTGTTGTCCGCCTTTTCACTGGCCTCCGGGGGGGGGTTTTTTCTTCTTCTTTTCTTTTTTCCTTTTTTCCTTCTTTTTTTCTTTCTCCAATGAAGGCGCCTATTGGCGTCAAGCCACTTCAGCTGGACAGGCCCAGTTGGCATGACACTTGTCGATATGCGCTCTGCTACGGCTATACTTCTCTCGATACTCATATGCACGCGCGCGGTACGGCTCCTTGGAGTCTTCGGTGGCATACTATCTTGGGGCCAAAGACCAGGGCAGCGGTATCTGCAGAGGCCTGCTCATTGGTGCAGCCAAGCTGCTATTGTGGTACTGTACCACATGCGCCCTTTTGTCATCTCAGCGCTGTATTTTGCCCGTCTATGGGGGCGCTTCTTTGACTGGGCGTGCAGTGACTCACCCAGGATCGCAGCAGCAGAGCCTCAACCTCAAACGTTCCAAGTCTTGCCGGAGGGGATTTGAGGCCATCCTATGTGATTCTCCGTGCTTCTTTGAATTTTCTTTGGTCCCTCCCCCCTCCCTCTATTGGCTTAGAGACAGCTTTCTTCGCCGCAACATCACCGACTCACTACGCTCGCAACATTCTGTCGAACCTTGTCGCCGGCACCTCGTTTTTCACATCACACATGTGCAAGCACATCAACACATCTTTGTGTGGCCTTTTTTCTTGCTTCCTTCCTTCCTTTTTTTTTTTTTTTTTTTTTTTTTGAGGACCGTTTAAACAGCTCGATTCTGGGCTTGGTGGGGCCACCGCCAACTGGATACGACCTGTCAACTCGAAACTTTCGGGCCTTCAATAGAGACAAGTCTGAGTTGGCTTGCATCACATCGCCTGGCTTCTGCGACCGATGAGCCCCAGGAATTGTGTATACTACATGCCCTGCAGCCGAAGGCCGTGTTAGCCACACCCCCCCCCCCCCGCGGGGTGTCGATGCACGCCATTGGAGGGCTGCATTTGCTTCCAGAAGCCGCCCCACATACTTAGCTGGGCGAGAAGTGTCCACATATAGCCGGCCTGCTATGCACTGCCACCTTCTTTTGCTGAGCTGCTGTACATACAATAATCCCTCCGCACGATCCGGCGTCCTGTCTGCGCTGTATCCAGGCTAGACATCCGAAGCAGCGCCAGCGTTCTCCAAATAATATGACGTGGTTTGTTTTGTCGGCCTCGATCTGGTGTTTTGTTGGGTGCAACCAGTGCGCAACCTACAGCCCATGCATACAATGTCGCGTTGAGTCTATCACTTGCTTAAACGGCTCCCTGTTGACCGGATGAGGACCATCTTGGGCGAGCGCATTTGTGTTTTATCGTCCCTCCTGTCGTCCGCTTTTTATTGATTACTGCATCATGCAATCCCATGGAAGCATCGAGATCTCGTCGTCGCACTCACCGAGAATGTTAATTAGATGCTTGTACTGGGCCATTTCTCGCCTAACCTCGAGACGATCTTCTCTCTTCCGATTTTTCTCAGCTCGATTGCTGTCACATGCCGAGAGTCCCGCCAAAACCGCATACGCCCCCCCCCCCCCAAAAAGTACCTTAGGTGCGTACATACATCGTGGCGCAACCATATTGAAACTGCTTCAGTCACGAGGAGGCTACAGACACACCGGCCCGGGTCGGTGAGACCCAAATGAAAACCTCGAGACAGCTTTTTCTCTTTTCTTTTTCTTTTCTTCCTCAGACGTTGGGCCTCATTTCGACTCAAGCCACGGAAACCTACCATGGGGCTGAAAGCTGAAGAGGAGGGTTGGGGAGGGGGGGGGGGCGGCAGTACATATCGCCAGGGTCACACGCAGAGCCGTTTTCTTGCGTGTGATCTTGATGAGCACTGCAACCCCCGCCCGCCCAACGGTCCACCCGGCAGCACGTTCCATACAGCCACGAGGCTTGGAAAGTCTGTCTCGCTAGTTGTTCAATCTCGTGTCACGTTGATACAAGCTGTGGTATGTGCTACGACATCAGATCACCTGACCTGTAGGTCAGGTCGGTAGACTGGCCGACACAACATTTCGAGTATTTGAAGTTTGTCTGTGTGTTGAGGGACGTTGCGGTCCAGGTTGGGTCTTCTATGTGATTCATTGACAACGGACCGAACTGTGAGGCGTACATTGTTGTTCAGTACACCCCCTTCCACCCTTCTAAGGGTCTTGGCCACACGTCGAGAAGTTGGTCACATTGCATCGAGTTTTCCATGGCGAAGGTTGATCGCGAGGACGTCCTGTCCTTAGTGAGGCCTGATGCGGAAATGATCATAATGGGATCGACCGAGCAGTCGGCCAAAATAGCAACATGCTGACCCGGAAGTCAACCCAACCTTGTGCCAGCGGCTTGTCTTTCTTTGGGGGCTCTTTTGGGCTTCAACAAGTAGACCGCCATGCTCTGTCCGACGCCCCGAGAATATGACTGCAGTATCTCTCCAAAATTTTATTGTTATAGTGGTTGCATCTGACTTCGGGCCTGATTGTCGACGACCGCCCGCCCCCCTCGCCCCCCCAAAAAGAACCCCGAAAGACAGAGAAAAAAAGTATGACCTGGACAAGAAGTACTATAGTACACACTGCATTAGAGCCCAATGAAAAATTGTCTACTGTACTTGCCATTGTAACACATTTTTTTCTAACTTCTCTATCATTGCAGACCGAGAAAACCATGTCATCCTCGGCGGGAGGGCTAAGGAGGGCTATATGAGAGCTTGGTAACTATACCTCAACCCCTCCCTCCCTCTTTCTATAGCAGCAGTGTTTTCTCTGAGAGGGTTGCGACACTAGTTTGATCTAAAACATGTCATTTATGGAGGTTTGCGCGTTTACCGCCTCAGGCGGTGTGCGTCGTGGTGGTGATGGTGATGATGATGGTGGTCGTCGTCGTGGCCTCTTGAGACTGGCCACTTATGAGTGCTTGGACGGGGTAATACCCCTATCTGGTCGATTAATGGGCCCAATGACCCCCATGGCGGGTGTTATCTTGTTGCAGGAAGGCTGGCGAGAAGTAAGGGGAAAAAAAAAGAGGAATCTATTCCTGCTGTCTTCTATACCTTCCCACCATGTAGAGGTATCTCATGCGGCTGAGGTCGAGGCAGGGCACCTGCTTTGGCTCAAACTGGGTTTTCAATATGAGCATGGATGGAGAGGGTTGGTGGCCTGTAGCTGGGGGGCGAAGGTGAGGCTGTAAGGCAACAACCCACCACTACACACGGTCGTGCAATGGGTTTCTAGTCGTCGTAGCATCTTGGCGCATGTGTGTCGTGTTGTCCAGTGGACCACGAAGTTAGTTATTCTTTGTTTCCAGCTTTTTTCTCCTTCCTTCCCTCCTGGTGAGAAAGTTGTCGTCGAAATGCCTTGACTCGAAGGTCGACAAAAGAGACACATGAGACTGTACATATCGTCCAAAATTGACGATAGAAGCAGAGTGAGGGAATGATAAAAGTTGTTGTCGAGATTTGTTGTTACATACTTCGCACTGTGACACCTCCAGCCCAGAATTGGTCGCCTCCCAACCAGCGGACGGACACACTCGCACGACATGGCCCCGCTAGAGAAAGACAGTATACAGGCCAAATGTCCGAGGCCATGCTGCCCTCTTTTCCTCCTTTTTTTCCCTTTTATCTCTTGAAGTAGCACTAAGGAGTCACCGATACGTCTCTTCTGCGTACGCACGTAGCCACGACAGCACAGCCCATGCGGTGTACAAGCGCGCTCGTGCCGTCCGCCGAAGGAACACTCCCACACCCCCCTCCCATCAACTCCAAGACCAGCTAGGACCCCAACCGATTCCCCACATCACTCCTTGATCTGCTGTTTGTGAAAGAGTCCTAGGCAGCAACTCAGCTGGCTCATTCGTTTCATGAGACATTCAGTGAACGGCGAGGGCAGGCTGCGCCAGCGCGCACAGTACATACCAGGAACCTCAGGCATCCAGCTGGCCCTGTCCTTGCAAAAGAACTCGCCCTTGGGGGGTAACTTTTCGGGGTCATCCAGCGTGCCGTAGGTGACGTATCTGAACTTGTCGGCAGCTTGTTCCTAATGGAGGAAGAAGGGCCGTGTGAGCAAGCACGTCCCGGAGCCAGAAGGGGAGAGGGGGGGGGGAGGCCGCAGTGTTCCTTCTTGCACGACAACGACTACTACTACTTACACCGTACTCGCAGGTTAAGGAGCCACAGTTGGAGCAAAACTCCCTAATGACGCCGTTGCTCTGTCTGAAGAGCTTCGGCTCGCCTCTGGAATAACTAAAACTCTCAATTGGGACCTGGGGGTGGGGTGGTTGCCGAGTCAGGGCGGGGTTTACCAGCAGGTGTCTAGAAAGGGGTGGTGAGGATTGCTCGCCTTGGTGGTCAGCCCATAGTTAGTTCCAAATGCCTTCTTACAACTCGAACAGTGGCACAGTGAAGTCCTGGCAGAGTTGGCGGAGTCCAGCTTGAGGGTATACTGCAGACCTTGGCAGGTGCAGCCGCCGGTGAGGTTGAGCGCCATTGGGAATGGAGAAAGTTTTGCCGGTCGCCAGTAGTGTGGAGAGAACTGATGGCGACAGGAATTATGTCTGTCTTGTCTTTCTGCTGGATGTCGCAGTTGATTGCTGTACTTGGTTCAAGTGACTGGCCAGTTTGATGAGTCCATCATAAGACGCAGTCGAGTTAACTGATCGGCACCATGCAAAACGGTTGAGGAAGGTACGAGGTGAGGAGGGGAAGTAACGTCATCGGTCGTCATTGCCAACAGCCCACGGTTATCCTACGCTCAGTAATTGCCATGAAAATCCCGATCATGACACCCAGTCTGCCAGTGTCCTGTGGCACCGAACTGATTCAGAATTCTACCGAAATCTCTGAGACTCTGGAATGGAATATCAAGGGCCCTATAAAAAATGGGCCCACCTGGCATCTGGTTTGTCCCACCAAGTACTTTCCCGCCTTCTATTCCGAAGTACAAACTCATCATGTACGAGCATGAACGTTGGACTTTTGCTACACCACTGAAGCTCCTCCCAATCTCCTTGATACTATCAGACGGGGGCTTAAGCAAGCTCAAAGACAAATCAGACCGTCATCCTCTTGAGGTGGCTCTAGCGGACTGTCCATGAGCTGTTGTTCAATAACAACGCCTTGCCCAGGGCTAGAGCATCATGCACTTGAGGCTTCCCCAAGATAACGACGCCGAAGGATGACCACCAGCCCAAGCACTGGGCACCATTCATTTTGCAAGCCATACTACCGCCCCAGATCTGCCTTGCACTGCCTCCATGGCTACCGTACATTAGATTTCAATAGTTACTAGTCCACATGACTGACTAGGTAACTGGCTAATTCTATTGTTCTCTCTTTCGTGTAGTCTACAACTTATCGACAAGGTCTGTTATAAAAGACCTATGTATGGGTGACCAAGGGGGAAACCGGGATCTCTCCGCTCCGCTCCCCCCCCTCGAAGTCAGCATGTGGAGGTGCTCACCCCCCAAACAGCATCAATAAGACAGGAGGAAAGAATACAACGGAGAGGAGAGGAAGACGAGAGCTATTGTCCACTGAGAAATGCAATCCGAAACATATAAATAAATAAGGAAGCGCAAGCAAAAGAGAGATATAATTCGTGTACACCTTTACATATGTCGACCTGCCCCAAGTGGGGCCTAACTCGTGTTAGTTACCGGATTGGGACCAAGAAGGGAGGCCGGGGGGTAGCTTGCTCTCAGTTACCAGCCAAACGGTATTCGTACAAAATGCTCAAGTGAAATCTCAAACCAAACAAGGATTGGGAGGCCTTATATTCAATTTAATCATTCTATCTGCACATGAGTGACTAGTAGGGGTCGAGATCAAGTGGGCCCATTGTCTGCTTTTCAGCACTGGCCTTTTGACCATTGATGCTCGGCATACTGTACGACCTCTGGATGGGGAGGGAATAAAGCCAGTTTGAGAAAGACTATTGGGCTCTCTTATACATATTCACAAGTAGCATATAGAACTCACTGCTGTCTTTTCCTTCTTGGGAGCTTGTCTTTGTTCATTTTGTTCCTGGCTTGATTTGGAAAAGGGGGGGGGGAGTTGTTCCCTCGGTTCTGCTATCAAGTGCTCCATTGACTCTGGCAGCATACTGCTGAGCATCACGACCGGTTCCTATCACTTCCCCTGCCCCCTGCAATCGAGACAAACATGGTAAATAAAGAATCCCTGTCTCTACATAAGAGTGGATGCCTTGTGCTGCTGTGAATTCTCCGAGAAACGTCTGCCGCCCGACTACTTGGCTTAGATTAAGTAGCCATTGTCTCGGCGATATCCCCAGCGTCCATCGTTCGACTGTTTTTTTTTTAAAAAGAAAAAAGAAAAGAAGAAGAAAAATAAGAAGAAGTAAAATAAAAAGACGGCGCTCTGATCATGAATGACAACCCAAAACAAGCGGAGCACCCCCTCCCCCGGGCCTCTCTCTCTCCTCTCCACCTCTCCGTACGATCAGAGACCAAATATTGTATGTTGACAGGGCCACGTGAAGGCACACACACCCAGCGCAAGCCATCCTCCCTATTTGGGGAAGGAGAGGGGGGGGGGGGTAATAAACCACACCGCTCGCGCGTGCCGTGCATAGGACGACGGGAAGTTTGAGAGAAACTGCACGTTAATAGAAGGCCTGGGTTAGAAGGATGTGTGTGGGTTGCATATGCATCTTTGTGGAGCAGCGGCTGGCTGGCTGGCGAACGAGAAGTGCTGCGACATCCTCCTCCAAGAGCGGTCGACAATCTCACCAAGTCATTTGTTGAGCCTGAGTTTGCGGATGCATCTGAAAACCGTGATAGGCACCGACAACACTAACTAGGGCGACAATGTCTGTGTGAGCTGTAAAGTATCTACTTTGGTACAGAGACTGGATGGCCTCTCGTCCCTCTAACGAGTCTGGTTGAAGATCGACCTTGTGAACCCACATACTTGGCGCTACACACACATCGTCAAGAGGGCCGCCTTCATAAGTCCAAAGTTTCTGGTTGAATTCGTAGAATATAGACATAGAATCATAATATTGTCCAGCCACCAACTAACTGGTCATCGCGTTGCCACTGCCGTCGCCAAGTTCCAGGCTCTTTCCAATTGACGCCATTGACGGGGGAAAGAAGAAAGAAAAAAGCAAGTCTTGGATGTTTGAAAGAACGCCGAGAGAAGTATTTGGATATCAAGTTTCAGAGAGCCAACTCCCATCGTTCTTCCAGCAGCCTGACCCCATATATCATAATCACAGATCCTTCATGAGTTCCCGAAACGCCAGAACACCAAACGAGAGACTGGCGCTCCATACACACACACACACACACACACGCCAGTCATTGTCATGTCGCCTGGTTTCTCTCCAAGTTCTGACACCGAAGGGAGAGGGGCAAAAACAACGTCAACTCATTCACATCTTCCTCCATCAGCCCTTGTTGCTTCACTGGTTCTGGCCATAAGTCGCCGTCCCCATCGGCGAGCCTCTTCTCACGTTTGCGTAGTCGGCTGGGTTGTACGCATACGACCTCGACGACGGCGGCGGCGTGCTCGTCACATACTGTGCGCGGCGTGCGGCGACGGCATCCCAGTTCGGTGGCGGCGCCTCGCCATCGTTGTTTTTTGCATTGTTGTTTTGGTTCTTGCTATAGATATTGTTGAAGGCGTGCTCCTGCTCGGGCGCCTCGTCGTGGGTGGGCAGGTGCTCGGGTGGCAGGCCCGGCGAGTACATGGCGCTGCTGCCTCCCGACGTCTCAGAGCCCTGGGACCACCTCGCGTGCTGCAGCGGCTGCGGTGATGCCCGCGACGACTGCAAAGAAAAATTGGACTCGCGGTCTGAGGTGTAGGTGGGTGACGGCTGCGGAGGTGCGAAGCCTGGTGAAGCCTGCGGCGGGTAGCAGAAGTCGCCGGGCATCTCCACGGCGGCGGCGGGCGGTGTCGGGGTTGCAGCGGGCAGTTCGGCGTGCGCCACCAGGGGAGCAGGGGCCTTCTGGCGCTGCGAGGGCGCCTGGTGGATGCCGCCGTAGGGGGCGGACCAGTGAGGGCTCTGAGCATTCTGGTCGGCTTGTGGATGCCTGTTGCCGGCAAACTGCTGGTAGGATGACGGGCGGGGGACCTGGTAGGGCCTAGGCTCGGGAGAGATGGTGCCGGTGCGGTCCTTGAAAGTCGGTGAGTGCTGCGGGGGAGGCGACATGGAGCCGCTCGAGGTGATGGTGTTGGTCCTGTCGTTGGGGTTGATGGTGCGCAGCTTGCCGTTCTCGATCATGGCGTGCAGGTCGCCGCGGTCCAGGAGCTCGGCCTTCCTGATGATGCGGTCGACCATCTCCTTGGAGGCTGTCTTGAGCTGGCTCTTGACGAAGCTGACCATGGCGACGTTGCACTTGATCTCGACGTCGTCCTTGAGGTACAGCCCGTCGCTGGGGGCGCCGCCCAACCCAAGCTCCTGGGGTTCGGGAGGCTCGATGCCGGGTTGGTTGCCGGCGATGCGGTAGCGGTTCTTCAGGTCCACGTTCATGGGTGCATAGATGTGCGTCTGCAGGCCCCAGGGCATGTCATGGAAGCAGCCGTTGAAGCTGATCTTGCCCGACCCAATCTTCCCTATCCCAGGGACGAACTGGATCTTTTGCGAGATCTCGTACCATGTCGAGTAGTACTCGTCCGCGGCGGCATTCCGAGGCGCCTTGATGGGCTTGTGGTCCAGAACCAGAGGATTCACCGCGATGACCTCGGAATGGCTGTGGAGGATATCGATCGCCAGCTGGCGGGGGATGAAGCCCGGGATGGGCGTGATGATGGTGAAGACCTCTTTTTTCCGCAACATGCTAGAAGACATTTTCAAACAAGAAAGGCGTCAGCTGGCCAGCCTCGCTATGCGCTCGTCTCTTGATCAGGCCCAGTAGTGGGGAGGGGTTGGTAGTGGTAGTGGAAAAGGAGGAGTGGGCGAATGGACAGTGACGAGCACTGACTTCGGAGCCGGGGAGAACTGTGCAGATACTATGCTTGCCAGGACAAGGGACGTAAATGGATGGCATGTACTGACATGATTGAAGTTGCAAGACGTCAAGAAGCAAAGAAATGTCTTTGGAATGAGAATTCTATAAGAGGATAGCGAGATTCTGCCCTTCTTCCCTGAGAAAGGAGCTTTTGGTTGAGGTTCCTGGTTCTGTCGGGGAGGGAGGGGGGGGCCGGATTGAGGCGGGGTGGTTCGCTAATTGGCATATGATACGTGATGCCTGCTCAGCCGCAGTGGAGGAAATGGTGGTCCCGATGGTAGGCCTTTGAAGAAGAGGGCGCAATGAATGCTAAGGGTCGCGGCTGAGAAAATGCCCTTCTTGTCTTAAAGGGCTGCGGCCATAATGCTACACAACAAGCAACTGATGATCGTCTCGAAGGAGGAGGTTGAGGAGGGAGGGGGAAAGACGAGCAAGAGAAAGAAGAAATGAAGAAGAAAAAAGGCAGAGAGGCAGAGCAGAGTAGCGAGTGTCACCTTGTGTGTACCAAAGGGTTGCAGTGAGGGGAATGGAAGGACCCCAGGTGACAAGATGCAAACAAGGTGGGAACGCAGTTGATGAAGATTCCCGAATAAAGCGGGATGCGACCAAGGCGGTGGGATTGAGAAAGTGCACCAAAGTAGTCCAGGTTAGCGGTACCTTAGTACCGTGCTAGCGGAGATGGGGCCTGGCTGTGTGTGCTAGCCTCGTTTGTCCAAGTCTTCCGTTACGCCCCGTCTGCCACTGGCCAAGGAAGCACCTACAACCTCCAAGGGGCCTTAACTCGAAAGTCATTATAGGGTGTCCCACATATTTTCAGCTGAGGTGAGATGATGATGTTGGCAGGTCGGTTGTCCCGCGGGCTCTGGAAAAAGAGAAGAGAAAGAAGTCAAGTAACGGTGAGATGAGGCCCTGCAATGGAATCTTCTTCGATGGCACAAGATTTGGGGAAAAGGATGAAAAGGAAGAGCAAAGGTATTATTTGGGGGGGTATCACAGCATGTGACCCATCACTGTGCTGCTTCATGGTGCAACAATAGGCCAACCATAAGCACCAAGAAAACGTGCCCAAGTACGTGCATTGTTGCAGTGGCTTACTCACTTGCATGGCATCAAAGATCAGCCCCCATACTTCGAACCTCCAGCACTTTGAAGAATGCCACCTGGCCTGGTCTTCCTTCTCGTCACCATTTTATGTATCACCGTACACGTCTCGTTCCATGTACACAGGACTGCCTCAAGTCTAGAAGATACCCTCCGAGCCCATTCTTTCTTATACTATGGTAGGGTTCTCCAATTTCACAGCCCTATCTTGATTACCCTCGTTTCAACAAAACAAGTCTTGGTTGCATCGCGGCCGCCGCGACAGCCGAGGGCCCATACAGTAACCCCCAGGCCTCGACGTCAACCCTTGCGGCCCACCTCTTCCTTTAAGCATCCTTTTTTTTGCTGTGGGTCTTGCCCTGCTGGAATCTTGGGGGATTTTACCGAACAAAGTGGGAAGGCGGACTTCGGGCTACCCCTCGTTGCCCTACCTCGTGGTATTTTTAGATCATTTACAACATACATTGTCTACCTTTGAGGATTGTGCTGTAGACCTGTCAAGACCACCTACCTCTCCTCCCCCCCCCCCCAACTGTAGTACTTTTCAAAGCCTGGCAAGGCTATTCTAGTAAACATGATCCGCACTTTTTTACAAGACACCCTGCAACACACACCACACATGCATGCACGGTCAGGTAGTATTTTCGTCCGATCTATTGAAATCGTACTGCCGGTTGACTGCAGCAGAGGGCGTTCGTCCCGGTACCGTGGTCTCGTTATTGATAGTAACTGAATGTAGGAAAGCCCAGTGCCCACGCCTAACTTACCTGGAAAATAAGCAAGAAAAGCCATTGTTCCCACAGTATCGAGAACAAGTAGGCAAACACATACTGCAGTGGACAGACTGGCCTGCAGCTGACGGGACGTGTGTCCCAAAGAAAGAAACAAGGAAGAAAAAAAAAACTGTGTCCATCCACTGCAGACAGGACAACCCATTTAACATGGTCTGTCGAGGGTTCGCAGTGGTATTGCAGGGGAACGCCGTGGGTGGGGTTGTACGGGATGCCGTCCCATCTGGTCTTTTCTGGACTTCTCGGGAGGACCCCCATTGACAGTGGCCAAAAGTCTGGTCGGCATTACCATGGTAGGTAGGTGGGTTAGTTTATCTGTACCTGTTCTGCGTTTAGCTGCTCACTCATGTTTAGTAACCCAACAAGACCAACACCAACACCACCGTGTCATACAGGATCTGGTAGCGACGTCTTACATGGTTGTTTGGCAAAGCCCTCACTTCACCATAACTTGGGTCTCTTACGGCCCATGCCTCGGTCAGGTCCGGTCCCTTGCTATTCTAGAGATCATCCACCCCCCCCGGTTTCTTGACGTTGTTATTCTTAGCCGCCCATGAGAGCAACTAGAGAGGGGGGCATCCGTGGGAAGAGGGGGGGGGGGGCCAAAATGCGACACCCATACCAATGTAATAGTGCCTCACTGGCATGACTCAATGCATTGCTGTGGACCTTGATTATCAAGATACCTATCCAGGTCAATAAACTAAGTCTGTGGTCCTTATCCATACCAACCTGCCCAGCCCCCATGAAGCTTGACGTCCTCGTCCATTGCCATTGCTCTCCAAAAGTGCGTGTGAAAGCCGATATTCTTCACGTACTGTCCGATCCCCCTTGTCTGACCCAAGCCATCATTCTCGCGTGCATCGGTGCCGCTATCTCTGCCATCTCTCCTCGTTGTCTTCTCTGCGAACATATCAGTAATTATCAAAATCTTCTCAGGTCTGTGACAGAAGTATACGGACGTTGTTTTCTCCGCGTGCGTTGCCTGGGGTTCCACTGTTCCCCACAACTAGGTTCAAACAGCTCGCTTTCGGACGTCTCATACCACGTCGTGTTCGACTTCATCCTCCTGGTGATTGTGCTCGACTTGCTCATGATCACCATGCTCGACCTATTTTTCATGCTCGACCTGTTCATCAGCCTCGACCGGTTGTTGGAGGTCAAACAGCACCGATCGGCACGTTGAGTCGATTTTGATCGCGGCTTCGGCCCACTTGTTGGCCTCTCTGCGCGCCTGATCACGTTCCACCATGACCTTGGAGAGCTCCTTGTGAGCAGATAACTCATTTTTGCGTTGTTCGTCACTGCTTTTGTTCAACTCGTTAGCGAGAGCCTGATTCTCGGTGGAGAGTTTCTCGATCTCGGTTTTCATCTTGTCGAGTTCTGTGCCATAGGCTGCGTTGGCTGCGCGAAGTGACTGTGCTTCTCTCTTGGCTTTGGCAGCTTCATACGTTGCCTCAGCGATTCGGTTGGTCAGAGAGGAGAACTCTGAGGTCCCTGTGTTCGGATATGGCATGTGAGGTGCTGCATCAACGGCGCGCCGATCAGACTGAGGCAATGACGAGGAGCTGCTTGGCGGGTCGCGAGTTGTACTGGGTGCGGTTAGCGAGGTGGGAGCGCTCGTACGTGGAACTTTGGACGCAGGCTGAAGCGTCTCGTAGTCATCAATGGAGCGTTTCCGTGCGTCAAGTGAAGCTAGAGGCTGATTTGTGGCTGGCGAGGCGGGCTTGGAAGAGAAGTTGTCTGCTGAAGTCAACCCGAATAGCGCTTTGGCAGCAGTCTTGTTGTTGTCCGTTGTACCTAGAGACTCACTTGGAATCTCGCTTATCATATTGCTTGTAGTCTTGCTCGAGGTTTTAGGTATCCTGAGCTTGATAGGTGGCTTGGATGCCTGCTTGGAACATCGCTCGCAGTTTTGCTTGGACTCTTGCTTGGCGAGCGGGACAGCTGGGATCCATTCGTATTTCTTGGGACGTGCGCCGTAGAGCAAGGCGTTGAACTCGTCTAAATACCATTTCGTGAACCAGTCGAAATCATGCCGGGCAAATCCTGTTCTTTCAGATGTTCCGGAGCCATGTTCAGCAAACAAGGGAGGCAGAACAGGTTTGCCGTTGGCCCCGCGGCACATCGTTGCAATAGCTAATAGGCATTCAAACAAGTCGCGGTTGCGTAGAGCAGTATCACTCCTCTTTGACTGTTCACTGGCGCGAGTAGATTGAGTGATGGAGTCGATAATGTCCTTTGCTGCACGAACGAGACGCGAGGTGCTGGGTTCGTGGTACCACGTCGTGATCTCTTTCACGTGACGGCAAGCATTCTGGTACGAAGGGCCGATCACCTTTCGATGGCGAAACAGCCATTCTAAGGCCTGTATTTTTCTGTTTGTCAGGTCCTTCGTGCTGAGCCTGACCTCAGGGTTGGATGCCTTCTCCGTCATCTTTCGTCTTGGCAGAGAGAAGTCGAGGTGGTCGAGTCAGATCGCGACCGAGTAGATGACAAAGGGATTCGTCGGCCTTGATGAAGAGAGAAAGATAGGTGGATAGATCGAGTCCGTGTTCTTGGGAAGTAGCGAGGAGCGCAGGCGAGGCGTAAAGTCTGAATGTTGCGAGCTTTGTCAGACTTCTCCAAGGTTGACTTTCAGCAAAATGCCTCCTTCTTGAACTCGATTTCTTGAAGTGCCCTGGAAGATGACTATGGAACAAATCGAGGTGACTATGAAGCAGATATCGCTGATGAATACGAGCTGTCAATTCAGGTTCGGTTGTTGTGGTAAAGCTGGATGAGGTTCAAGAAAGTGGGAAGGTGGCGAGAAACTAACCAGGAGGAAGAAACTCAGACTTGTTTGCTCTTAATCAATCCCGAGATGATGGCAGTTGGTCTCGCGGTCTGGTGTTTGTCAAGATGTATCGAGAGAACGCAAAGTTTTTGACCAGGTCTACTCGTGCGTGAAAATGGCAGAAGCTCGAAATGGCGTGCAGGACTCTTTCCACTCTGTTCCTTTGGTCTGAAAATAAAAATAGCGAGAGCATTCACATGCATCAATGCCTCGAGTGGGGACGAAAACAAAAGCTGCAAGGGGTCCCAACACGCGACTTTCAATGAGAATCAGCGACGTTACCCCATCGAATAATAGATTAATGATGGTATGAAAATCTTGCGAGTGGAAGGCAGAGAGTCTGACTGTCGACAGCAGAAACCACGTGCTATCTCCCTGTAATGAAGGTGTGTCAACCCAAGAACTCCAAAACCCAACCAATGCCCAGTCCCAAACCAGTATCCGACCCAACCCAACCTACCAATCCCAACAAACATCCCATGCCCAGACAAATAGCAAAGAGAGAAAAAATGATGACCTCAAGAGTAATACGCAACAGTCCTCGGAACCGCATCATGCACCATCCAGCTCCGCTTCCACAGCCAAAAGTACCCATCAAATCCATGCCCCTCTCGCCCCCACTCGCCCACGATCCCGAGCGGCGTCATGACCCCGTCGTAGTCCCAGTAGTGCGCCCCGCGGTACCTCTTTCGCATGCTCACGACCCCGCTGTTGGTATTTACGGTGCCCACGAAGTCAAAGTCGCCCGTGATCCCGTCCTTGGCACCCCTGGCCTCGAGCGGCACCTTGGTAGGGTGAGCGGTGTTGTACGACGACGATGTCGCTGTGGTCACGGTGCTGTGCTGGGACATGGCGCTGGGCACCGGCAGCAGTGGTGGTGGTGGCGGCGGTGGCGGCTGAGGAGGAGGAGAAGAAGACTGGCCTCCGCCCAGCTTGAAGTGGACGTTCTCCATGGCTGGGTCGCGCTGGCCTGTCGGGCTGATGTTGTCGGTGTCTTCGAGCGTGTAGATGTAGTAGCCATACCACTCACCGTCCTCGATGGCATTGACGAGGTCGCGGGTCCGGGCTGCGTACCAGTCCTGCCAGGAGCTGCTGGTATGCGCCCTGATGCCATCCTCGCTGAAATTCTCGAGCAGAGGCACTGGGGGCGTGCACCACGACGACGACGACGACGACGACGACGACGACGACGTCTCTGCTGCTGTCTGCGTTGGGCCGCGGAGCAAGGGCAGCAGGTCGGAGCGCGGCACGTCCTCGAAACCGCACGTCCTGAGGATGTAGGCGATCAGGGCGGCGAGCTGGAGGGATCTCGTGTGCAGCCCCTCCCAGCTGAGCCAGAAGCTCTGGCTGGAGGACGTGAGCTCGGCGCCTCTAAAGTCTGACTTGACGCGTTGGGCGAGAGTCTGATAGATGGGGCCACTTGCCAGCATATCTGACCAAGCTGATGGGTTCAATAGACCAAGCACCATGGAGAAGGCCAGCTGCAGACTAATTTCTTTATGCTTCAACAGCCTCCTCTCGGCCCATATATCTGATTTGGCGGACCAGTGGTTGATGGCCATTAGTTGTCTTCCTATAGCAAGGTCACATACGTCCGAATCTGGCAGGTGGGTCAGCCAAGGGTATCATCCCTATCTCCTGGGACCTAATAACAATTAATTGTTAAGGTGTGGGGGGATTGTATGTGTGTGTGTGTGTGTGCGCGCGCGTATGTGTGTTTGTTTGAGAGAAAGAGACGTAGGTGAGAGAGGGGGGGGGGGGGGGGAAGAGACAATACGGCTTGAAGAAAATTGTTGGGGACTTGACTGACAGCCCAGGACAAGAAGAGTCGAAACGACGCCCAACCTCGTCTCCAGCTCGGCAGAAACTTCGTTGTCATCGTCGTCGAAGCGGTCGTGTAAGTCGGACGGGTCGCCCCCACGCCCTGGATCCCTGCCGGAACCACTGACGCGTGCCCTAGCCAACACGGAGCCGAAAGCCTGCTTGATACGTGATCGCTGTCTGGGGGGCAGAGTCACGGCCAGACAGAGGAAGATGTCTCGTCTGAAGGCCTCGTCCCTCGACTCGGCGTCGAGCTGGGTCTTGATCATTCCTAACAACACATCTCGACTAGGCGTGCCGCGGGTGGAGTGCGGGTCCATCTTTTTATTTCAAAAAGAGCGCCATGACAAGCAAGTTAGTAATTTCAGTGCAGAAGCGAGGATGCCGGGAAACAACTGGGAGTGGAGCCCAGGAATTCTGGCCCACGATGGCCCTGGGGTTGAGAAGGATGAGAAGGGAGAAAGTGACAAGAGAGAGGGAGAAAGGAGGCGGGTGGTGTGGGTTTGGGTTTGGGTTTGGGTGGTGGTGGGTGTGTGGAGACATGGGGTGCACCCGGGGGGCCGGAAGAGAGACTTACAAGGCGCAACGATACCAACTCGATCACGGAGGACTGGCCGAACGCGAGACGGAGCGCCCTGCACGAGCGACGGAGCCTCAGGATGTCGCTGAAGTCGCAGAAAGAGGTGACCCTGACGAGCAGCTCCTCAGGGAGCGTGGCCAGTATCGGATCTGGGCGTGACGAGGATGGAAACCCGCTTGCTCCAAGAGAGACTGGAATAGCAACAGCGTTGCATTGATCCGGGAGAGACGACGCATGCGACAATGATGACTTGCGTCCCTGCCGGCTCAGGTGGAGTTTAGATCGCAGCCGGACCATCTGAAGGCAGCAAAAAGTGACGCAGGTGGGTGGGAAAGGGTCTTCAAAGAGAGAAAGAGAAAGAGAGAGATAGATAGATAGAGACGGCAGTAGGAAAGAGGAGGAGGATTTCGGAATCCTGCGTGATGTTTGTGCCTATCGGAATCGCTGGGGGAAGCGAGGGGGGGTTTGTCCTCCTCGCCGCAACAGCGCAAACACAATGTACTTGTCTCGCTTCCTTTTGGGTTAAGATCAACCCTGCTGGGGGTCAACAAGAGGATCTGCTAAAAGAAATAGTGAAATTGGCATCAAGGGCCCCTCCCGTCCTGCCGTTTGGCAGCTGGGGCCAGGAGATGATGTCCCCAGGGTCGTATCCATCAAAGCGGCTAAGCCCGTGGCTGACAAGTGACGATAACACCAGCAGGAAGAGCTGGCAGAGCTTTGCATGGGAGCACAAAAAGCTAGTCAACCCCCTGGTCGGATAGGTGCTGCAGTTCTAATCTTTCTGCTGCAGGACACGACATACTCGTCACACGTGTCAGCCCACCGAGAGAGAGAGAGAGAGAATGTCGGCGCGTTCGTTGTTTATAATCACGCCTTTTGCCGGCTTGCACACTTTATGTCTCCTTGGCTTCGGAGCGTTCGCTGGCTATCTGTATACGGATCTTGTGGTGGCAAGCGAGCACCATGAATTAATATAGAGAGAGACAGAAAGAAATTTCGGCCTGCCTACGACATGACGTTGCTTTATAGCCGCATCGTAGTCACTACGACGCAGGAGAAGGGGTCGACTCCGGCCGTTATGCACCGGGGGTCGTGTCTTGGCGGCATTATCTCTCGGTACCGTTTGGCCATGAACGCCGCCCGAAGAAGGGGGAGAAAGAAAAAAGAGACAAAAAGAAACCAAAAAAAAAAAAAAGGGGGGGGGGGGGAAGCAGAAGACAGAAAGGAAGGAAAACACAATCATAACCCTCCTGCTGCTGACCGACAGGCTAGCTACATTGAAATCTGCGAGATGAGAGGGGACCCTCCTCTCTCCATCCATCCAGCTCTGCGACCACCCAGGGGTTCTAAAGTCGTGTGCTGTGCGCCCGGCACTTCTCGTCAGACGTATGAGGCGGCCTATCAGCACCTGAAGAGGGGGTTTTGCCCCATCTCTCGACTGGAGCCTGCAGGTCCTGTGTGACTTGGCGAGCTCGTGTTTGTGCTGCTCGTTGGTGTTCATTCGTCCGATGGGAGCGAGAAGCTGAGGTTGGCTGGATCGACTTCTTAAACAGGGAAACTTGTGACGACAACAAAGAGTACCACTTTGGAAAGGTGACTGGAATCGGTTTCCGGGCTCGCACTCATATATTTGTAACCCCTCCAGCGGCGGCCTCGGAAATTCCGATCCCCGTAAACACCCTTGCAGGCCTTCCACTAACATAGCTGCACACACACACACACACACACACACACACGGACACACACACACGAAGTTGGGAAGTAAATCAAGTGAAGTTCTTGTGCCACAGCAGGCCAGATGGTCTCGTGGTCACGCGCTTCCAATGTAAATGGTTAAATATACCGCTCAATATATCCTGGTAGAGCAGCAATGCTGCGCGTAGACTGTCGGAAGATACTAGCTAGTCAAGTCTCGGGGACAGTACCAGGGGGAAAAAATTGCAAAAAAAGATCATCCTCGGATACGGGGAGTCGAACCCCGGGCTCATGAGATTTATCACCTGTCTTTGACAGCGATGAGAGTCATGGATGTTACCGCTACACCATACCCGATGGGTAGATGCTCGAAAGCAAATTGGATTGTGAAATTCGGCCGGAAAGATTTTTCTTATGAAGCAAGATTGGCATGAACAGATACTGCACTCGGGTGGGGGAGGGGGGGAGGGCACTAATCAGAATCACTAATCCTCCGGAAGTTCTCCACTGAGTCAAACAGCACTTGCATAATATCATGAACATGTGAAAATACAGATGCTACAAGAAAAACAGAGAGAGAAAGGGAAAAAGACAGAAAAATAAGACGCAATAGTTACTGCTTGCTTGGAGCTACAAGCAGGAAATCTCAGAAAGAGGAGCAGAGGAAAAAAGTTGATTACATGTCTTGACACACAAAGTTGCAAGAAAAAGAGACTGCATGCGCAAGTTGCAATATCTCCGATACAGGGAATCGAACCCTGAGCCTAGCAGGAACTCTCATTCGAGGTGAGAGTGCTAAATGTTAGCCATTACACCATATCGGAGTCCGAATTGTTGAAGTCCGCACTTCATGCTGTGCTTTACATTGCTGTTCTGGTCTGTTGATGAAAGTTTCACGATCGCTGACTCGCGAGCGCTCCGCAAGAGGGTCTGGGTTGACAAAACTTCAAGCAAAGCCCCCCACCCAACAATGTAAACAGGTATTTATTACATATTACAAAGTCCTGATATACAGCTAGCGCATATCTCAAAGGGATGCATAGTAATGTTGTGGTCAGCGAGTGCTTGGTGTTATTACAATTCTGGAAAACTGCAGCACATGGTGTCCACAATCAGTTGATATCGTGTTGATTACGGCCTACGTCAACGAACTCACGAAGTGCCATATCGGGCTGCCTAGGTGGTGCATAGGCCCTTCCTTTGAGCTTTGAGGAAAGCAATGTATGATGGAATTTGGAATCATAAACTCCTCGCGAGTCAATATTGAGTTCCCATCCGGAAGTAAACCAAGTGTACTAATGGGATCGACTTTGGGAAGTGTCCATAGGTGCTCAGCATTGCAAATGGTGCCTTCTCACCCTCAGAATCCGGCTTTACTATCATGAGAGCAACTGCACTAAGCCTTCTCTCTCCTATGTGGATGAAGAAATCCCTGTCTACAGGGTCCTTACAATCCCGCATACGCTGCTTCTTCAGATTCCGAAAGGCACTCCCAAGATCTTATGAGGATTTGTGTTTGTCATGATAATGGCTACACCTCAATTGTGAAAGTAGCATTGCTACATGGGAAACATGCTATGCAGGGGAAATCCTGTTCAGAAGGAGAGTTGAGAAGTAATAGTACAGTTAAGACTATCAAGCTGTCCTAGTTGAAGGCTCAGGTCATGTCAGCTCAGGTGTGATCTTCCAGTGTGTGATGTTCAATCCAGTATATCTCGACTCTCGTTCTTGTTCCTGCTTTGTGAGAACTATTGCTAGTCTTGATTGGCTTTTGAGGGGGGTTTAGGGGGGGGGGGATTGGAGCATGGTGGACATCGAGACTGTCCACGGGTGCAGGCAAGCTACGGTTGTGCTAGTTGGTTATGAGTCCTGGCTCTGTAGCTAAGGGGCTGGGCTGAGGCAGCTAGGCTTGGAAGTACTTCAAGGCATGGCTGGTGAAGAGTTCTATAGAGCTTCACAGAGAACGTAATGCCTGTCGAAATTGAAGTCGTCATGTAGTTAATTCATCTTCTGCCTTATTGTAGACCAAGAAGTGTGTAAAGGCAAGTCCATCACTCTAACCCTCAACTTTGCTATACTTGATGTATTTGCGTGACAGGTTAGGGGTGACAAGTAGCAAGTATTTAAGCCACGAGTATGTTGACCCCAATGCAGGAGGAGGCATGAGAGGGTTGCTTTTGTTCCTTTCATCATGATTTGTGGAAACATGTGCCTGTTGTTACAATCTATGCTGAATATCTATGTGTAAGGAAGAGATCGAGATGGCTTCCATGCATCATCATATTGTCAGGCAGTGTGCGCATAGTTGAAAAGAAAGGTCATGTGAAAAGAACACAACAGGAATGATGAAGAAGTTGATAACACTGTATGAAAGAGAAGGAGAGAGAAATAAAAATGATAGCTGAAGAAAGGCAAGATGAAAAGAAACAGGGGGAAGAAGAAGACAAGAAATACGACAGCAGTTACAAAATGAGCAAAAAATCATCCTCGGATACGGGGAGTCGAACCCCGGGCTCATGAGATCAATCACTCGTCTGAGACGGCGATGAGAGTCATGGATGTTACCGCTACACCATACCCGAACTTTTCAAGTCGAATATGTTCCGATTTGCTCGTGAAACGGTGTGGGCTTGACTGGTTATGAATCAAGTTTTTGATGCTTGAGCAGGGATGGATGAAAAATTTCGTTGGCGCTATGGATCGATCCGACCATGCTCAAGCGGGGGTTGTATGACTTGACTGGCATACTGGGTGGGGGTTTGTCAAGGGAGGGGCTGTGATCTTCCGGGTCCTCTCTGCCCTGCGCTCTGAAAACTCTGATGCCCGAATTCGACTAAAATCGATTTATTTGATATAAACATTCACAAACTTCACAATAGCTCTTTCTTCCTTGTAGAGTGAAACCAGCTGGAGACAGATGCAAAGTCCAGATGCAACCCAAGACTGTCTCTTGCTCACGCAACGTCCTCTCAACAGAAAACACAACCTGCCGGGCATCCACATCTCGCAACAGCAATGTCTCAAAACCCGCAAAACAGTGATGAATTCCATGCTCTGCTTAAATTAGAGCTATCGAAGTATGAATGGTCAGTTGCTACCTAAAAAAATGGTGCATCATGTGTTGTTCAGCTTCAAGAAATACATGAGACCCGAGAAACATCAGCCAAAAAGAAGACGTCCCTCGAGCCGGATTTGAACCGGCGACCTGTGGATGACTTTAATCACAATTACAGTCCATCGCTCTGCCACTATTTTGGAATTAGTTTTGTGGTGGTGGTGGGGGGGGCTGTGTTTCGTAGGGTGGTACTCACACTGAGCTATCAAGGGATTTTAGTTCCGTTGGAAGCTCGGCCGCATACTTGTCTTATATCCTAAGGCCCAGTCATACTAGTTGTGGAGATCAGGTGGGTCCGTAGTCGTTTTGGCGCCAGAAGCAAAGATGTTTGGCTGTGCTCAAGCTGTGTGCTGTGTTGATGGGGATCCGGCTTGACTCTTTATCCAATCTCTCGATCAGGTCTTATCATCTGTTTTCCGTATCCTTCTTGTCTACATGACTTACCATTTCTCAACCTGGGAGCCAGGATATGAAGTGCCCCATAGGAACACAGTTCTCCCTCCCACATTCGAGATACCCGGGCGTCCTTTGTCCATTTTGGTCCCAGTTTTGTGCTGACCCACCCGGCACTACAGCTTGAATGAAAGAAGGGTTCGCGTTACGGAATGATAGGATGGATCGTTGAGCCAACCTCAAGAGCCTAAACTATGAGCGAAACACGCTCAGGAGATGCTAATTAGGTGTTGATATTGGAATCTCAACTTGGCCACTCTTCAACTTGTACTCTAGCAAGGGTGCACGGCCTCACGCAGACATAGAAAGACTACTGCAACTGGTATGATTAGGGATAATTGGCTCATTCTGTACATGCTGATATTATGGGGGAAATAATGGCCTCAGTGAGCATTGAATTAATGGATTGGATCGCTGTCTACAAAGATGAACAAAAGAAGACGCTCAAAAGGAGTGTTTTTATATGTGTAAGAGGTCAGGGTTAGGGGTTTTTCCCCACAGATATCACCGACAGCCAGCAGAGCATGATGATGCCAGTAATGTTGCTATATTACTACATACGTAGGTCATGTATTATTCTGACTCTGGATTTCCCTTTTTATATAGACCACCCTGGGCATTCATGAGCCTAGAATTACTCCGTAAATACATATACATTCTTTCTTTTGGTACTTAAGTAGTCATTCAGAATCTACTTTCCCACGGACTGACCCACTCCCCCCCTCTTCTTGGATCTACACCTTCCTTGTGGTCAGACGATGCCATTGCCTCCCTGTCTAGGCTGTCAGTGGTGCCAGTCCCGAATACTTCTCATTGTTTTCATTACTCACATCAGATGCGTAGTAGTAACTCTCGAACTTGTTGCCATCGCTATCAGTGTATAGCACCCTGTCGTCATCACGAAATATCTCATAGTTGTTGTAGCCATTATAGCCGTTTCTAGTGCACCGCCAATTATTAATGAACCAGCGAGCTGAGCAAGCCAGGTCGTTGGACCGAGCATGCACGTGGTCTGCGTACTTAAGTACTTACCCAACTTGAGCTTGATAGACAGCCGAAGCTCCACCCGACTCGATGAGCCAGCCAAAAGTCACACCCGTCGAGAAGGTGCACGACGACTCGACGCCCTCGAACTTGAAATTGTTGCCGTCGTCGGCTGGGAGTTGGCATAGGTTGCCGCCAGCGTTCCACACAAGTCAAGTCAAGGCAAGCGGTAGCCCTCCACTTGACTTGCTAACTATTTTGGCCGCTTGCTTGTCTTCTAGTACCTGGCCGCTTGATTCGCTTGGTGACTTGGTCACTATACCGGATTAGGAATGTACGATAGATATACGAAACGAAAGGTGGTGAGAGTAACAAATGAGCTACGCACGTGGTTCAACCGGTACAGAGGCATATGATGATAGTTTTCCTTGTTACGCTCTGATCCGCGCGAGGTCCCTCGCTCAAGTGCTGAAAGAAACATTTCTGACCCCCTCGAATGCCTTTTTTTGGCAAAAAGCTGCTAGGCAATGCCTTTCCTCCTCATCTCTGCTGCTGGTCCTGCCAGCGTTCCATTTTTCAGCCAGTCCTTGAGGCACAAAAGGAGCTCGAGAGTGCTGCTCTTCATTCTCCTCCTCTGCGAGGACATCGTAAGCTTCCCTTGGCTGAAGACTCTCTCGCATTCGGACGACATCGCGGGGATAGATAGGACGTCGAAGGCCATCTGTGAGAGGGCTGGAAACTCGGCCTTACGCGCTGCCCACCAGACGAGGGGCTCAAAACCATCGTCGTCCTCGTCGTCCTCTTCTAGCTGGAGATATTTCTCCAGCTCTGACTGTGGCCGTTGATGCTTTGGCCTTGGTTGTGCCCTGAAGGCGGTCCTCCACTGCTTCTTTGGCTTGTTATGTTCTTGATCTTCCTGCAAGCTGGGTGTTGATGCTGATGATAAGGCTGGATCTTTATATGCCCAATATTTCTCGTAAAAAGCCTTAAACTCTTGTTCAACATCGTCAGCAATAGCTGGCGCTGCTGTACGAATACCAACCAGGCGATATTTCGGATGCAAAACAGCAGCAGCAAAATATATAGGGCATTCGCGAAGCTTGCTCTTATATCGCTTGAGAATTGCCAACGCGTGGGCTACTGATTCTCTCAGAAACTCAGCACCTTCAAGCCCACATTCCTCGGGGTATATCTCAGCCTCTTGTTGAGAACCAACATCTGGCCATTCCCGTACTGGAGTGCTGGGAAATATATCTGAAGACTGTGAAGCTCGACGGCGAGGGGAGGATCGAGGGGAGGGTCGAGGGGAGGGCCGAGAGGAACGCTGAGAGGAGGGCCGAGAGTAAAGTCGAGAGGAGGGTCGAGGGGAGGGTCGAGGCGAGGGCCGAGAGGAAGGTCTTGAAGGGGCCTGATATCGCGATGAGGGCCGCTGGAGGGCTGGTTTCTCTGCATTTGGCGAGACAATAATCTCCTCAAGGATTTCTTCTTCAGCATACGTTTTTCTGCCTCCAAATCTCTCCTGAAAGGACCGCAAATGCTTCTCGAGATCCCACAAAGAACTGAGAACATCATGAACAGCTACAGCGTTCCCCTCGTGGTGTTTTGTATGCCATAGGAATGGCTGCAAAAGATCTCGAGTTGCCTCAAGCACTCGCCAGTCCTGCTCACTCAAAGGTTGTATTTTAGCACCGCTTCGAACTTGCTCTTTAACCCAGAAATCAATAGGTCTTTTCAGCCTCAGCAGCCGCGATATCTCAGCCTCTGTTGAGTTCCATCGCGTCTCCTGAGCTACCACTGGCCGCAAGGTAGATATATCGCCAGTTTGCTCATCTGTAGGGTCTGTAGGAAGCGGTGGTAGTGGCATCGTGAGGTCTTGTGCTGTTAGCTGAGGAAGGGCCTCTGCCAAAAAGGCTGTAGTGTCCTCGAGATCTTGGTCCTCTGGAGAAAACAAAGAGTTCTGAACAATCTTCTCGAAGTCCTGAACCCGCTGTACACTTGCCTTGAGGAAGACTACAATAAGATGAGCGCGGCGTATAGGTCCTTCTCGCTGCCACTGATCCCACTGATTCCTCTGTTGCTCGAGTTCCTGCTTAAATATTAGCAATAAGCCAGGAAGATACAAAACAGCTCGACTTACCTCATCAGCATCGCTGTCTTCAGCCTCGAGTATCTGTTTAGCGTTACCAGAGAGGAAGCCTTTGACAATAAGGTTAATAATATGGCCCCAGCAGCGGCATCGCCGTTCAATCCGCAGCTTCTCAGCTTCACGATGATTGAAGCCGTACATCTTGCGAAAAAGAAGCCTTGTTGCCTTGTCGTTCGTGCTGTCGTTATCAAAAGTAAGCCAGCCGAGCCGCTCCTCAAGCTGAAAAGCCATAATAACCTGATGGAGATGCCACTGGAGGTTCTCGCCAGTATGCTGGCCGTTGATCATCCTCACTGCTATAAGGCGATTTCGCAGCTTTGCATCGCTATCAACAAAATGCGCAACCACTGCTAGAATGCCTTTGTGGTTAGGCGAGGTCCAGAGATCAGCAGATAGATGAATCTTCGAGATAGCCTCGCGCTGGAGCTGGAGCTGAAGACCAGCTAGGTTCTCGTGAAACGCCTCAAACAGCCATCTCATCACTGTGCCATCACTTCGAGGGAAAAAGTGCTCCGTCAGGGTGCTATTCCAGACCATCAACAGCTGGCGGAACTGAGGCGCCTCGAGAGTTGAAAGAGGTATATCGCAACAAGCAACCAGCTCTGTTATAGCCTTCTTCGCAAGACTAACAACTGCACGAGTTGGAGCGTTGGCAGCGTCTTTCAAGGCATCAGGCGCTGTATATAGACTGCTGTTGTTGAAAAGGCCACGATGATTTATTCTTCGCCGCTTTCGCCGGCCAAGCTCCTCTGGGCTAACCTCCTCTTTCTCTGCCTCTGCAACAAGCTCTTTCAGCTTGCCAAGGTTATGGCCCTCGTTATCGCGACCTTCGAGATGCTTTAGAGCTGCTGATATGCTTGTCGAGATACTGTTACGCGTAGTATATAAGGTCTGTCGATTATTTTGATCGCAGAGGCGACAGAACCACCAATCCGCTGCAACTTTGCATGTGCCGTCAGCCTGTACGATGACCTCGAAGAGCTTCTCGCCGAAATGCCAGATATCAGACCCGTGGCGCTTCCTCTTGGCCGATGATGTTGGCATCCAGCGAGCTGGGACAAAGGCATGGGATCGTCCTGGAACCTTAATGCGTGGGAGGTCTTTGAGGGTACCAAGAGAGAACTGTGCTATGGCATCGTGGGCATCGATCTGCTTCTGGATAGAGGTATATCTCGCATGGCTAAGCTGGTTGAAAGCATTGCTATTAGCCATGATAGTGAAAGGAAAGCGATGATAGATAAACGCGAGGACACCCAGGTGCGAGACGCGAGGAAGTAAACGCGAGGATGCCAAGTACAAGGGTAGAAGAGGTACAGAAGAGCTTGCCTGCCAGCGGAGGAAAAGACTTAATACGGATATATAGGCCGAATAGCCAAGGGCCAGGGCAAAAGCCTAGGCCAAAACACCAAAAACCCCAGCAAGGTTGCATCCAGAGTGGGCCGCGATAGCTTCAACTGAGCCTATAAGGACCCACAATAGGACTGAGGCAATTCGCTTGTTCGCTTGCAAGCCGCTTGGTCAAAAAGGCCGCTTACTTGTCTTGAAGACCATCGCCAAACCGTCAACTTCGCTTGTCAAGCCGCTTGATTCCGCTTGACTTGTGTGGAACGCTGGTTGCCGCTGGCGGGGGCGGAACTGCATGAGGCCTCGTCTGCGCAGTACTAGCTCGGTTGACTTAGTTAATTGCGTGTGGCCTAGGAGACACCAGGCTCATGGGTTGCACGAGGCCCGCCTGAAGAACCGACAGCCAGATCATGATGGGAGGGCCAAAGATGACCTTACCACAAGGGCGGAGTAGGATGCTCCACAATTGACGAGGTTGATGCCCTCGGCTCTCTTGGATAACCTGCTTGGGTGGCCCAGAGTGATGGCCGAGAGATGTGCCATGAGGGTGATGTGAGAGAAATGCATGTTGATGATGGAATCTTCAGATTTACTACCTCTGGAATCCAAAACACTGTGCCTGGCGTTATTGTTGTCCTCGTCGATCTTGCCGGAACTGTGAACCGCCAGTCAGCCCTGCTTGTCTTTATACTGGTAGTCCACATAATCACAAGTACATATCCATAGACGTGGTCTTCGTGAAGGGCGCAGAGAATCGAATGATTCCTCACCCGAGGAGTGTCAAGCTCCTACATACGGTAGCTTATATGTAGAGAAAACGTGACTATTGAATGTTCGCGCTGACGTCTCGTTCCAGCAAGTGGATTGTGGATTGAGGGTGGGGGGAGGGGATGGCTTATGCCGTTGTCTTATGCACAAGGCTTCAAGTCAAGTGATGACTTGCTTCTTTAGGTATGGGCTCAGCACTGATCACAGGCAATATGGTTCCTGTAACAGAATATCTCTATGCTTCCACGTGCATAAAGCATGGGTGCGCTCTTCACACCTCATGCAGATACTTAGTAAGGCAATCTCACCTGCCGCAGCGGCACTATTACTCTGATTTGTGTGCCAATACTTGGGCGAATCCATGGCTCTCAGGCATTTGCTTATGTATTTGACTGAAGCTGTACCAATCATTTTGCAGATGTGACAATTCAATGAGCAGCAGACCTCAGGGGCTTCTTGGCAGCTTCAACGTCAAACTATTCCTTTCAGGTGACCACTGAGACTGGAGGCATGTGGTTCTCAAGAAAGCGAATGGCCCCACAACAGAAACAGAAAGAGAAAGAGAAAGAGAAAGAGAAAGAGAGAGAGAGAGAGAGAAAAGAAAATTATTCCCTTTCTGTCTGTCCATATCTCGCAAGTCAGCAGTATGACTAAGGCCAACACTGGGTGTAAGTCAATTAAGTACTTTCTCAGTAAGTACCCTTGTCAGCTTCGACATGTGTCCCATGGCCAGTATTGTAGGTTTCTCACTACGAACTTGAGTGTTGTGGCTGGCGCAGATCAGCTATGACCTCTCCAGCGGGTAACTCCAGAAAGTGGCTTGTGAAATGGTCATCGTGTGATCATCATCATCACCTTAAGGGGGGGGGGGGGCCGGGGGGCGGGGTTGGGAATTACTCAGGTGTCAGTTCGAATAAATTAATTGTGCATGAAGATCCTCGATGCTCATCTCAAGAAGGACGGTGAAGCAGATCTACACATTCGCAGAATCATACCATATCTGGCAGCTTCGGTAGACCAACCTGAACATAATGGATGTCAGACACTCCGTGCGGATTTCCAGCCTTATGCCCTCCCATCTCGACCGGGACTGACAGGAATATAAATAGGAAGACAGTCTCTCTTGTCAAGAAATGCTTGATACTAACAACTCCGGCATCCACACAAGAAGAAAGGTTCTATCTAAGCTCACAGCAAAAGAAAAAGCTCAACTAACATGCATCCCATCACCACCCTCGCCTTCGTGGCCACCACCTTCACCCTCGCCCAGTCTTGCTCCACCGTTACCTCCGAGATCACCTTCTACGGCGAGCCCGACAACTCCCCCTCCGGCTGCGACATAGCCTACGACTGCGGCCGCGGCTACACGGCCGGCGGCGACGGCTCTTACACCGACCCTCTGACCTTTGCCAGCTCGCCCGACGAGTTCACCCCGTGCCAGGTGGTCTACGTGCCATACCTGAAAAAGTACCTCCGCATGGAGGACCAGTGCGAGCAGTGCATCGATGACTGGCCGGGCAAGTACCACATTGACATCTGGACGAGCCCCAACAATGACTGTGTCAATGGTGGCACCGACCAGATCAACTGCGAGGACGACCTCACGCCCTCGGCGGAGCAGGAGGTGGTTGTTGACCCGCCTGAGGGTTTGACTGTCATTAGTAAGTGAAGTCATGCCCCTGTCTTGATAAGTCAACCGCATTTGAGACAGCAAAATACCTCTTTCTTTTTCCTTTCTCTTTTCATATTTGCCTTTTTTTTCCTTTTGTTTTTTTTACTGACTGTTCATCGCAGCCACGGCACTCTATGACAGCGGCACTTGTGCGACTGGCAACATCTTCTCGGGCGCGACTTATAGTTGCTAGTCTCCCAGGATGGGGTTTGACAGCTTCAAGATTGCTGGACGAAGAAGTGGTTGATGAAGGGCCATGAGAATGGAGCGAGGGCGAGCGAGCAAGAAAGAGAGAAGTGAGTTTCATAGAATGTTCAAAAGATCGCCTTCTTCTGCTCTGATTTATCCGGTAAAGCTCCGTTTTCTTGGAAATGCGCCTAAGCAACCAAGCCATTGTGAAACTCCAGAGCCATATATCATGTATATATGTATGTTAATAACTTTATGCATAGGCCAGATTGCCAAGGTAACTGACCCTAGATTCTTGAGAAATATCATGACGCTTTTCCGTGTGCGATGAATGCTTTGTAGATAAATCAAAGAAAAGACGAAGAAAAATCTTAAGAACTACAACAGCGGGATATCATATTTTTCGCACAACGCAAGATCTCAATGCACGCACTGCAAGGTTGCAAAGCCATGGGTCCACCGCAGGCCGCCCAGGACCGCCACCATCACCCCGAGGCTGACCAGCACACTGGCAGCGCCGTAGAGCCAGGCGTGGCTCCTCCTCAGGGAGGCCAGCTCTGACACCCAGGTGGATACGGTCGTCAAGCACCCACAGAACCCGTCTTCGACGCCCTGCAGGGCCTGGCAGCCGATCATGCCTCCGAGCGGGACGCGCTGCAGGTCATACGCCACGCCTAGGACGGCCGTGCCGAGGACGTTGACGGCAAAGGTACCCAACGGGAACGAGGACCTGCGACCGTTGAGCGCCAGGGAGACATAGAAGCGGGCCAGGCAACCAAGTGGTGCGAAAAGGAGCGCAAAAGTCGCGTCGCCACGGTAATAGTCGTGAGGGGGCATGAGGGTCAGTAGCAGGGCGCCGACCCAGCATCCCCAGCCCAGCAGGACGGCGAGGCGGTCTGCAAACGTGCGCATGAACGAGTAAGGCAGGGAGGGGATGGTGGGTTCCGAGACGATGGCGAGATGGGCGCCGATAAAGAGACCCGACAGGGAAGCGGTGACGGTGACGATGACGACGGCCATGAGGGCCATGAAGGAGTATCCGCCGTTCCGCGGGACGGTGGCAGCGGTGGAGCCGGGCACGGTGAGGTCGTTGGACAAGGCGAGAAAGACGTCACGGACGAAGGACGAGAAGGAGGTGAAAGAGCCGCAGAAGCCCGTTGCCAGACCGATGTACAGCGGAATGGTCTTCTTTGCGGCCTGGTGGGCCTTCTTCGCGGCGGCCAGGTCCACGACGGCCGTGGCATCGGAGCCGTTGCTCTCTGCGCTCCTGGCCTGCTGGATGGCCAGCTCGTAGGTGGGCGTACCCCACTCGTCGCGGAAGAGCATCCTGTCCTCAGACAGGAAGCCCAGGACCACGCTGCCTCCAAAGTTGAACCAGACCGAGGGGAAGACCGGGGCGCCGGGGTAGTTGGTGAGCCACTGCAGCCCAAGCCGGGCGAGGGTTCCGAGGAGGGAGAAGAACACCAGGTACGATATGGTGTAGAGTTGTGCCGCCCACCGAGAGACCCGCACCTCACCTTCTGGCCTCGCGGGCTTCTCCTGTACATCCCTTGGGGCGCCGCCTCCTCCAGACGATGACGCCCTCAAGGCAGCCCTACCCTCGATATACTGCTGGGTGCTCGCGCGCTCATCCTCCAGGCTCCTGTATTGGTATATAGACTCCTCGTCCACAGATTGCACCGGCCCGGTGTCGGACACCTCGCCAAGGTTAAGCCACGAGTCGGGAACATCATAGCTGACAGATTGCTGGCGCGACGCACGCCTCTCGTTGCGCTCGCTGCGCGAGCCGGAGCCCCACGAGCCATGCGAGCGGCGCGAGTAGTTGGAGGCAAACCGCCTTAGAGCGTCCTGGTGCTCGTGGCGCGCGGTAGCAGAGTTAGTCCTGGGCCTGCGCAGCGCGCGGTCGTGGGGCGAAGGCGGCTGCTGGTGCTGCTGCTGTGTCGGGCTTGGCTGGGCGGTGGACGGGCGGCGCGACGCGGGGATGCTCGTGGGGATGCTGTAGGAGCGCTGCCCGCGGTTCGTGAATTGGCGCAAGGTGTGTCCATCGTTGCGTCCCACGCCGATGACCTCTGGGCCTTGAGGGTTTTGCACGGGTGCGGGGTCCTCAACCTCGTCGAGATTGTAGTAGGAGTCGGGGATGTCATAGCTGACGGCGGGGGCGGCGTGCTGCGAAGCGCGCCTCGGGCGGTTTTGCAGGGACGACGACAGGATGCGTGGTACGGGGTCGCGCTGCTCGTGCGCATTTTCATTCTCGGGTTCGTTCTCGTTCTCGTCGTACGGTACGCCGTGCGGAGTGGGAGAGCGGAAGTGGGTGTACTGGTCTGGCGGCCAGTACCCGTCGCGATGGCCACTGTGCGTCATATTGCAGTGCGTTGGAGAGTGCGACCCGGCGATGACACCTGGGCACGTGCAGTGCAGTGTAGTGCAGTGCAGTGCTGTACTGGACCGCGTGGTGATACACACACACTTTCTCTCTTTGTGTGTCTTGTCTCCTTTTCCTTCTTTTCACCTTCTGTTCTCCTTCTGTTTCTCGGCCAGTTGTGGGGTAAAAAAAATACCACCTGCAAAGTAGATTCGGGTCATTTGCGCAAGCAGGTCGCCTCTGCATTCCTCCTCAGCCTCAAAGACGGAGAGGTGGCATCCCGAGGAATGAGAGTGTGCGCGCCCTTCAGAGAGGAGAGACGGGCGACAAGGAAACAAGCAAAAGGGAGCAGCAACAACAACAATAATGGACCGCGGCGGAGGTTGGGCCTTCCCCCTGCGACAGGTATCGGGATGGACGGGACGTCATGATAATTTACGCAGCGCTGGCCCGAGGAAGGCGCTGCCGGTCCGGCTCGCAGATCTTGTTTCGACCGAGCTGATAAAGGGGCGCTCTTTCTTTTCTTTATCCGTCGTGGTAAAGAAACAAGGGTGACAAATTCTGCTAGAAAGATACATTCTTCTTACTACTATCATGGCGTGGAGCCTCGGTCTCTCCATAACTCTTTGAATGCCTCAAACATGCCCCAGTATTCAGTGTGCATTGCCTATTCACCCGCTGTCACCTTTTCCCACCCCTCCTTCCCTCTTGCGACTCCGTCAGAAGCAAGGCCATGAATTACTATAATATAATCATCGTAGCATGTAAATAATTTTCAGCGCAGCCAGACGATCCAGAAGACGGCACAGCAAGTGATCCCGCCTCAATGATTAATCTACTCTCGAAAGTTGAAGAGAGACTAAGTACATGGACAAAAGAATATCTATGAGGATCACCAATTTGCTTTTCCACGTTTCAGAATAGACTGACGAGTGACAGATAGACAATGTGCGATGTCCCGTCCATGACGCACTTGTATCGTGCTTCTGCCGTGATTCCGAAGAACTTCATGTGCCTTTCACTTAGGAACATCACACAACCAATACAGTCTCACCAGCCCCCATCATCTAATATCCATGTCTTCATCTCACTACGTCCCATCCCCTACAACCTTCTTCTTCCGACTCTCCTCTGCACTGTGAACATTATCAACATCTGTGTCCGTCCTATGCCCCCCACCAGAAGAAGAAGCACCACCCTCCCCCTTCTGCCCCTCCTCCGCCGCTGCCGCCAGGAAGTCGATAGCCTCGTCAGTCAGTACTTCTAACGGGTAGTGCTTCGCGAGGCTGAGTTCCAGCCCTGTTTACTGCCTTGTCAGCAAATTGACCAACTCCTCTCCCACCCCCACCCCTCCTTTCGCTCTGGAATGGAAAGCGCATCTGTTGTCCTGGGAGATGATTACTTACCAACTCTGCAGACGTGAAAAAAAAAAAAAAAAAAAAAAGGCATTGATAGAGCACAAGGCGAGTACGGCCATCATGTCGTCCCACCCCAGCGACAATGAGCGCTGGTGGCTTACCCGACGCCATAACTTCAGTGGCACAACCAGCATCACCAGGATATAGGTCGAGATGGCCGAGCCATCAAGCCGGGTGAAGAATTCGCTCCGCGCCTCGGACAAGGAGAGACAATAACGCTGCAAAGCCAAAGAACTCAGCCCAGTTGTTGTTGCGATTTTGGGTCAGGAAATGGAGGGGAGAGATGAAAAGAAGAAAAAGGAAAACAAGAGACAACCAGCCAGCCAGTCTCCACCGAACCCTCGTACGGATTCATATCACATAGACGAGTCACTATTGTTGCGACCCAAACAGTTCCGGCTATCAGGTATCATGTTCTTTAATACCAAGGAATCATCCATATCCCCTTACAAAGTGACGCATAAGTCCTGAATGCTTGTCCTATAGATCCATCAAATTTGACCAGCTGCAATCCCCTAAACGCACATCGGCCGTGCTGGACGGGGCGAGATGTGACCGATGAGCACTGCTTGCCAATGAAGGTGAATGCCAGGACATTTGGCCCGGGGAGTTATGGTGCTATATCCTTGTGGAGACCAGTTGAGCCACGAGGCTTCGGGTTGGGTATAAAACCCTCAACGGTCTTCCCACCATTTCCACTGCCTCGAGGACGAATCTGCCATTACTCGCCTCGCAGGTTTCAAGAAATTAATGGGGTTTATCCAGGGAAGAACAGCGTTCAGCTCGACCTGTACGCAAACATGTTTGCATAGATGTTGCTCCTGTTGTAGCTACATGGACAGGAAACAAGTTATACATGTAGACCGTTTAGAAAGTAATGTATAGTTGTAACAATTCAGCAGAGAGAAAGAGTGTGAGAGAGATCCACTTGCAGCAAATTCAAGGAAAACCTACATGATTTACTTCAACTTGAGTACATTCGAGGTTGGCCTGACATGTGACTGCGGAAGACTCTGGTACATGGAGTTCCGCAGAAGAGGAGACGACACCTGCTACGTCAATGAAGATCTGACGTTCTGGAGTACTTTTTCTCTGGTTCGTCTAACATACCGGCCAACTCCTTCCGGGAAGGAGCCCACCAAGCCATTCATGCCGAACGAATGGGCTGGATTTTGTTATTCCCGAACCCATGATGTCCAAAATCATCTCTAGAATGCCACTGTAGACGTCAGGTCAACCGAATAGGGAGAGTAGTTCCAGCGGTGCTCCAGTAGGCCGGGTCGGTTCGGGCCATACGACCCATTCGTACTTGTTCAGTAAACATTCCTGGGCTCCTGGGGCCCATGAACCGGAGATGGCTCGCCGGGCGCGGGGAAGTGCCCCGTTGAACGATGCGCATGCAGTTGGCTGTCGCTTGTGCAGGGTCCTTTGATAAGCTGGGAAGATCATGCTCTTATTTGTCGAGTAGGCTGCACGACCTGGTCACGCATAGGTCATGCTGGAGATCCACGGACGTAACAGAAACAGGTTTCCCTTTTCCTCCAGACCAAGTGACCCTCTCTTCCTGTTGGAGAAAGCAGAGCTCACCCCTGACAGCCTTCTCTGTCTGTCTTTTGTGCCTGTATGTCCTTGGCTTCTGATCATGCCTCTCTTCCACAACCTGGCAGGCGTAAGCGGCGCAGATGTCTTCGCTCTGCTGTCAACGATCCCATCGTACTGGCAAACTGTCTAGCAAGATCGGCATATCTGGCTATGGCAGCTTCAGGAAAAAATATGGTAGCCCGACGATCCCGTCGCTGACCACGCTCTGATCCTGTCCATGGTCTAGCTAACGAGAGACTTAGGGCCAACATTCCGGTACCAACCTGACAGTGTCCTCTTCAACACCCCGTCGGCGTATCAGCACAAATTCGGGCCCAAGGTCAACGTGAAGAAGGGGCTCTACTACGATGCCTGGCCTCTTCATGCCAAGGCCTTGACAACCTGGAACACCACTGATATAGCGATTCATACGCGGAAGAGGCGTGTGCTCAACTATGCGTTCTCTAACAAGGCGCTGCGCTCTGTGGAGCCTTTTGTGGTAGCCAATGCCGATGAGTGTGTGACGGTCCTGGGGCAGGAGATCAGCCCGGCGAGGAGTGGTCGGGCTCTCTCAACATGACTGACTGGACCAACTGGCTCGTATTTGACATACTTGGCGATCTTTGCTTCGGGAAGTCCTCCGATATGAAGAAGCCCAACAGCAGCATGAGACAGGCACCCGCGTTGATGGTTGACATGCTACAGCTGATGCACCCAGTACGTCCAGTCCTCTGACCTATACCGTCCATGCTGCTGGAGACTCCGCCTAGCCGACTGATGTTCCGTAGATCGCCCACTCGCCGTTCGCTGGGGCCTGGGTGTGGTCTAAAAGCTGAGGTCTAGACTGGCTTCTGAGGCTGGCTGCCCCTCCCGCGCCTGCCAAGTGGAACGCCTTTGTGGGCAACTGCCTGACAGACCGAACCAGGACCGAGGAGGAGACACAGAGGCTGGCCTCTCAGGACCTCGAATTCGAGGTCCGGAAAGACTTTTTCCGCTATCTCTTCCATGCCAAGGACCCCGAGACTGGGAAGGGCTTCCCGATCGAGGAGCTGTGGGGCGAGGCCGAGTCTTTAATCATCGCCGGCTCCGACACCACGGCGGTCGTGATGGCGGCCATGTTCTTCTAGCTCTCGCGCTACACGGACGTGCAGGTCAGGCTTGCGCGTGAGGTGTTGTCAAGGCTCGCCAGCGCGCAGGAGATCGAGTCGGGCCCGGCGCTGCAGTCCTGCTCGGACCTCCGTGTGGTCATCCAGGAGGCCCTGCGGATGACGCCGAGGGAGTGCGCAGGGTCCTCAAGGGCGGCACTGTTGTCGACAGCGACTTCTTCCCCGAGGGCGTGAATGTGAGCCTCGGACACTACTGCTTGAGCTTCAACGAGACCATCTTCCCCGAACCGTTCAGGTGCAGGCGGAGCGGTGGATCGCAGGCGACACTTCATCTGGTGCCACGGAGGAGAGCGTTGCGCTCGCCGAGAGCGCCTTCTGTGCCTTCTCAACGGGAACGAGAGGGTGTCCAGGCAATAATCTGACCTGGCTCGAGATGAGCATCGTCATGGCCAAGATCATCTACTCGTTTGAGATCCGCAGGGACGAGGCGAGCAACCTGGGCGGCGGGGACCCTTCCGGCAAGGCTGGTCGGCGTAATGTGGACCAGTATCAGACATACGATGCTTTCGTGTCACTGAGGGTCGGACCTTTGGTGCAGCTTCGACGTCGGCAGCATTCCTGAAGGGACTGTTGTGGGAGGTTCGTTCAGTAGACGAACGAGCTTAATGTAGGAAAGAGAAGTTTGGAAGGTTGAAATGGAATCCAGCGTGATGACAAATCCACCAAGACCTGCCCAAAACGGGCTACTACAGGGGTTGTTAGCCAATGACAGGCTCTCTTATACCCTGAGCAGGAGCCCTAAGGGGAGAAGCAGGACATTATGCTTAGCATCGATATTAATAAATATATTGGACAGTACTATAGTACTAAAAAAGTATTAAAGTTTGCTTAGCGCATGCGGTAGGAGATCATGTTAGATCCGAGTTCTCCGCACCACGTGCATCTTCCTTACTTGGTCAACTTCCCTTCCTCATTCCTGTTTTTATCAAGCACGACATGGTACGAGAAGTCATGCCCAAAAGACTTCCTCACCATTTACCATACCAGAAAAACAAGCACAAAGACCCTCAAGACCCAGCTTCCATGGGGCTAAGGACCATGCACCAGCTCAGCAGGCCACTCCATCGGAAGATCGCCGGTCTTGGTTCGACAGCCCAAGGTACTTAGTAGGTCTGTACTGACATGCCCTCACGCACATCCCATGTGATCTAGTTGCTCCGCCTCCGGAATATTCCATGTAAGCCAAGAGAAATTCGTCAGCACTGACCGTTCAACCCTGGTAGTTCACCGGCTCTGGGACGTGCCGCATGGGACTGGCGACTCTCCCAAGTTCCACTGGCGCCATTGGACCCTGTCGTCAACATGAGGTGCCAGCATCTCGAACGAGCACTCATGGTGGAAGAGAAAGACAGGGAGTCGTTTCATTCATGTGCACAGTTCCGGGTCAATGAACCACTGTCATGACCAACTACAAACTCTTACTTTCGAGGTGCAAGTCTTCCACCCAGTCACAGAAGCCAGAATTCTTTTGTCAAATCGCATACACTAACATTGTTTCCTATCTAAAGCAGAAAAAGAAAACGAAAACAACAGCGAAAGGCGTAAACAACACAGACGAACTCCCCATCATTACGGTCCGTCCGTGTCCGCAATGCTGATTTCCCTTTAGCCGGGTATCATGATGTAATCACGGTTGCAATCGGGTATAAAGCACAAAAAAATATCCGACAAAAGGAATTCTGCTCCTCTGACAAGCCGTGTTCAAAAGGATTCTTCTGCATTTTGATATATCGTTGACGCTCGAGACGGCCCTGCTGGCTGGATGGGTGTGGGTAACTTCACAGTCGTAGTTCCGTCATCGTCATCATCGCCGTAGTCATCATCGTTCTCCTTCTACGAGACTGTGGTGAGACCGGCAGCAGGGTTCGCCACATTCGGGTCAAACGGCTTGGTAGCACCATGGACGGGGTAGCCAGCGCCGTTAGTAGCACCGTTCGTTGCGCCGTTGGTCACGCCTGTGCGGACACCTGTGGCGCCCGTGGAAGCACCCGTGGTGGCACTGGTGGTGTGAGGCTTACGAGCAACCTTGGGCGCAGCCGGGATATCGGAACTCTCTGATGCGGACATTAGTACCACTGCTTTGGAAAGACGCGGGAGCCTCGCGGAAGAAAGGGGGTGGGGGGGGGGGTCTAAGTATATCACGTACTGTTGGCAGCACCGATCGAAAAGACGGGGCTCTCCCACTTCTCTCCCTTCCTTGCAAGCTCCTTGTACTCAGTAGCCTTGGAGCTGATTCCACCAGGCAGGTGGACATTGGGGAAGATGCTGTCCTCCTTGGTGATGGCCACATTGACCTTCTTGTCATCCAGCTTCTGCTGGGCCTGCTTGGCCTTCTCCTTGCCCTGGAGCAGCTGCTTCTGGAACGCCTCAGTGTAACGCTTGTAGACGTTAGGGGCGTTCTCTGGGTCGTTCTTGGCCTCCTCGAGGGCACGCTGCGCCTCGAGCTGCACCTGGCGCAGGAAGCCGTCTGCCTTATTGAAGTTGTCCTTGATAGCCTTCTCGGCGGCCTTCTGGATGGCAGGGCGCATGGCCTTGAGGGCGATGGGCTTGGCCAGGTTGAAGAGCAGCTTGTGCTTCGACTTCTTGATCTTGATTTTCATGTCGTTCAGGGTAACATCAACCTTGTCAACCTTGAAGAAGTTGTTGGTATCCTTCTTCCCGGCCGTCGACATCTTCATGGTGAAGCTGAAGCCCTCGCCGGCCAAGATGATATCCGCAATAATGGTGTCGGTAATGGAGGGGAAGCCCTGCTTCTTCTTGAGGTAGAGAGAGACATCCCGCAGATCCATCTGGATGCCCGAAACCTTGGCCTCGATGGCATGTTGCTGGTGGCCACTGATCTTCTTGCGACCAAACCTCATGTGGTTCTCGTTGTGAATCTCAAGCAGGTTGGGCATGAAGTTATCACTCTCCAGGACGAGGTTCTCGATGACAGCATCAACCTGGGGGTCAGAATACTCGATGCGAGGGATTGGGATGTACGCTATCTTCTCAAAGGTCAAGGGAATGATGACTTCAGTGAGGTCCTTGAGCAGGTGGGGCTTGAACGCCGGCTTGCCGTTCTCATCATTTCCAAGATCGAGGAAGAGCTTGTTGACGGACTGGGCGAAGTGTTTGTTCTGGGCATCCTCGTCGAATTGGTTTGCGAGAAACTTAATCTCGTCCACGATGCGGTCGGTGTGGGCCCGGTACTTCTGTCGAAGCAAGTAGTTTCCGTGATCGTACAATCTGTTCCAGTCCTGGGTCGAGGCCGGCTCCAGAATGTAGCCCTGCTCCTGTAGGCAACGGCGGACGTACCTGTCCATAGCCTTGAACCAGTCCTTTAACTCAGGATCATTCTGGGCATCGACGTAAATCTGATTGACCGAGTCCCAGAGATCGTCGCTGCTGGTGCCGTTGGCGAAGCGCTCGATGAGGGTCTTGAGGTCAGCTTCAGCCTGGGCCAGGGAGGATCTAGCATCCTTGACGGTACCTGTCCCCCCAGTAGTGAGCTGCTTGCCATGGCTGCCGTATTGCTCAGCAAGATCCAGCAGCGTGGAAATGGCCTCGTTGTAGTCGGGGTGTTGCTGGCATTCAATAACCATTTTCTTTGGGCACGTTAGCAGGTGTCACACAAAGTGGTCTATTTGGCCCCCCTTGAAATGGGGCATGTTGAATCTTACCTTAAGGCGCCAGATTGTCTGTTCGCGACGCTCCTGAGGCATCTTCTTCTTGAGATACTCCTGAGTCTTGGCCCTGTACTCTGCGGTGCGCTGCCGCGCGGCTTCCTTGGCCTCTGCCGTATCCTCAGACGACAAGCCGGTGCGTTGCTCAGCGGTCTTGGTGGCAGCATCAATACCGGCGTTGACATTCACGCCAGAATCGGTCTTGGCCGCACCGTAGCCCTCCCCAGCGATGGCATTAGCATCAGAGTGGGGATCGTTGCCCTTGTAGACACCTTGAGCCTGCTTCTTCAGATTGGCCTTGCTGAAATCGGGAGTCTCATGCCAAGTGTTGTCTTCGGCAGGGCGGTCGATCTGAGCCAACCTATCCTCGTCCGGTCGCACCTTGCCGGCAGCGTTGGTAGCAGCATCACCCGCAATGTCTCGGATCAGAACGGTAGCATCGCTCACTGTGGTCATTTTGTTAGCTAAAGAAGATGGAAGCTGAATTTGGTCAGAGGACTTGAGACTGACAGAGCTTTCGGAATTGTCCGTTTGTGATAATCAGGGTTCCGAGGGTTCGCATGCCCTCCAGGGCCTTGTTGCCATGCTGCTTGGCGGTGTCTTTGTCGATGGGAGCATTGGGGGTGCTCACGGCAGTCGGGTCGAACTTCGTGGTCTGCCAAATGAAGTCCTGCAACAGGTTGCCCTCGTTCTTGGACAGGAGGAGGTTCTTGGCCTGATTAACCACATCGCGGACATCTGCCACCAGAGCCTTGCCCTCGGAGGACAGCTTTGGCGAAGGATTGGAGAGTGCCTTGGAGGCGAGGAAGCTGTTCAGAGCGATATCGATTTGCTCGTTCTGGAGGTGGATATTAGCTGAGGAACGGGAAGGATCAGAAGAGCAGTCGAATCATAACATACAGAAGGAACTTTGCCCTGTTGGAAGGCACTGATGATGCCATAGATTTGGAGTTTCCTGTTCACATCGGCCTCCTTCAGCTTGAGATCGGTTGGTCTGTTTACTGCAGCCGAAGCCATAGTTGCCAATGATTGTGATGATCTTCTGGGGAGAGAATTAATTCGTATTGTTCGTGGAGGAAAAGGGGGAAGAAAATGAATAGAAAGAGCAGGAAGCGCGTTAGGGGGGTCTCGAATGGGGGTATCAGGATATTGATTGGTATGGGGGTATCACGTCGTCGAGCTTAAACTAGCAGACTAGAATTGGGTCGCTAGAGTTTGCAAGGGGAAAATTGTTGAAAAACAGAAGATCGGAGGACGGTCGAAGCGCGAGGAGAATTGTCTTATAATAGTAGGGGCGGCACTCGAACCCAAAACAAGACGTGAGCAGTGACCTTGTTTGCGTGGTAACGCGGGAGCTATGTGGTCTGGCCCAAACAGTGCCCTGGGGATGTGACGTCCGGGAGTACGTCATAAGCAAGAAGTGAGCTACCATGTACGTACTCCAGACAGCCACCACAATGAAATAGTATGAACGTAGTACAGAGGGAGGGAGCCAAGGGGCAGGGGGCTGGCCGATTGGAGATTGCACAACGATGCCAATGCACCACCCACTGGATCGCAGCATGGACAGGAAATCAAGATGTATTTCCAGGCTAATGGGAGGTACCACTCCAGGTCTACCGTCTCTCTTAGTGCCAGTCCCACCATTCCCGATCCAGTCTCGACGTCTTTGGTTGTTCTTTCTCCTTTCCCCTAGCCTCGAGTGGCCTGGGTTTCGCCCCAGACGGAAAAGGCGACTTTCCTTCGATCCCCCACCAGGAATCCTTCCCAGATCGAGAAGCATGACGCCCAGCATTGGCATACTGCCCAGATGTTGTCTGTCGATCGATGCGCGTACGTGGCAGGCCAGAGCCTCCGAGTTCCGAAAAATCCCCAGATGAGGTGGTATGCGGGGACCGTCTCCACATGCCGTCCAGAGGTGTGGAACCTGGCCCTTCATGTGATTTTCGATAGTCAGGAATTTGCGTCAAGGAAGCAAACCGTGGTTGCGTAGGAACCAGGAGGACAGGAGCACTTGGGATGGACGGGAGGGGGACGGGACAGAGGGACACGAGGGGGGTCTGAGAGTGGACTGCTATTGTATATGAACCAGAGTAAATAGATGAATGGTATGTAGTTTTTGTATGGAGGGAAATTGGGTTCAGAGACATTTCCATAAGACTTGCAAGGATGCCCAGGAGTTGGGGTTACATCCGCATCTAGACCTTCACCGCAAGCTGCCAGACGTCTTTCTGCCCATACAGCTCTCAGCTCTGACCCCCCTCGCTCGTGCAGGTTGTGAGATGGACGAAAGAAATGCCAAAATCATGCTTTCGTACCAACCAGGTCATCAATTGCTCGCCACCAGCCAGCATGATACCCCCAACAAGATCCTATCTCACCAGCCTGTTTCCAGGCTGGCTGCTATGGCATACGGCAGCACACACTTAAGTCTTGCTGGTCAAAGGCTGCTGGTCAAAGGCGACTGGTCAAAAGGCGACTGGCACCTGGCAAGCAAACATTTCATCGAGATCTAGCAGCCTGTCCCAGCCTATCAATTTTGGTCGCTTCAGTTGTTTGTCATTTGAAATTGGGAGCGATGCGCAGTACATAGTACATAGATCCATGACGTCAGAAAATAGTTGTGGCGATGCAAAGGAACCAGGGGGTTTCCCGGCCCGCTCTCAATTCCAACCTCATGGGCCCGGAAATTTTTAAAATAATTCAGCTCCTCAGAACGGATATGGCTAGTCACTGCAGGCACACCCAAGCTCTATAGAGGTCTCAGCCGCATATCCTTCCTATATTGATAGTATCCTTCTTGCTCTCAGAGAGACGATCTGGCAATTGCTGATGCCTATCAAAGATGAACATCAGGTGAAAGCTGCGGAGCGTTTTCTCCATCAAGAAAGTGGCACACTCTATACAAGAAAAGAAAAGTACCACCAAATACTTGCTAACAGAAACACCCCCGCTATGCACGCGACAGCCTGTGGAACCCCTAGAAGGGTAGTGTGCATAGTGACATGCTCGGTCACAAAAATATGAGGTCACTGAAACATGCTGTGGCTGCATTCATCTAAACCAACTCTTGTGAGCTTGCCTGGACCACCGGGCCTTTCCTTCTGAACGCAACAGACGAGAACCAATACCATGAAGTCATGGAAGCGCCTCGGCTGCTGATTCTGGACGGAGCACTTGTCTTGACAACAAGACATGATAACCTTTACCATAGTATGTGTGTAACACGCCGAACTGGCATGTCATTTGGGCAAGTACTCACTACTATGTACTGTCTAAGTACTCATGTAAATAATCCTGGCAGTCCAGTCTGAACCCTAACCCTGAACAAACATCAAGTTCCTGCATTTCTCTCTAGCCTGGTGTCTCACACATTCTATAATGTCACTGTCCTTCCGACTGAAAAGTTGATCTCATAGTGTGTCCAATCTACTATCATCATGTTATTTCAAACTTCTCATGGATTTTTGTTGGATGTTGTGTAAACTCTGAACCCGCTAGCTGGCTGCCACTGCTGTGTTCACGCTGCTGAGGTCAGGTGACAACGTGTTGGACAGCGCGACTGAAGCCAGGCAGCATGCACCTTCCAGGCAGAAGTCCCCACCTGCACTTACTCGCTTGCCAAAGAAGGCATTCGCGCATCGCGTCTTTCCAAACTCCAATTTAGACTACTATCACCTCATCAGCCTGGCTGCCATCAAGTCATGCCTCCATTGTGATCTATTTTGTCGCCTGCCATCCCCCCCTCGCCGTCCAGCCAAGTATTCTCGTCAGACAGACAATCGTGTACACACAGTTCCATCCGCCATGAATCCATCAGCCAAACGGGGACGGTCGCCCAGTGCCTCTGCTAGGCGGGAGGAGCAGATGATGTACGCCAACGGAGCCCAGAGCCTGGAGGAGTTCGATGCTCAGTATCCCAACCGCCCACACAACCACTCACCCACCCTCTTCTTTTCGGAACTTACCACCTCGCTATTCAATTCATTGACAAACCCTCCCGCGACCGGCCATGCCGCAAAGTTACGTCGCCCCGGTACCAAGACCTCTGACACGGAGCAGCGTCGCCACACCATCGAGCGCTTCTTCTCTCACTGGCGTAATGAGGTCGGTGACGATGTGTACCCTGTAATGCGGCTGATCTTGCCCACCCAGGACCGCGAGCGGGGGGTCTTTCGGCTCAAGGAGCAGACGATAGCCAAGCTCCTCATCAAGCTCATGAAGATCTCGTCAAGGTCAGAAGATGGACACAGCCTGCTCAATTGGAAGGTGCCCGGCAAGTCCGCAAGCAGCCGCCTGGCAGGCGATTTCGCAGGGCGCTGCTTCGAGGCCCTCGACAAGCGACCTCTGAGGACCGACCCTGGCGACATGCGCATTGCAGAGGTGAATGAGCTTCTGGACAGGCTGGCGGCCGCAGGCGGGGAGTCGGACCAGCTTCCCATATTTGAGGAGTTCTACCGCAGGATGAACCCCGAGGAGGTGAAGTGGCTCATTCGTATTATCCTCAAGCAGATGAAGATCGGCGCGACGGAGAGAACCTTTTTGAACTTGTGGCATGACGACGGGGAGAGGCTCTTCAGTGTCTCCTCGAGTCTGCGCCACGTGTGTTGGGAGCTGTGGAGCCCCAAAATCAAACTCGAGGAGGACAAGGCGAACCTGAACCTCATGCAGTGCTTTCAGCCGCAGCTTGCCAGCTACTCGGTGGCCGTCAGCTTTGAAAAGATGGTCGAGAAGCTGAGGCTGCCCAGCGAGGACCCTGAATTCATGATCGAGGAGAAGCTTGACGGCGAGCGCATGCAGCTACACATGATGGAGGACGATACTGTCCCTGGTGGCTACAGATTTGGGTTCTGGTCACGAAAAGCCAAGAACTACACGTTCCTGTACGGTGAGTCTTTTGGGGATGAGTCGGCAGCCCTTACGAGACATCTGAAAGGTGCCTTTGATGATGGGGTGCTGAGCTGTATCCTCGACGGAGAAATGATTGCCTGGGATGCAACTATGCAGAAGATGCTGGCCTTTGGCACCCTCAAAACCGCCGCTCTCAACATGCAGAATAATCCCTTTGATAAACAGGGCTGGAGGCCTCTCTTCCGGGCCTTCGATTGCCTGTACCTCAACGGTCACGACCTCACCAAGAAACCCCTACATGCCCGTCGAAAAGCCCTGGAAGGATACACCAACAAATCAGGCAATCAAATACCTGGAGTCATCCAGAAGCAAGTTCCCGGACGCTTTGAGATTCATCCATATAAGCTCACCAAATCGCCTGGCGATATTGAACCTATGCTGCGCAAGATCGTGGAGAATTCGTCCGAAGGCCTTGTGATCAAGAATCCTCACGCCGTATATAGGCTGAACGAACGACCTGTTTCGTGGATCAAGGTTAAACCCGAATACATGACTGAGTATGGCGAGAATCTTGACTGCGTCATCATAGGGGGGTACTACGGCTCCGGACGACGTGGCAACATGAAGTCCAGTTTTCTGTGCGGCCTGCGGGCGCGCCGGGCTGACATCGATGCCGGCATTGCTGGGCCCGAGACGTTCTACAGCTTCTTCAAAGTCGGAGGTGGTCTGACTGCGCAAGACTATGCTCTCATAGAGCACCGCACGGAGGGCAAGTGGCGGCCGTGGAACCCGAAGGCTGCAAGCCAGTATGTCGAACTGGCAGGTGGAGACAGATACTTTGAGCGGCCAGATGTGTGGATCCGTCCAAGTGACTCTATTGTCATCGAGGTCAAGGCTGCTAGTGCCGAGAAGACAGCTTCGTTCAGGGTCGGCCAGACCTTGCGGTTCCCTCGTTTCCGAAATATCCGAGATGACAAGAAGTGGGATGATGGGGCTCTTGACATGGACGGATGGGAGGAGCTCGAGAGCAAGGTGGAAGAAGAGACCAAGACGAAGAAAGAAATGGAGATTGAGAACCGGAGACACACTGCGAAGCGGCAGAACCGCGGAATCACGGTGCCAGGAGAGGCTGAGTTCATCGCCAACGTCGCCGCCAAGTCCAAGCTCTTCGTGGGCATGAAATTCTACGTGCCCAGCAACGTGGCGAATCCTAAGATGACCAAGACCCAGCTTGAGGTCGTGATCAGGGAGCACGGAGGCACTGTGGTCCAAAACCCGGCCAGGGTCCGGGAGGGCGACGCGGTGCCCCTGGCGGACAGGATCGATGCGCCGCGCGTGGCCGCAGTGAAGAAGTTCGAGGGGGTCAGCATTATCAGGCCCAAGTGGGTCCTAGACAGCATCGAGAACGACTATCTACTCCCATACGAGACAGACCACCTCCTGGTAGCGACCGAAGACATGTTGGCCCTCGCGGCACAGAACAGCGACCAGTACAACGACAGCTACTGCCGCGATGTGCAGCTGGAGGAGCTGAGGTCGATATTCGCGCAGATGAGCGAGGACGGGCGCAGGCCTGCTGCGTCGCACTTCAACAAGGAGGCTTTCTACGACCAGCTGGAAGCGCAGGGGCACGAGCTTCCACGGTCGCGCGGCTACGTCTTCCGCAGGTGTCGTATCCACCTGGTCGCAGTCGATGGGGTCTCGGAGCTCACGATGGCGAGGCTAAGGAGCTACGTTAGCTTCGGCAATGGACAGGTGGCAGAGGAACTTGACGACGAGGTGACTCATGTAGTCATCGTTGTGGGCCAAGGTGATGTCGAGGACGAGAGGCTTCTTGCGGCTGACGTGCGCAAGCAGATCAGCAAGAGGAAGAAGCTGAAGATCCCGCGCGTGGTTACTGAGGGATGGGTTGGCGAGTGCTGGAAAGAGGAGACGCGTGTGAGCGAGGAAGAGTATGCACCCGTCTGAGGTGGGTTTTCTTTCCGACTTGCCTCTTGGAAAGTATACGAATCTACTAGGAGGTTTCCAATCAGTGTATGAAAGAAATTAACGACAAAATCTATCCTGCTAGTCGAGATGAAGAAGAGGGCAATGGTCACAACATGTGTCGATAGCGATCAGAAAGAGGAAGCCTCCAAGTGCTCAATCAAATCAATACCTAATATAAAGCAGATGAGTGGCCCATCATCTTTCTTATATAACACCTAGCGCTCCGGACATATCACTACGAGCAGACCAGGGAAAGCCATGCGCCTCCTACTGCTCGACACCGAAGTATAAGAAGAGGAAAAAGGCTCGGCACCTGACCGTCAATACAACACCTCCCCCTCTTGTCCTTACTACTTCCCAATGGTCAAAAACAGTCTATCCCCAACGTCTCCCAGCCCAGGTTTCAGCATACCCTCGGGCGTCAACTCGCTATCCACAGCGGCAAGCCATATATCCACGCCCTGGGGCCACTCGGCCGCAGCCCGCTGCACGCCCGGCTGGGCACCGAGGACGGACAGGACGACAATCCTCTCGGCGCCCCACTCGCGAAGGGTCTGGATGGCGGCGGCGCATGTGCCTCCTGTTGCGATGACAGGATCGAGGATGATGGCGAGGGAGGCGGTGGCGGTCGAAGTCGAGGAGGAGGCGATGTGTTCGGGCAGGTTGTTGTAGTACTCGACTGGTTCGAGGGTGGTGGGCTCACGGTAGAGGCCGAGGTGGTGGACGGGAACGGGGGTTGGTAGGAGGGTTTGGATGGCTGGGGAAAGAGGAAGGGGGGAACAAGAGAGGATTCATGTCAGTAGACGGCGTGGATAGGAAGGAGGTTTTGGGAGGAGCGGATACATCATACCTTCTACCATGCCCAGGCCGGACCGCAGGATAGGCACGATTGATATCGTCTCAGGTGTGACGACCGTTGTCTCGTACTCGAACCCGAGGGGTGTTTTGTCCTACAAGGAAAACATAGAAATTGTGAATATACAGACACCCACACACAGAGACGAAGGTTGGCAGAATCATGTTGTTCCCCTTCGTCCACTTGGAACCAACCTCAACCCTTCCCTCCCTCCCCCGTCCTAGCCCCTCCGTTCCTCCCACCACCCATCCCTCTTCTTCCTCGTTCATTCCTCCTTCTCTTTTCTCAAGGGGGAAAAGATAGTAACAAATGCCACACAGAAGGCCAACTCACCTTGGGACCCGGCGAAGTAGACACAGCAGCCGCCAGCGCCTCGCAGCCGACAATGAGGGCGATCTCGTGGACCAGTGATTTCACCTCCTTGGAGCTCGTGGTGCCGGAGCGGAGCTGGCTCAGCTTGGCGCGGAGGCACGGATGCTGCGAGACGTGGACGTTGGAGGGGAGAGACATGGTTTTTTTTGGGTTGGTGTTGTATAGAGTGATGATTGTGGTAACCTGAGGAGGAACAAGGAGGAATACAGGAGGAGGGCGAGGTTTTTGGGTTATAGACGATAGGTTCGCAGGCAAAAGATAGATAAAATATTATATGTGTATATGTATGTAGCTTCTTGTATCGTGTGTGAGAAAAGGAGAGGGAAGGAGGGGGGGGGGGGAGAAAGAGAGAGAGGAGGAGGATGGTTGATGATTTGTACAACGAACCAAGCCACGGATGAATTCTGAGGCAGACAAAGAGACGACGGCACACAGAGAATCAATTACAGAGGCAACGAGCTGTTGCAGGACAGTGTTCTCTTGAAAATGCCAAAGAGAAAGAGATGAAGAGATGAGATGGAAGATAGATAGACAGAGGACCACCAAGTGGCTGACCGGCAGGAGTGGAGGGGCCGGGAGCTCCGATAAGGGAGTCGAGGAGGGGTTTCCTGTAGAGGTGAGCTGTCGATAGGGCGGCAGTACCTAGTTCAATACTAAAGCACATAACAGGTAGTGCACTTCGCTGTATCGATAATAGGGGAAGGGGGCGTCAGTACGGGATCAGTACAGCGGGGATGCAGGGGGGGCACCTCCGGCCCGATCCAGGGCGAGATCCACTGTAGTAGCACTAAACACTACTATGTAGCAAGCATTATGGTGTGGACCTTGGGGGTGTTATACTGTGGTCTGCATAGTCTACTCTTTTTATGTCATCTAAAATTGGACAATGATAGGTATACAATACCATCCAAGTCACTTCTTGGAGAGTTACGATGGTCGATTGATACTATGGTCGATGAGAGAGCTTTGGTACGTTCAACTGTTCTGGCTGCTGAGGACGAGGCTCACTCACTTTACAAGTTTGTGAACTGGTTTATAGGCGTCTTCTCCACTATGTGCACATCGTCTATAGAAGTACATATATTTGTATGTATGCCATAGCGAGACCTGGATCACCTCATGACCGACAACCCCCAGCAGAGACTACTCATCTGGAGGAGCAGGAACAGCAATGGCAAGCAACCTGCGCGGCGCCGAGACCCGGCACCTCCATCATACAAACGCCTGGCCTCAACTGACGGCGAACTTCACCAGGTGGCCCCGCCGCAGTCCCCTTTTACAACCTCTTTCGGGCCTTCTCCCTCTCGATCCATGCAGCCCTCGCCTCGCCCACCAGCTCGCCTACGTCCCTCTCCACATCACTCGACAGCCCCGGCCCGACAACTCCCTCGTGATCACGGCTGCCACCTGACGCCAAGCTCTCCGTGCTCACCGACTTCTTGATCTGGACCCCCGCGGCATTGCTGCGCTCCTCCAACTTCGCCTTTGTCCAAGACTTACCGGGAGACGAAAAGAAGGCCGAGGACGCCGCCACGCCCACCACACAGTAGAAGTAGACGCGCGCCCAGACCTTGACGCTGTCGGCAAATCCCAGCACCAGGAAGGGTGTCGTCGCGAACGAGAAGGCCAGCTGTGTTACCAGGTAGGAGAAGACGTCGTAGTAAGGCTTCTGCGGAGTGGGCTTCTGTGTCTTGGGGTCGATAAAGAAGGGACGAAAGTATCGGCGGAAATCTGGCGCTGGGTCAGCTGGACATTGATTCATTTTTCGGAGGAAACAAAAGAAAAAGACAAGGAAAATAGATCAACGTCTCGACTTACTCTTCGCCACAGTCTGGATGAAGCTGGCCAGCACAAACGTGAGATAATACCCGGGGTAGAACCCATGCCACACCGCACTCGTCACAAACGTAGCCATGCTCGCCCGGAACCCAGGCTTCTTGCCCATGGGTGTAACCCGCAGATAGATATAGTTGCGCAGCCACAAATTCGTCTTAATATTCCAGTTGCCCAGGTACGCGCGCGTGTTCTGCGCCGTTTCCACGCCCCACGGGTTCACGTTCTGCACCCGGTCCCAGCTGATCCTGCCCGTGACGGGGTCCACGCCGTTGTAGCCGATGCCGCTCAGGATGCACGCGCCCTCGGTCAGCGACCACACGCCATAGTACTTCATCCGCGCCGTGAAGTTGGTCATGTGCATGATCCACACGCGCCGCAGCAACCCGTAATGCACGAGGCCGTCGCCCACGAGCAGCTCCACGTTGTACCAGCCAGAGAAATGGAGGAAGCACAGGATCCACACGAGGCCCGTCACCATCTTCCACATGGCCGGCGTGGCGCTGCGCGGGATCCGCCGCTTCTTGCGCGTCGGCGGCTTCTTGGCCGGGTCCACCGTCGACGGCACCTCGAACATGCTCGTGTCCAGCCACCGCCTGTACTCGGCAAAGTCCATCGCCGGCCCGCACAGCAGTGCCGGGAAGAAGAACACCCACCCCGCGTAGTCCAGGAGGTCCGGCAGCTCCGCCAGCACCCTCTCCCTCTGGAACTCGGACAGCTGGTTGTCGCTCAGTGTCCCATCTGCGACGTTCCAGCAGAAGGCGCTCAGCTTCATGACGAGCACCATCTGCGCGCCCGTGATATCAACGACAGCCGGGTTGTTAGCGAACTGGCGCTCGAGCTGATTGAGACTCAGGTGGCCCATGAGGAACACGAAGCCGATCCAGGGCATGTAGGGACTGCCGCGCAGGAAGTAGGCAATGCCGTAGGCGCCACCTGCAGCGATGAGAAGGGTACGTAGACCAGCCCATAGGTCGAACAGGCCGACGAGAAAGAAAATGCCGGTCCTAGCCCACGAACTCGTGTCAGTAACTTCGCACTCGATCCCAGTCTGATACCAAGAAGTGTGCCCACGTACCCTGCGATGAAGAGATTCTTGTAGGCGGGTTTCGTATCGGGAATGCGCTTGAGAAGGGCCGCGAGGGGGTACGATATGAGGATCGAGAATATAAGCTTGACTGTTCCAGGTCGCCGTCACTTGGGTATTAGCCTTGTTAAGGAAGAAAGGTAGGAGTTGTCCAAGTAACAGTTGTGCAGGGCGCACAAGGCACGGGGCGTGAAGGTAGATCTTACGTTCATCGGGGCCGGCGCCGACAGAGTCTGCCAGCCAGACGAAAGCTGTTGTTGTTGTTGAGGGTTGTCAGTCCATCTATTCATGCAGCGCCAGACATAGCACTAGAGAAGGGGATGTGAATGAGAAGCTTACGGGCGTGTATGAAGGGTAACATCTTTGGCAGCGGTAGGCAGAAGGAGGACTGCTCAGGGGAAATGTTGTCGTGAAGGCAGTTTTTTGTTGGGAGAGAAGAGATGCTCGTCTCGTCAGTCCATACCTTGGGAGCTGCGAATTTCAAGGTGCCAAGCCTAAAAAGGAGCTCTAGAACCACCAACTCAGCACCTAAAGAGGAAGCCCAACGTAAATATGAGTCTCCTGGAAGTTTCCGTCAAGGCAAGAAGCTGCTGCGTTGTGGCAGTTGTGAGCTTTGGTGGTGATGCGTGCACAAGTAGAGGAAAGCATGACCTTGTGCAACGGTTGCAGTAGCAGGGCTTGTTGGGTCAGAGCTCCAAGGGCTGCCAACAGCAGGTGATGTCACAGGGACAGTTTGGCACTAATACTCAATGCCTTTTTGACATGTGGGACCAGCAACCAATGGACCATCCCACGAGGACTCGACCACTACATTGTTGGCCAGCCTTGGCATTTTCTACCACAAGCCTCACATCTTGGCAGTCAGGCCAGAAAACCCCCACCTAAATGATGCTCTCCTCCTTTTAGTTGCGAGATCAAAACGAATCCACGCTGATTTCAGATTGAAAAAAAACGGAACATTCAACCACGTTCTCATAAGATCGTTGATTAAATATATATATGTATAGAAGGATTCATAGGCAGGTTGGCGGAAATATTAAAAACATAGCACTCGGACTCATTTTCCCCACCCCCTCCAGAGAACTGGTGACCTCCCTTGTCTCATGACTACTTCGTCTTCGCATCAGGAAAGCACATGAACCCTTTCCTCTACCACCCTGTCTTGGTCCAAACCCATTTGAACGCCATATAAGATGTCGTATGTGTTCCCTTCGTGTTTGCATGGCCTCAAATCGTTACCTATTCAAAAACCATGCATGTATGCCGCTTGTTGTGAGTGTGTGTCTGTGTGTTCGTCTACCTGCTCTATACCAAGAGACCGATCGAGGTGGACAGGCGGGACCTGAGAAAAATGGATATACAAAGAATTGGACCGAGACCTAGATCTAATGCACACTAGATGTCCCCCACTTTTTGGCTCCAACGCCTGGTCAACGCACCTCAAGAGAGGTCCCTTCATAACAGAGAGCTGCAATGTTCCACCCGCAGGTGGCGCAAGACGTCTCAACTCTCCCATCTTCACCACACAGCGTTACTCCTATGCATTCGCAGCGTCCTTGCTGCTCTGCGCGCTCGCGCTCATCACGGGCTGTTGCGTGGGCAGAGACATCTTGCTCTGCGCCGACGACCGGATCTTGGCATAGGCATAGACGATCCCGCTGACGAAGCCCAAGAAGATGGCCGAAACGCTGCCGACGGTGACGGGCGCGGCGAAGAAGATGAGGCCGGAGATGGCGATAGGCAGCTTGTTGAGCGCGCCGACCATAGAGTACGTCGTCGACGAGGTCACGCGGATGCACCAGGCCGAGCAGTACGAAATGAAGATGGCAGCCAGGCCAGAGTAGATCATGCCAATGATCAAGGTGTTGCGGGACTCCTCGGGGAAGTTCAGGGCGAGGTTCGTGGAGCTCCAGTCCTCGAAGATCAGGGAGGCCACGATGAGGGTGGGGATCGTGAGCAGGTTGTTGTAGAACATGGCTGTCAAGATAGTATGTCAGTCTCTTTGCGCTGCCAAAGGGGTTTCCATACACAAATAGTGTTATTGTTATACATACAGTCCCAGTCCTTGAAGTTCATCTTCTTGATGACTTTGCGCATGGTCAGGACGTACGAGGCCGTGCAGAACACGTTCATGCCCATCCAGGCGTATCCAGCGTTCAGGGTCGACACGTTGACGCTCGCATCGTAGCCACCCTCCAGGGCAGCCTGGATGTCGGCCCAAGCAGCAACGACGGAGCTGACCACCATCAGCCCGAAGGACAGGAGGGCCATGGGGGTGACCTCGCCGCCGAACCAGAGGACCTCGCCATAGGCGATGACGATGATGGTCAGGTTCTTGAAGATGGTGTAGACGGGGACGGAGAGGAACTGGAGGGACTTGGTGCTCGTGTAGATCATGCCGACGAGGAGGACGGAGATCGGATACCCTAGTCGTCGGTCAGTATGTTTGCCTCGTTTCCCCTTTCCTTCCTACATGTGAGACAGATTCAGGCTCTTTCCATTCAGGACGTACATTTCTTGGCCTTGTCCTTGTCAAAAGGCGCAAGGCTGGTGATGAGCCCAGCCTTCTTGCAGATTAAGATAGCAGTGATGCATACGATAGACTGGCGCCAGGAATGTCAGCTTTCTCAAGGCCCCATATTCCTATGCGCAGGGAACATTGATGCACCGGGGAGGAACAGGGAGGGCAGGTGCTAGGCCATCATACCTGCACGGCAAGGTAGAACAGGTTCAGATTCCAGTTCCTGCCCGAGACGCAGTACTTGTTGACGACGGTCATAGAAATGGACGACAGGCAGTAGGCAAGGATGGAGGTGCCGGGGCTATTCTGGATCTTTGCGAACTTGTCATGGAAGCTCGGGGTGTGGGAGATGCGGTGCGATGGCGTCCTGGCGAGGAAGGGGTCCTTCTCTTCCTGGAAGCTGTCGCTCCGGTCAGGGATCCGGACCACGAAGTCATCGCTCTTCTTGTCTGTAGACATCGCGACGGCGGTTTTCCTGTCTCCTTCTCTTCTCTTCTCTTCTCTTCTCTCTGTCTGGTCGAGCGCAGTGATATAACGAGCGACGTCTGGTGGAGATGGTGGTCGAGATGGAGGTTGTCCAGAGAGGGCGAAAGGGACTGAAGAGGTCGTCGAGTGCAGATGCCAGTCGATGGCTTTTCGGGTGGACTTGAGACGGAGAGGCCAAAAATTGGGTGGAGACTCTTGGAAGCTTGTTCGATTACCGAAGATCGCACAGAGCTCGTCGTGATTGTCGACAAGAGACGAAGGAGTGGGTTGGGTTGGTACCAAGGATGGGGAGGGAGACGCGTCAGAGCAGCAGGTCAAAGAAAGAGGTAAAACTGAAGACGGCAAGAATAAAAGGGAGGCATATGTGTTAGGTTATTACGGGAACGTCTCTCTTCCCTATCAAAACTTCATGCGCCATTCCCCCCCGGATTCGCAGGACATTGGAAAGCGGCTAGTGGCTGCAACGTACAGGGCTTGGCAGGTTCTAGGTGTGAGATCCCAGGCACTGGTTCCGCCTGCTGAGGCGGTGTGCCACTAAAATTGGGAGCTGGCCCCACTGAAACTCGACACGAGCCACACATTCATCCCACCCCAATCCTTTCTAGGGTGAGGCCAGATTGATTACATACTACGCATCAAACCTTGTCTACATGTTGATCTGAATATACAGGTGTATATATTCACATATACATATACACATAGAGCAGAACCTTCTTGCGAGGTATACTTATCATCATTACAAGGCTATCTAGATTTATTGAGTTCATCGTTACTTTAATCGCCATACAGTCAAGACGAAGTTCATTGCACAGCCTACTCAAGTCTTACTTGGCCGTCCAACGAGAAACCTCACTGATCGACGTGCCCACCTCAAACAACCCTCTCAGCAATGGAGCAAATGTAGTAGTAGATCGAAGCTAAATCCGAGCAATTATAATCCAATCATCCGGTTTCCTCGACCCCTGATGTTAAATACTGACGACACAAGGACTTCATTCCAAGTCAGTCTTCCTGTTGTAGAACCAAGCCTGGCTTGTTTCTGTCTCCTACCTGATACGTATATCATCAATGCGCCGGCGACGGCTCTATCCCTCTTGTGATGATGACCTTGTTCATGCGACCATGTCAATAACCCTGCTTGGGACCGTACCTGGCTGCCTGTGACCTTAAGTAGTAGCCATGATGGTGTCCTCCTGGGTACCAGACGCCTCGCCCTCCTCATCAGGCGGTGCCTCGCCGCTGTCCTTTGAGTCGTCCGCCCTGTCGTACTTCTTCTCCTCTGATGAAGACGCCGCTGCAGCCGCCATCGGCCCCTCCTCGCCCGGCGGCACGGGGAAGTTCAAGTATTTCCAATCCTCCAGCTCTTCTGTGACGCTCCGCAGCCTGTCGCGGATACTCTCGATGGCGTAGCTCCCGAGAAGTAGGCGCAGGGGCGGGTAGGAGCAGTGGCCCAGCTGCCAGACGAGCTCGGCGCACTTGACAGCGCTCGTAGGCTGCTTGTCACTGAGCCACGAGACCATGCGCTTGGCGTGCAGGGCGGGGGAGGTCGGGTGGCTGTAGGCTTCGGAGGCGGGCCTGATCAGGAAATGGCCCCAGGTGGGCAGCTGGCTGGTACCGGAGTCGAGAGGCTCGTCGCGCCGGACCAGGCCAGGCTCGACGAGGGTCGCCTTGAGGTTGAAGGGGCAGATTTCGTAGAGCATGGCCTCGATGAGGCCCTCAACCGCATACTTGGTCGCGCAGTAGGGGCCCAGGCCAGGCACGCCGAGGGCTCCGCTCGTCGAGCTGAAGATGAGGTAACGCCCAGACTCGCGCACCCGGAAGTAAGGCAGCGAGCACTGGATGATGTGCAGCGCGCCCATGAAGTTGGTCTCGAACTGGTTTCGGATTTCGTGTTCGTCCTGATCTTCGCACGCGCCAATGACCCCGTACCCAGAGCAGTTGACCACGATGTCGTAGCGGCCGAACCGGTCGAGCACACGCTCGAAGACACGGGCCACAGACTCCCGGCCGCGGACGTCACACTGCAGGTTGAGGCAGTTCTCGTGCTGCGGTAGGGCGTTGGGCTGGGCATTTTCGAAGGACCTCCCGACGCTGACGACGAGGTCCTTGTGCAGCAGGGCAGCCTTCACGAGGGACCTGCCCATGTGGCCTGTGCCGCCAAAGACCTAAAGGGGGGTTGGGTGAACCGGTCAGACAGGACCTGTGTGGTGTGCTGTTGGGAATAAAGCAATAGAGAAGAAGAAGAGGAGAGAGACACTCACGACCCAGACTTTCTGTTCTGTCGGACTGCCTGCTTGTGGCGGATCACAGCTCGCGGGTAGTTGCAGTCGAGCGGCTTGCCGTGCAGGAGGGTTCACGATGGTGGGCGCCTTTGAGTCCATGGTAGAGGCACGTCAAGCTCGGCTGTGGGCCCAACAAGCTATTTCAGGAGGGGGAGGAGTTGGAGTCGGTGAAGACGATGGGTTTGGGTATCAGCCTGTCACGTCAAAGAGTGCTCCCACTCATCTCGTAGCTGCCAGAACGGCATAAGGTCCCACTATGAGCCCGTAGGATCTCTCAAAAGGTGTCAACAGCGACAGGTGGGCGTTACAAGAAGTTGAGTCCAAAGAGAAGGTGTCTTTTTTTTTTTGGGGGGGGGGGGGAATTCGTTATAAAGGAGTTGTCCACAAGGGGTTGTTTGTCTGTCCCTAAGGTGGTGTAGATCACGAGTTCAACAACAGGAAAAGAATGTTAGGCCGAGCAACGAGTCAGATTCAAACTGAACAAAACAAACAAAACAAAAAAGGATCTTGATTCCAAAGAGCCTTCCAAGTACAGATGAAGAGAACAGGGGAAGAATGCGATCGCTGGTGTGCTTGCCTTTGACTGACAGTTGTCATTTCATGGCCGGATTTATCCTGGATGTATGAAGGGTGGAAAAAAGGGAAGTAATACACTTGAATACAGCATAAAAGCGAGCCATGTCGGTAGGCGGCGTTTCCTTACCCCTCTAGCAAGTGCTAGCCTTGCTGGTCCCTGCATAGCAGGCAAGTGCTTCTTCAGGTGTACCTGCGCGGCGGAGCAGAGAAAGATGAGAAATCCTCGCCCATTCAAACTTGTGAATAGGGGCGTAGTTCAATTTTGGGTCTGTATAGGTCCAGAGGGAGAATAACAATAACAGAACAATAGGCCTATGGCTTTTCTCTCCTGAGTAGTGTGGTAGTGGATACAAATCGCTCTGATCAAAGGAGCGCTACCCAACTGAATCTCACTCAGCAAAACGTGCAGCCACTGCGACCTACAGTAGAATGGCACGCCAATCCCTCGAATCAGACCCCCTGAAGCCCCTAACCGTACTATGTATGGTACAGCAGAAAATGACCCCACCCCCACCTCGTTTCTGCCTCTATATTTCTCTTCGCATCGACGTCACATTGGTGACTGAGCACGCCAACCCATGACAGCCAAGAGCAGCCAATCGAGGGGCACCCTTTGGGCAGCCATCCACTACATTTTCTGAGTGAAAGTGAATCGAAAGTTGGCGCCGGCGACAGTCTCGAGGCAATTTTTTGTAACTTAAACCAGGTTTCCCCCTCTTACCCTTTGTAGTCTCCGTCTCTTTTGACTTTCCTACATCTTATCAACCCCAACTTGATACTGTTATATTATCAGCTCTGTTTTCTCTCTCGAGGTTTTCCTCTCATTTTATCATCATTCTTGGCATTGAGACAAACTTGCGCCCTGCAACTTCACCCTTCCTGACACACACACCAGGATGAAGGCCTACCTCTACGACAACCAGCCGGTAAGACTCAGACCTTCAAATTCCCTCCCTCTTCTCACATCGCCCCACATCACCCAAGAACCCTTTCAAACCCTCAACCCACCACTCACCACAAAGACAAAACAGGGCGACCAGCGCCTCCCTCACGACTCAGGCACCGCCGTCGACCCCTCTGCCCTGGAGAAGCTCGGCGTGCTCTACTACCACATGCCCTCAACCTCCGAGGTGGACACCCTCGCGCAGAACCGCGGCTACCGCAACCGCGATGAGATCACCGTGAGCCCGGACAAGATGGGCGACGCCTACGAGACCAAGGTGCGGTCTTTCTTCTCCGAGCACCTGCACGAGGACGAGGAGATCCGCTACATCCGCGGCGGCAAGGGCTACTTTGACGTGCGCAACGAGGGCGACAGCTGGGTGCGCATCCAGCTCGAGAAGGACGACCTGATCATCCTGCCTGCTGGTATCTACCACCGTTTCACCACGGACGAGACCAATGTGAGTGTTGGCACCCATATGGCCTCTCTTTTCCTTTCTCTCTCTCTCTCTCTGTGTGTGTGTGTATGTAGTGCTGACAGCGCCGTAGTATGTGCACGCCATGAGGCTGTTCAAGGACGAACCCAAGTGGACGCCGCTGAACAGGAACGGAGACCTGGACGGCAACCCTCACAGAAAGGAGTACGTGTCTCAGTATCTGAGCTGAGAGCACCTAACAGAGAGGGAACTCGAAGACAGTGAGGGAAGCGCATATGAGACTTGATATTTTGAACTTTTCAATTCTAGTCTTAGATCTGCGGTCTCAAACTACGCTTAGCATGTCTAAACCCAATCCAGGATCGTGGGACTCAGAATGCGCCCCATAATGAAGATGATATTCACACTTCTTCCGAACGATGTAGACTGGCTCATGCAGGTAATCTCTGTTTTGGCCTAGCAGTCACACCACATCGTCCATGGACGATAATGCCTGGGCGGAGTGATGACTTTGTTATTGTCTCAATGCCAAAAACAATCCAAATCCTCCCTAATGCTCCCTATACATGCCACCTAAACGCCAAACAAGCTCGTCTTGTACAAAGGTCGAGCGATCGTATCCAGCATGAAATTGTAATAATCCTCCCCACAACGCCGCAAAGATGGTCGGGCTTGTTGAAGGAGTGGGTTCACCCATTCCCCGAAGTATGTACTGCCGAGAATGCCGAGAGGGAAGAACAAAAAGCAAAAGTATGATCATCGGCCAAGTATGCGTGAGGCCAATTCCTTCATCGCACTTCTGGCGCGACCTCGGCGCCAGCAACCGCGATCTCATGGTTGACATCATTCACCGACTCGTCCCTCCTGCCCTCAAACAACCTCCTCCACCACATCGGGGGGTCCAGGGGCCTCGAGCCGCCATGCAGAGGCGGGTAGACGTCGTTGAAGAAGTACCAGATGTGACCGATGACGACACCAACCAGCTCATCCTTGGGTATGACGCCGTGCAGGATCAGGCTGAAGCCCATAAGGACCCACGGCAGGTAGGGCGCGGTGAAAACCAGCAGGCCCAGGAAGCTGAGGCGGGTGTCCGGGTTGCGCCGGGCCCAGATGTAGACAAAGGTCGAGGACAGCGGGTGGCCCAGGAACATCATGTCGACTAGCGGGGCTAGGCAGATCAGGCTGGTTGTGGCGTACAGGAGCAGCCATGAGAAGTGCGCGGGCGACCGGCCGGAGGACTCCTCGAGGAGACGGGAGTATCGTTGGAGGAAGTAGACGTGGAAGAGGAGGTCGAGGGACAAGGGTCCGAAGTAGAGGAAGGTCGTTAATAATCGCCAGTACTGTTTCCGTCCCAGAGGGTTCAAATGATTAGCATGACCGGTCTGTCTTTCTGATTGTCTCCTCGTCTTCCTTCTCGTTCTTCTTGTCCGGTCTTGGAAGCCCTTCGCGCGGCGGCGCGGTGTATCGCTTACCTGTCCGTTCTTAAACACTGCGCGGTAGCTGTAGAAGAGCTGCCAGGCGTTGATGATCTTGCACTGCACCAGCGCGCTGGTGAGGACGGTGGCGGTAGTCCATAGCCTCGTGCAGACGGGCATCTCCCAGAACCACTCCTCGAGCGGGAAGCGGCCGCCTTCTCCCATCATGCCATCCATGATTGCTTTGCTTGCTATGTCCGTTGCACCGTGTGCGACGTGACGATAGTTATCGACAATAGAAGACGTTCGATCTCGGAAGGCAAAGCAAAGGGAAGGAGAACCGATTCGCGCGGCCTACGTAAGAGTTCGATGTAAAAGAGAGGAACAATTGTGTTTCCAGACAGTAAGTGATCCGATTGGATTGCGTTTGAGGTAGCTGACTGTACACCCTCAGAATATCAGGTGACAAAAGGGAACAGAATCAATAGAGACGCGTGTCCACTTAGGAATTCAGGATCTTTAGGAATTCAGTTCGGTGTCGTAATTTTGGGGGGTTAAATTCATAGGTTGGAACGTTGGAGTCGCAGTTGGAGGAAAGCCGGTTCCTGCGGGTTGAGACGTTGTGAGGTGGCCTCTCGATAATCGGGCCTCTCATCAAGGGCCGTAGTACCAAGCCAGAGTCGGGTGTCAGTGTGTCTTCAGCGGCCGATAGCGCTTCATGCCGGTGACGACAGGGTGGCCCTGTGGGTAAACCATCTCTGAATCGTGCAGTGACTATGGCACCATGCTGACCCCCAGCCCGATCGGTCCAGGGGGCTCCGCTGCCTCTGAGATGAAATTCAACCTATCAGCACAGCTCGTGCTGCACCCCAGACTGTGGCTCTCTGCCACCAGCCACACCTATTTACGCGTGGTTCGGGGGCAGGGCAGGCGTGGGGGGTAACGCACTGGGGTATTGGTGGTGTGCTACCGTGCTATAGCGCCGTACTACGGGTAGGCTTGGCACACTTGCTCGCGAAAACCCACTCTCTGGACGCGTTCGGCAGGGACCTTCCATAAGCCCCCACAGCGCGTAAAGAGCTTCTTCGTTTTCTCCTCTCCCTCTGTCAAGTCCACCTCTCCGTCTTTGTTCCCGTTGCAAAGCCCAACCACTCAATTGACCAGAACGGTCTTTGTAATTTACAATAGCTGTACCGTCGCAAACGCCTGGTCACCAGCTTCAAAATTTCCGGGACCTGATTGTTCTGGGTTTCTTTTTAAAACACTTGGGCGGCCGTTATCCTCCCTCCTTTGCGCTCAGCCCACCCGACCAGCTCAGCGCAGCCCCCTCCTCCCTGAGCTCGCGAACAGCTTCCGACTTCTCATCTTCTCCGAACGAATCTTCCAATTGACACACAATGCCTCCGAAACGTGGTGGAGGCGCAGGCAGGGGGCGAGGCGGAGGAGGAGGTGTTGGAAGAAAAAGAGCGAGCGGCGTTATGCGTAAGTTTGGCGCGATTCTGTCGCATGTCGCAGGTGACCTTCTTCCACTGACACGCGATCATGTGCGCACAGCTGGCGATCCAGTACCAGTGGGGAAGAAGCGCAGATATAGGCCCGGGACCCGTGCGCTGCGCGAGATCAGGAGATACCAGAGCAACACCGACCTGCTCCTCCTCAAGCTGCCCTTTGCACGACTTGTAAGAGTTCCATCCCCAACCCCCCAGCCCTCCAGCTCCGGCGCCAAAGAATGGACGCACAGCGGCGCGCACGAGAGCTCTTGAGAGGCGGGCATTGACCCATCACGTACACCTCAGGTCCGCGAGATTGCATCGACATTCCGACCACGCGACATGGAGTTCCGGTTCCAATCGCAGGCCATCCAGGCACTGCAGGAGGCGGCAGAGGCCTTCCTAGTGCATCTGTTTGAGGATACAAACCTGTGCGCCATTCACGCCAAGCGAGTCACCATTATGCAGAAGGATATTCAGCTCGCGCGGCGAATACGCGGCGTATGGGGAGGGGCTGGATGGATATGAGCCGAGGAGTGTTAACCCTTTTTTTTTAATCGGTCTCTCCCTGACCGATCTTCTTCTAATACCCTGGTGTCACAAAAGTACAAGGGCAGGGCGTTTTGGAGGCGGCGTTATGCGGATACGTTCGACTCGTTGCTGAGAAAGCTTTTCTTACGAGCTCTTGCTTGCGGAAGGGTCCTATCGTCTTTGCGACCCTTTTTTGGGGAGGTGGTGGGGGGGGGGGGGTGATGGCCGCCTCGACATGATTGACCCGATGCTTGGGACGCCTCGGGTCTTCAACGGAGCTCATGATCCTTTGCGAATTGGTGGAGAGATGAGCGGCATTAATCCCTACGGTCGTTGACGTCGTAGTGCATGGTTGCTTAAGGGAGCCGCTATCAAAGCGGCACAAGTGTCATGCCTTGAAGGACTTTGAGGATGCTATAGCTTCTCTGAGACCGTTCGAGGGCCCTAAGGTTATACTCAGAGGCGCTGTTGCAGACCTCTTTGCTTGCCAACATTCGACGGCCTTGCCTTGAGATGCACACCATTCCAGGCGGAAGCGAACGGGCTGCGGCCTCGAGGATGATGAGACAAACAATTTGTGGAATTGCTTTGTGGACTTGCCCAGCGGGAGGAGGCCTCATTGCATGCTCCTGCTTTCTAATCAGATTACGGTCCATCATATCTTGTATTTTTGAAAAAGAATAATCTATTTGATTCAGATTCAGCACCGAACCCCCAATAAACACACACTATATGCATTTCTGGAACATCGAGCCCAACATGGCTTTAAGACATACACACATACATAGGCGCCCCCTCCCCCCCGCACACACACACACACACACACGCACACACACACAGTGCGAGGTTCAAGTACCGCTTGCTCTTCCCAACAACGGTGACGAGAAGGCTATTATTGCCGATGGTCCGCATTATCCTGGTGTACCAGTAGCCACTGTTGGTTTCCCTCCCACCTCATTGGGAGAGATACGACGTGCACGAACCGCCCGCGGCGGATGGACCGGAGTATGACGTCTCGCCGTCCATTCACCGCGTGGTCGCCGTTCAACATAATGCAGGTTACAGGGGGGAGGGACGGGCCTGATATGGACCCTGCCAAGGAACCCTATTCAAAGAGAAAGAGTGAGAGTGAGCGAAGAGGAAGATAAGGAGTCGAGTACAGGCGTCGGCCCATGAGACGTTACTTGCAAGATGACAGCATCCCAGCTTTCTCGGGAAGGGGTCTTCTCATGGCGGATGTGGTAGCTCGCCAGGCCAATGGGTTGTGACCTCGGTGCCAAGTATCTCTCTCTCTCTTTTTTATTTTTTTTCTTCTCTTTTTTTTATTTTATTTTTTTTTAGTCTTCTCTTTTTGTATCCCAACTCTCTGGTCCAGTTCACCCCTCAACACCAGAGGCCTGATACGGAATTTCCCTTCTTTCTTCTTCTTCTTCTTCTTCTTCTTTTTCTTCTTTTTCTTCTTTTTCTTTTTCTACTTGTTTCCCTACTTACTTAGCTGGCACTCATAAGCAACAATCACAGCTGAGGTTTCTCTCTCTCTCTCTCTCTCTCTTTTTTTTTTTTCTTTCTTCAACCTCTACTTGTCTTCTTCCTCTTTTGGGAATGAGCTGACACCGCCTGTCAGCACTCCCGAGACACACACGCGTACACATCATATGCGAGTGATAGGGCTAGCTCCATGTCAGAAAAGAAAACAAAAAAGGCTTGACAGGTGGCGGGAAGGAGAAGAGGGGGGGGGGATTATGTCGATCAAGCCTTCCCGCCATGCAGGTGATAGATCTGTTGTGCTAAACAGGAGCTGGGTTAGCTTCAGGGTCATCCTTTTTGACCTCGAAAAAGGGAAAGGAGGAAGGGGAAGGGACTCTCATTCTTCTGTTTCGTTTCCTTGTCGGCCCTATCTGCTGAGGTTCAGCGAGATCATTTATTTTCACACGACATACATGTTATTTACTTCCTTTTTTTTGAGGACGAAAGATAGATAGCAGGCATAGGAACCGATAGAATAATACGAATTTGTGTGTTTTTGTGTGTGCCTAAGTTTTCCGTAAGCTGGTTCAGATTTACAGTCAGTGTTGGCTGTACATGTGGACCCAGCATCTCGGTGCCCGGAGGTCTTGTCTTTCCTCCTTACCCGCCGCTTCCATCCCATCCATGCATCCCATGCATCCATTTCCTCCCATCCCTTCCTCGTTGAGAAACAAAAGAACATTCTGATCCAGATAGAAGATAGGTATAGACAACAAGGAGAAGATAATGTCGCGACAAAGTTCTTGTCTGTTCAGTCCCAAGATCAAAGCCAAGTCATACACAGTCATTTACTCCCAAACCCCACGGCAGAAAAAAGGAAAAAAAATGAAGAAAGTCAACCAGTTCCCAAATCCCCGCAAATCCCACCGACTCCCTGCCAATATGTTCCCTCCAAGAAATATAAGAAAATGTTCGAAACTTTTCTCTATGATGTGTGCGCGCTTCGCTTCCCTGTTTGAAAACGGCAAGAGACAAGACAAGGAAAACAACATAGCACGCCGAGCGACCGTAGAGAAGCAGATAGTGTCAGAAAAAGGAAATAGCTGTTGCTGCTGGTGGTGGTCATACTGTTGGTACAGAGGCCGACAGTGTCCTGCGCCTCGTATAGGCAAAGTAGAAAAAAAGAGCCAAAAATAATTGTCGACAGGTTGGAATATGTGAACAGTATGTCGCGAACCATGTACTGTACGTCTCAAAAAGACTAGATAGCAATATATCCGATGAGAAGTTCAAAAACCACCGAGTGCTCCAAAGGGGAGAAAGGAAGTTTCGTATCCCCCCCCCCCCCAAACCGACGGAAAAAGGGGGGGGCACCACTTCCAATAGTGGTGCCACTGGGTAGCGAATTCGGAATCTCCGTGATAATTAACGGAAAAGTATATCCAGATCCTCGGTAACAAATCTCCGGCAAGATGTGGATCTGTTTCAGCCTCGTGGTGGGGGAGCCTTGCTGCTGGGTACGGCGGGGAACAGGGAGAACTGCCCCGGGGTGGAGCTCATCGTCCTGGACCGGGCGCGCCCCCCGGCGGCGGTCTGGCGCTTGGGAGAGGATTGGGACTGCAGACCCACGAGGTTCGAGTCGCTGTTGTGTGTATCCCGGCTCAAGGTTGGCGTAGCCTTGTTGGACGAGGACGACGGGCTGCCGAGGAGGCCGGCGGCACTCTGCGAACGTGCGTGGACGGCGGGCGAGGCAAGCACCTCGTGGATCTCAGGGATCTGGTCCTCCATGTTGTTGAAATTGGTGGTGGCGGTCGGAGAGTCGTCCTTGAAGACAAAGGTGTCCATGTCGGAGCTAGTGCTCATGGTGAGGCGCGTATAGTCGGTGTTGCTCGATGTGGCCGAGATGTGCCGCTCAAAGACAGAGCGGGACGACAGGTTACTGTTGCTGGTGGTGGTCGAGTTGCTCGCCCTGGCTGGCACGAAAAGGCTCGAGTTCTCCATCGTCAGCGTCGGGTCCTCCTCCAGTGTGACCGCCTGGGCGATGCTCTCCGGGTCCTCGTGCTGCTGCTGCTCGGTACGAGCTGCGAGGAGTTCGTGATGGTAATCGTTCGGGATCAGAAAGGACGGCGAGAGCGAGAAGCCCTGTGCCTCCTTAAAGCTGGTCTGCGACTCGGTGCGCACATGGAGGTGGCGCTGGTTCCTGAGGCCATCTCGTCGAGGCAACGAGAAGTTTGCGCTGGTGGGTGACCTCGCAACCGTAGCAGCAAGCGCCGGCGTGATCGCCTCATGGCTGGTCCGAGGAGACAAGCGGCTAGAGGGGCTCAGCGCAGGTACGTCAGAAGTAGGCCGGGACAAGATCAGCCCTTCGTCCTCACACGCCAGCGCTATCGACGCAGCGCGTGCTGCATATTGCGACATGTCGACCGATGGTCGGTGCCAATCATAGTCGCAGTCAGCCTCCATCTCGTGCTCGTAGCAGTAGTCAATCACATCTTCCCAGCTATCCCGTCGTAGTGGCTCCGCGTCGACCTGTTCAGTCGCAGCCGTCGTCGTCATCCTGTCCCTCGCAGGCTGTTGCAGAGCGTAGATATCGTACTGGCCAAAGACGACAGACTCACGATGGCTTGCACGCTTGTTATGGGAAGAAGGAGGACAGCCAGCATTCGAGATGGACGCCTGTCGCAGGGCTGGTACCGAGATCGACCCCTTCAGCGACGAATGTGTACTGCGCGAGCTCGCGCGCGATCTCTTTGGCAGTCCGCTCTGCTCCTCCTCCTCGGGCACGTCAGGAAGACCTGCATCGAATGCCATGACGCTGGCATTGTTCAGCGGCGCGGTCAGAGGCCAGTTGGGGTTCTCTGCAGGCACAAAGATACGTGAAAACCGGCGATTCTCTGCAGGTGCTGCGGCTGGGCTGGGGCACCCAGGAGACCCGAGTGGGGGGGTAGAGACAGTGTAGGCATCGCCGCCGCCGAGCTGCAGGTTCAGGGGTGCTGGAAAGCGGAAGGCATTCATTCCCTGCTGATGATGCCCCAAGGCCTCGGAATCGCGGCGTGGGATCGATGCGCCGCGGCTAGGATGCCGTGCTGGAGGCACTGGGCCGGTCGCAGGAGGAGGAGCAAAGTCGAAGTAGTTGAGGTCCAATTCCGTCGGGGATCGAGGCGGTCGAGGAGGTGGGGGCCCGCGCATGTGATCCTGCGACTTGACCTGCTTGACCCACTGCCTTGGGGGCGAGTTCTGCGCGCTAGGAGGTTGCGACAGGCTGCCCTCGCGGCTGTGCGGCACGACGTGAGGCGGAATGGACTCCTCGTCGTTGTAAGGCCTGGACGTCTTGGACGAGAAGTTAGGCACGCGTAGGTCCTCGGCCGAGGGCCCCCGTGATGGGCCTCCCCTGATGGACCTCGGGGGACTCCGTGCGATTGCCATCTCCTTGCGCAGCGTTGTCGAGTTGGCCCGCTCAAGATTGGGCAGCTGGTCCCGCTGGATCTGTGTGACGTGTTGGAAGTTAAAAGGGCTCGATATCGATGGTCTCTTCTGGGCCTCCTCTACTGCCTGGACGGTTTTTCGGCGGTTGAAGAGGCTCATGGCCGATGAGATGTGGTCCTTGTTGACGGCGGATGCTGCCCTGCCCCGGTCGCTCGTGACATCCAGTGTCACCTCGGATGAGTAGGTCGAGCTGCCGCTCGTGGCAAGGCTCTCCCGCCTGAACTTGGACTTGCGGTTGAAGATGGCCTTTCCGATGGCCTGCACGCTCTCTGGGCGTTCCCGCGAGGGCATGCTGCTGGTCGTAGACTTAACAGAGGATTTTCTCGAGAGCGAGAAGGACTCGAGGGCCTGCTCCCACGACGGCCGGCGGTCCAGCGAAGCGTAGGAGATCAAGGATGATGCGGCGGACGAGCCAGCCTGTTGGTGTTGTAATGCTTGGTGCTGGTATTGTTGGTGTTGTTGTTGGTTTACATGTCGATCAGATACAGACACCTGCCTGACCTTGTTGCTGAGAGCTCGTAGCCCGCCGGGGGAAGGGGGTCTCTCGACAGCTGGCTCGAGGAAGTCGGCGTAGTTTTCAGCCTCGAGGGCAGAGACGGTATATTGGTGGTGGTGCGAGGAGGAGGAGGCGGCGGCGGCGGACGGATATGCTCGTGAGGAGACAGAGGAGGAAGAAGTAACAGAAGTAGTAGAAGACGAATCGGGATGCGAGAAGCCAAAAGAAGTAGTACTTTCACTATTACTTTTGGCCATTCTCGTCTGGCCCCGGTGGCTAGGCGCAGGCGCTGCGTGTGTTGACCACATTATTGTACTTGTGGTGCCCAATACAAACACACACCCACCCACACACACATGCACACCCACCAGGCCAACCGACCTTCCGGGCGAGACAGCGGAGAGGAGGGTCGCTCCCGTCCACTAGTTTCGATGACTTCGCGCGCGGGACGGGAAAAAGGGGACTGGACTGCTTTCCCTCTTTTTCTTATTTCTTTTTTCTTCGTGTTTTCCTGTGTCACCCTGCTCGTCCCGTCAGCTGCTGTAAGACTTGCCCGAGTACGAACATGGAATGATGTGATGACACACAGAAGCTGTGCCTCTTGCCGAGCCGACCCTTGGGGAAAACACAAGCCAGTGACGTCCCCAAGCCAGATGTTGGCATGAAATGGTGGGAATCACCAGGTGGAAATTATTTTGCTGAATATGGTTTCCTTCCCCCTTTCGTATACAACAGGTGACAAGACAGGAGAAGACGTCGCGTCTGGGTCGCCAGGACGCGAAAATAAAAAATAAAAAACAATTATGCAGATAGATGCTGGGGGGAAAGGAGGGAAGTTCTTTTGGGGGTGGTCAACAAGAAAAAGAGAGTATGATGTGACTGGACGAATATGTACAAGAGGAGGAAGTACCACATAGTATATCTTAATGTGATTTGGGGCTTCTGGCTGGGGGGTGGGATGGGTCAGGGTGCCCGTCACGCAACGCGCTCCCAACGGGCCACAGGGGGGTTGTTACTTTGGGAACCTTGGAGACGAGTGGACAGGATGGGGACCCAAGACCCTCAGGGAGTCAGGGGGGGGGGGGGCCAGAGGATTGCGGGTCGTTCAAAAACCGGGGCTTGTGTTACTTACGCACAGTGTTGTGGTTCTCCTTGTTCCCCGATCCGCTTGAGAAAGGGAAAATGCGCGCAACAGCGGACACGAAAAGAGTAAGTAGTCCCACCCAACACTTTCACTCCATAGGGCGATGCAACCCTTGGTGATGGCTACCTGGGAATGGGCTGGGCTGAACGGGGACAACCTTGCACGGCAGAGCCGCTACGGGATGAAATAGCCACAACTTCTGGTTTGCTCGCGATGCTCTTGATTCCTCTAGGAGGATGGGATGGATGGCGACGCTGACATGTGTCTGTCTGTCTGTCTTCCTGCAGGTTGTCGGCCGTTTGATCTGGCGGTCTATTGGGAGAAGAATGACAGGCCGAGGGCCGAGGGGAGGCAGAGAGGAGGCTGGGGGGGAGGGGGGAGGAGCAGCAGCTCTCCAAAGATCAGGTTGAACGACAGCTGCCGCCGCCAATGACGCCGCCGCCAAAACAATTGGGAGAAGGCCTTGCAGAAGAACAGGAACACAGCATGGAATAGTCGAGGGGCGTCGTCGAGCTGATTGGACTGTTGGATTTCGAGGTCAAGGCAGCCCTGCCAAAGTTGTTTAGACGCCAAGCTCGTCCAAAATGGTTCTGGTCGGAATCGGAGATTGGCGAAATTGGATTGGAAGAGGAACCGTTAATGACTATCGTGCGTGGGAAAGGAAAGAGCAGATCAGACTTCGAGGGGGCCACGGTCGCTGTTGCCCAAACGTTATAATTATGGCCTTCAGGTAAAACGAGGTTGCCGACAATTTCCCCCAAATCCGCAATAGTGGTGTTGGTATTATTATTGATTGCCGACGGCTATAAGAAAAAGAAAAGGACAAAATAATAATGGCAATATTGATAAACAATAGTGTAGGAGGGGGATTCTGCAGGTTGTTGGAGATGTGACCAGTGACATCGGCAGCTAGTCTGATGACGAGCCCTGGGAGTGTGTGTCACAGAACAAGGTCGCTGACGAGTTCTGCATAGACTTATATTGATAGTTCCATAGATTCAAAGTTATAGTCGGGCGGAAACACACGTGCGCATGTGTACACGCACACACACATATCCATACGGCCGAGGTTGTTTCTTATTTATCTTGATTTGGTTTTCAATCGGGAGGCAAGTGACACACGTCGGCTCCGTGCAGGTCCGAGGGAGTAATGAAAAAAGAAAGATACGTGGGGGGGGGGGGGGAGAGAGAAAAGAAACCCCCGTAGTTAGGGTAAAGGGCTGGTTACAACTCCTGATGACAGTGGTGTCGCAGGTTGGGGATATCTACTTTTGTCCCTCGATATCGCTGGGCTTAAACCTGCGCCGTCTCAGCAATGAACTTACTGTATCTAGTAACTGGTAGTACGGCAAGTGGCAAGAAGGGTCGACGGATTCCACCCAAGACTTCTCGTGAACGTCAGCGCAACAGGGACAGAGAAACCAAAACACTGGGACCAAAGGAGGGGGAGAGGAAGAGAGAAAGTGAGTGTGTCAAGTTACGGGCCCAGATATCCAAGGTGCATTCTTGAAAAGAGTTCGACGCACAAACGCTGAGACGCGCGGTTCGGAAAGCAAGAGCGTCGGCTTTTTCTCCGTCTGGGTGCGTTCGTTTCCTCCCCGTCTCGGCTGGTATCCGTTCAGGCCCACCGGTCACGGCGCATAATAAGCCTGCAGTCGCAGATCTGAGAGAGTTATCGTCAGCGAATCCTTGGAGGGGCAGCGTTGAGTGGATGCCGTTGATCGTCTTTTTTTGCCCGCGACCCAATACGTATACCAAGTAGGTGAACAACACGGGGGGGGACGGAGCCGGGGGGCTGCGTGTTGCAAAAGGCATACTTGCTCTCTTTCTTCTCTCCATGTAATAGGGGGCTTAGAGTGGCTAAGGCACCAGCACGTGCGGGCCCCTTGGTACGAGCAAGGCCGGATCCAGGCTTTCACGAGGCCGGACCAGGGTGTACTGGGGTTGAGAAAGAGAGCAAGGCACGAAAATACTGGATCTGAGTGGAGGAGCGAACCAGGACAGTGCTGTGCATCGGCAGTTCGGTATGCTGTCAAAAAATGGAGTATGCATCCGTTGTTACCGTTTATTTTATCTATGTGATTGTTCATTTTTTTTATTTTTTTGGGTAGAGGGGGAAGAACAAGAATGGGGACCACAAAAAGAAACCATACATTTTTAACGTCCGTGATGTTTCCCCGAACTTTCTTGAAACATCGGTCCCTTTCTCCCTGCGCCCTGCATATTGAGCTGAAAAAGAAGAGTAGAAAGAAATTCACATACGTAAGCAACCTGGGAATATCTGGTGGCTTTTGGGTACCTTGACTGCTGTCTGCTAAGAGCATGCTCTCCGTTTCTGAATTACCACGAGAAAACTGTATAAAAGCCAAGTACAACACAAACCCCGCGCGACAGCCAGTCACGAAGTCCCCCGGCTTGTGAAAGCGGGTACCCAAGTTTTTCTGAGCAAGGGTGTTTGTCCGCATGGGAGGAGAAAGGCCCTTTCGAACCCCTGAAAGAACTTACTTCCCCGCCGATGAGAACAGGGGTTGTACTAGGTACGATGGAATCTTGCGTGTAAAAGAAAAAGTCTCTTCCAATGGTCTTCTCTCTCTGTCACTCACTCTCAACTGCGGCTGATGTTGCTGACGCAGGAACGCTCAACCATCTGGGGCTGATTATTCAGAGATCATCCCCCCGTGTCCGACAAAAAGTCTCAGACGGAGACTCTGGTCCAAAAAGTCGCAGGGGTCAAATTTTCCCCCTTCTCTTCTTCTCTCTCTCTCTCTCTTGGCGGCTTGCACAATTGCTGCAGCAATACAGTGCTACTAACTATGGTGTTTACTATAGTTCAATGTGAACAGTTGACGAGATAGAGTCGGGGCGGGGGGGTGGGGGGAGCGTGGGGCGCACCATTTTCCACCTCCTTGAAACAGAAGGTGGTTTGTCGCAACCCATGTGCCTCCCGAGGAGCTGGGTGCATCGCACGATCTTTTGACTCCTCCCACTCCTCCTTGTCCTCCTTCTCGGGACCATTGTGACGCCTCCTCCAATACAGTACTGCCTTGCAGGCATAAGTAGCCACAGTAGCTCTTGACATCGTCTTCTGTGGGCCAAGAGGAACGATGTCTCCCTGGTGCCAGTGTTGCTGGTCTGAGGGTCGCCCCGTCCAGGCCAGCTAAGGCGGCCTGACACAAGCCGTCCCATGCACGTGAGCAATAAATAGGTCTCTCGACATGAAACCATAGCAGCTAGTCCGCCCTAACCTGGGCCGGACCGCAGCGACCACTTTAGGCGCATTTGTTTTCGCGACTAGCAATAATGCTATGTTCCAGGTTTTTCTTTGTCGTTCACGGATCATGGGGAAGAGCTATCTTGTGTGCGCGGCCAAGTAAGACTAAGCTGGCAGCGATTGTCCAAATTCCCGATGAGTGTGTGGGCCGATGTGCTACGGATACGGAGAGAAGGGCGCAGAGCATATCCGGTATCATCATCAAAGAGACCTGGTGTTGTGTGTGGCTTTCGTCATCTCGGAGGTCGGTCAAGGGGCGACCATGAAGATGTGCTGGAATTCTCCACCGTCTGGTCGCCGAGGCTGGCGACTATTGTGTGTGCTATAGTCCGTCCTAGACAAGAGCTTTCGTACTTCATGCTCCGGCTCATTCGCATTCCGGACATATCCTACCCTGCTAACGATACTGGTCTTTTTGGCCCGTCGCCGCCCGGCTTTTCTAGCAGCAAAAGTCAGGCTCGGCATGGCTAAATTCTCGTATCAACAAGAGGTCGTGAGTTTGTTGACCCGAATTCTGACCTGGGACAAAGCAAGAAAAAAAAAATAAGAAGCAAACAAGACAAGTGGGAAATTAGAGAAAAGCAGAAATATAACATAACAAAAACCTGAAAAAGGAACGAGACAGTTAGGAAAAGTAATAAAAGACAACTCGTGATGATTCTTTCTCGTGGCTGTCGTCTTCAGTCGAGACGTAAATGACGGAATTTACGGAACACATGAGAAGCTGTTCATCGGCTTGCGTCCATCCCCGGGGCAGTCCATTATTACATCAGGAGGAAAGAGGAACGGGGGGGAAATGATGCTTGGCATCGTGCAGTCACCATCCTAGCTCCCGGTTTCCAGATATTTATTTTTCTTGGATCCACTTTGGGATGCTTACACCACAGTGAAGC